AGGTATCATCACACATAGGAAAAGGGAGAGAGCTTTGCTTCGAAGGGGAAGAAAGGGGATCTTTTATCGTGAATACTGAATTTGCAGGCGAGTCACTCGAGTCACTCTGCTGGTCAATGAATGCACGGTGGATGTAGGAAAAAGGTCGTGAGAGCAAAGTAGGTCCAAGTCGAACTGTCGATCTGATGGGGGGGACACGGTTCGAGTCCAAGGAGGATGGAGTGGTCGATGGTATAGAGACAATAGGAAAAGTGGAGCGAATGTAATGGGTCGGAACAAGGAGGAGGCAAAGTCCACGGACTGCCATCAGGGAAGATGGCGAGAGGAAGAGTCATCGTAGATATCAAGAGTCAGGTATCAACCGACACGTACGGGACCGAAGGAAGTTGATGAGGGAAAGCCAAAATTTAACGCCGCGCTCCAAGCCAAAAAGAAAAAGAGACCGAAAAAGACCGAAAGGAAGAAAAGCTGACATCAAGCCATGGCGCCGTAAGGAAAAAGGGAAGGTCTTGCTGAGGAAGTGTATGTACTCCTGTCCTTTTAATAAGACAGCATACGGCGACCCGAGAATCGATTGGAAGCCGGACTTGCCGCGAAGGGGGAATCCAAGAAGCGATTGCGCTCGCTGGCATTATTCCGGCAGCGGCCCGTGGGACTGTCTTCCATCTGGGGAGAATGCTGTCCAAAGGCGAACGTCTGGGCCCGGTTCAACTTGGAGCGCTGCTTGACCTTTCCGAGGCCACGCTCACAGGCGAACTCGTGTTCCTTGGCGTTCATCTCGACGTAGTTTTGCGGGAAACAAAGCGAGCGGTGCTCGGCAAAGAAGGCGCTGTATCCGCCGTCCAGAATGTACATTTCCGGGTAGCTGAGTTGGGGGTAATGATCTACATTGACTGCGCGATCACGGTGACGAATGTATTTCGCCATGATGGGGGCTCGATGTGCGGAATATTCACAGTGAAGAATCAGGGCAGTCCGTGGCTTCGGGTCCGCGAAAAGCTCGGCTGCGAGGTGCTCCTTATCGTTATAGTTGACGGCGCCGTTGATGTGGCCTCCTTCATACTCGTACTCGAAGCGGCAGTCGACAATGACAATGTTGTCAAAGCGATCGTTGAACTTACCGTCGATCACATCCACCAGGATGCTCTTCTCGATGCGAGGCAGATTATCCGCCTGGTCCTCAGGGATGAAGTGAGGGAGCTGCAGGCTGGAATTTCCTTCGATGTCAGCAATAGACTGAAGTGGTGCATTTGTATTATAAGTTGCCTCTTTTTCGAGAATCACATCTTCGGGATGTTCAAACATGCTCAGCGATCGACGACACTGCTTGCGAGGGCGCATCGACGGGTGCGAGTTTTTACGGATGGCTGAGTGCCCGGGGGACCCGTTGCCACGCGAGGAGCTGCTGGAATTGCTGCTGAACGGGGGTCGCAGGCGACCATGGCCGATGGAGTTGTTCGGGACATGGCTCCGCCACGCCGGCTTCTCCGACGGGGGGGAGTCGCCAAACATGTCCTCAAGCGAGGCTGTCGCGCTCAGCGAGCCCTTGCCAGAGCTTCCTGGACCGAATTTGAATGGCGGATCCCGGCTCTCAGGAGCAGGACGATTCAATCCCAGTTGAAAGGACTGGGCCTTGCTGCGAGCCAGGGATGGCCGGAGAAAAGTAGGCCGACGTTTCCTAAAAACAAAAGAAAAGCACCCGAATCAGTCTTCATTGTCCCTTGAAGGCTTTTTTGTTTGTCTTACTCCTGCGAGGGTCCCTGAGGTTCTGCCATCGGTGATGCCTGCAGCAAACTACTGGGAGTACCCGTCATTGTTGGCGACTCCATGGCAGTGTCTGGTGTGGGTGACTTCAACTCCACGTCGGTGGTGACGATGTAGGGAATCTTATGCGGCAGAGGAGACATGTCCATGATTTCCAATGTGGGAGCTGGTGACGAGGAAGGCAGAGGAGGGGTGGTCATGGCATCTGATCATATCAGCCTGATGCACTGCGGGCCAGCTTGCCATCTATGTATTGAGTGCGCGACTTACCACGACCGTTGGCCATAGCCAACAGATTCGAGGCGAACAAAGACCTTCGAGGCGTAGCCAACTGCGGACTTGAAAGAGGGTCAGCAAACGGTCTTCCCCTTGCTTTGTATCCACAAATAGATGATCCTAATTCCCGTAGACAAAGAAGGCAACGAACCTTTGATCGATATGGAAGTTCTGCGAAAGATCCGCGGCCAAGCTGGCCGCGGGCGAGGAGCCCTGGACCGTCTTGACGTTGAAGTAATCGCCGGAGGGCTTCTTCATGGACAACTCTTTGAAGTTGAAGCTGGGCGGGTTCAGCTTGGAGATGGAGCGGAACGAGCTATACGTCGCCGGAGGATCCGCACGAAAGCAATGGCCGAACATGACGGACGGCGGCTGCATGGCAGCCAAGGGCGAGGAGTGTTCCATATCTTCTTCAATTGTCCACTGACTTGGCTTCTCCTTTGTATGCCCTGCCGATACAGGTTGTAGATCTCAAAGCCAGACCACACGAACATCCACACAAGGTACACTCGAGACAGCCACGGTCTATAGAATTTCTTTCCTACAGCCCAAGCACAATTGCGGAGTTGCACACCAACCCAGACCTCGTCAAACGGCTTTTTTTTCTTCGTTGCCCCGTCCAATTGTTCCAGAAGACTGGATCGCGTCTGTCAATGGACCCAAGAGTGGATCGGCCTAATGACAAAGGAAAAAAAAAGAGGGCTCCAACGACCCACGATCCAGGAACATGCAGCGGTCCTTTCTTATCACGGTTTTTTATTTTTTTTCTTTCCTTGCCCTGTCTCTTTCTCTTTGTTTCTTTTCTCCTCCTCAAAGCGCCATGATTGCCGTTCCAATTCGGTGGGAAACGGGGGGGGGGGGTAGTCGGAGGAAGAGATCGTGAACCGGTCGGCGGCTGGCTGAGCGAGTCACGGCGGCTATAGGGTGGTAGGGGAAAGAAGAGGGGTTTATCTAGCACAGCAAGCGTCGAGGAAACCAAAGCATGCAGGTGGACAAGCTGGGGAAGAGGGGGAAATGGAAACGAGATAGACGGATAGCAAAAACGCCCAAAGAGAAAATCGAATGCCGGGGAAATGAAGAAGGAGGCAGAGATGGAGAGGAGAGAGGAGAGAGGAGAAAAGGAAGAGCTGAAAAGCGTCTGGAGAAAAGAAAGCGTGAAGCTGAAGGGATGCCCTTGTTGCAATGGCAACGGATGGAGTGGGGAGGATCTCCAGATCAGTCAGTTCAGCGTCAGGAACTGTAGCTGTATGGTGTATGGTAAGTGTCCAGCGGTAACGGTACGGGGTACCTAGGTAGCTACCTAGTAACTACTAGTTAACTAAGGTTAGGTAGGTACCTAGGTAGGATGTACTAGGATGTACCTATACAGTGAGAGATAGGCAGGTACCCAGCACATCATAGGTACCAGGTACTCCATAGTTACTACATACATACGCAGTACCTTACCTACGCAGGGTACCTAAAGTTTCCTCCTGTCAGTTGGCCACAGTTGGCCTATGCAGCAATATCTCCGGACGGTTACGGTACTGGTCAATACGCGGCTAGGCGCTTCTGGACTAGGGGGGGGGGGCTCCATCGGCCTCGTTGCTGGGACTCCCCTTGCCGCTGCTCAGCAACCCGGGCTGGCTGAGCACGCATGTGCGGATGTGACATTACGATACGCTGTACGGTATAATGTACAGTATTGCCGTACGGAGTATAGCTTCCATCTCAATGACTTGGGTACTAGGGTATTCGGTACCTCTGTATAGACAATTCTTCTTATTGTTGTTCGATTATATCTCGGTAGGAACTGTTTCTTGTTTCCTACCGAACGACATAGAGACGATGGTCATCATTACGCAATACATCGGAGATCGAAACTAACCTGGCTGCTCGACTCCACTGCTCCACTCGGTCGGGAAAATGAGAGCTTGTCGGCAACGAGCACAGCTTTGAATCTGGAAACTGTGCACGCAAGGCAAGAAATGATAACTGACTTCCCTAGTTCTTGGTCGAAGACTCATCGAACCATCCTCACAGGTATCTTGATAACCAACTACTAGCTCCTACCTAGGAGGTAACTGTATCTACCTAGGTACACTGTCAAGTATCTGCAGCCAGCTGCACTGGTATGTCGGCTGCCGCTTGGACTCCACTGAGTGGTTCCCGTGCAGGGAAAGTTACCGTACCGTACCGATACATGAGTAAGGCGAGGAGGAATACGCCTGATAGACAGTATATACATTACTTACCTACTTAGTACCTACCTACATATACCTCCTCTATGATGTACTCTGTACTCTGTACTCTGTATACCACTACTACTCATCTACTCCAGCATACCAGATCAGAATCTTGATTTCGACATAAGTGGAATTCCCAATCGCACAGTCCACGATGCGGACCGGCCGTCTGGCATTGGCATTCCCTTGCTCGACATTCTCCCCCAGCGGCGGCTAGGGATATCCCTTCCACCCTCGCTGAACAGAGGTGTAAGTATAATTACTCATTGGTTCAATATCCCGGAGTATATTTCCCACCTAGCAGGAGTTAGTAGTTATCTACTAACTAGTTAAGTACGGAGTAGCAGGTACGAGTAGTAGGTACGGGGTACAGAGTTGGTAGGTAACTAGTTACCTAGGTAGTTATCTACAGAGTATCTCAGAATGCCTTGCGGGATACAATGATCATCAACCCGATGGAGTACTATATTGACTACTAAATAGCTCACTAGCTAAATAACTAGTTAACAGTTAACTAATAATTTAACCTTCATCTATATTTTGGAATCAAACAGTCCTGTCAAGTTCTGGCGATGATGTCAGCAGGCGCCTGTGACGATCCAGATCGTTTCGAAAACCGGATTCATAGTACACAATAGGTAGTTACTTACCCCGTAGTAAATACAGGAGTGCTAATATTAGCCAACTACCTATATTCTTACTGTACACTAGTACTTCACTTATCCGGACACGAGATCTCGGCCCCGACATCTTGCACGTAGAGTATTCCGTCCACGATCAGACAGGACTAGGTTCAAACGCCGTTCAGCTGCTCTGATTCTCGCTAATCAAGCCACGGGAGTAAGGCTGACGGCGTGTCCGAGACTCGGGGTTTACAAGGGTTGGCTTACTACTGTTTGACCTTGGCCTGGGTCATGTCATGACTTCATTATTTCCCCTCTCCCTAGTGTGTCTCACTCGAGCGGGGGTAGTAGCTTAAGACTAAAACTATCAAGTGTCCCCAATAATGATAATAATTATAATCATAAATGTTCCTATTATAATAATTATAATAACTACTATTATAATAATCATATAGCAATAGAATAGTAGTAATCTCTATCCTACTATCAGCTGCGGGGATGTGATACGTCAGATACTTCCATGTGCTCACAGGCGTGCGCTATCCAAGCGCCGCTGCGGGGTTGTCACATTTAGTCCTACGCTCCTCTGCGCAACAATTGGTACGAGAAGATGACGCGATACGAGTTGCTATTCTGCTCTTTATTGTTGTTGACTCTAGACCTTGTTATGTAAACAACGCGTCGCTTGAGTTGAGGGTATACTGTATGTAGTAGAGTAAAATAGGTAGAGGTAGTAGCGGTAGTAGAGGGAGTAGGTTAGTATAATGAGTAACTAGTTAATAGTATACCTAGTAGGTACCTACTAGGTAGGTAGTTACTAGATTCTTTAGTACGTCGAGATCTGCCACTATTGATTCGCGATCTGTGGCGCATACTATTAATACTAGAGTATCAACAGATATAAATTTGGAATACTATAATGCCCTGGTATTTGAATTACTATCATTCTATTCTATTATTATATGTAGAGTTTAACTCATCTAAAAAGTAAAGTAAGCAACTACCTAGTAATTACTCAACGTAATATCTGATGGTTCTAAAGTTGGCTAGGCAAGACAAGACATGCGAGATCCCGTTGCCTTGCGGGTGCAAGGGAACGTGGCTTTATATTCTTATATACAGAGTATATGCATCTCATAAAGTTACTGCTCTAGGGTTGAAGCCTATTTATCAACTACTGATTATCCTTGCAGGCTCGTGGACATCCAGTGTTGGTCTAATTCTCCGATCGAGCTGAAATTTAACAGAACCATACAGATATTTATCTAGTTACTACTACTATTACTATAAATTACTACTATACTACTCTACTACTCTACTACTCTACTACTATATTACTATATTACTATATTACTACTACTATCTACACTACTATATCTACACTACATTAAATCATCTTCCTATCACTGAATTAATAGTTACCACCTACACAAACAAGAGTAAGGAGTGAAACATGGCTACCTACATCCTCTCATGCTAAATATCGTCATTCCATCGGCGGTTTGTCGTGGTCTCCAGTAAGGGATGCGTCTTGCTCTATCAAGGGATCCGGCAAGGCACGGGGTCCTGGCAAGGGATGGGGAGTAACTGTCCATCTACAAAGTGCCAGAGAGAAACCATCTTGATATCTTAATCGATTCTACTCCGTATCTTGGCTCGCGAAGGTTCTATAGATGTAAGACGTTGCAAGGCGTATGCTAGGATAGTAGGCACTTACCCTATGAACAGTGATTCATTTCGAGACCACAAGCCAATATTAGTTTCTAGTAAGTATCAGGTAAGAAAAGAAAATATTGTCGGATTGTTTAGTTGACAGTTTAACTTTGTACCATTTCAACGGCGTTATACCGAGTAGTACTACTGCCTAGTAGGTACCTAGGTATATATCTATGTAGTAGGAACTTCAAGTCCCGAACGATCTGATACTAAATAGCAGGTAAACGAACCACAGCAGTCAGAACAATAACATTCTTCAGACTCTTGCTTTTTCGACCGCATAGATCTCAACGTTCATGCAGAAAAAGCAAGGCGACTCGTGCAAGATAGTACGGAGTACAGAATAATAACTACAGACGGCGTCTATCTCGGTCTGTCTGCATACTCGTATATGATAACCTGTGGTAGAGTATCAACTAGACTCATTCGGGTCCTACTGTCAGGTTAATAGATGATATTGAGACTTGACCAGTTGAGTAGATACTTGGTAGTTAGTTACCTGTATAAAGTTATTTGATGACTATGAGTAACAACTACTATGTATATGATGCCAGATCCGTCAGGCTCTAATGATACTAGTATTTGTATAACTACGTTAGTTACTGGTACTCCGTACTTGTAAGCGACGAATACCCCGTACCCATACGAGTACTTCGTACTCCGTACAGACAGTATGAATCATGAATCCACAAGTCCAGACTCATCATCCATGCAGGTCCGCAGGAACCAGCCGTCTGCCAATTGAGCTGTCAAAAAAACCCTCCAAGGCCCAATGATAACCGGCAGACGACGGATCAGTCCATGACGGATCATAAGCATTAAAGCATCCAAGTCAATAGTGGGAACACTAGAAACTCTGGATGTGGAAATGAGATGGAGAAAAAAGAAAAGAAAAAGGAGAAGTTTCACCCTGTTACCACAGCGACTGCCGATGCCTGCTGGCTGATACGGAGTAGTGGGAGCAGTAGATATTTCCTGTCTGATGGATCTAGTATCAATAGTTGATCAGAATAGACATTAGTTCTCAAGTACTCTGTAACTAGTGACTCTGTAACTACCAGATAGTTATCAAGTAGTTACTCTGTAGATATCAAGTAGTTACGCTGTATTATCAACTCTCAAATCTCAAATTGACCACAGGAGATGCGCTAGCCGCTTTGGGCGGGCAGCTCTGAAATTTTCCAACCACCAACAACTGCTCGGCCATTGTTCAGCCATTGTCCATCCATTGATTCTTGAATCTAATTCAAATTATTGAACTCGACTATGGCAAACCATGCGAGGAAACGCCGCCGCGAGCCGTTCAACGTCGACGTCAAGCAGGTCGAGATCTACGAGGACCTCGCCAGCGAGCAGGACGAGATCCGTCTGAAGGCCGCCCAGGCCCTCATCTCCCAGTTCACCCCCGACCAGAACCCCTCCGATGAGCAGATCAGGAAGGTCTTGCAGCGGCTTTTCCGCGGGTTGTGCAGCAGCCGTAAAGCCGCCCGCGTCGGCTTCTCCATCGCCCTGACTGAGCTGCTAGCTCAGATTTTCACGACGACGACGCCGACGACGAGGCAGGACTCACCATCGGAGGAGCTGAGCATAACAAAGACACTTGATATCTGGGAGTCGCAGTCGAGTGCGTCCGGTAGTGAGAGCGGGCAGGAACAGCGCGACCACCACTTTGGTCGTCTGTTTGGCGCCGAGGCCCTCATCAAGTCTTCCGTGCTCTTCCAGCAGGGCGCCCCCTTCGACCAGTGGGTCCGGGTGTTGACGCTCGTCTACGAGCTGGCCAAGAAGAAGCCATGGATCAGGGAAGAATGCGGCTGGATCTTGTACCGCGCTGTCCACGACCTGGCCGCCCACAAGGCGGACGTCAAGTTCGTCAATGCCATTCTCGAGCAGCTCGGCACCGCCGACCTGGCTCGCACCCCGGAGGGCGTCTCCATCTGGCTGGCTGCCAGGGAGATGTTCCCGCAGGCTGCCCTGCCCGCCAAGGTCTGGAAGTACGACGACCCGCTCGATGCCCGCGAGAAGACCGCTCTCGCCAAGATCATGAAGGAGTCCTCCGCCGCGGAGGAAGAGAAGGGGTCCAAATCGTCGGGCGTGTGGAACTCGAAGCTGCATTTTGCTTGGGATGTCGTTCTGGCGCGGGTCTCTAATGCCCAAAAGTCCAAGGACAAGTCGGGCGCCTCTCGTCTCACCTTTGTGGACTTTTGGACTGAAGCAGTAGACAGTAAGTTTTCAATCTAGAGGCATAAAGCTGTACGATAGATGCGACAAGACTAATCGTTATAGACGGTCTTTTCGCTTCGGCTTCATCCGAAGAACGGAAATACTGGGGTTTCCTGCTTTTCGTCAAGATCCTCGCCGACGGCCCCCCGTTGCAGGCCTCCTCGGTGTTCACCAAGAACCTCGTGCGATGTCTGACAAACCAGCTTGCCGTCGAGGACAGATATCTGCACCGGATGGCCGTCAAGGCCGCCAAATCCATCCAGACCCGCGTGTCGAAGGAGCCCGAGTTCGCTGCCGCCGCAGTCAAGGGCCTCATGGGCTCTAGTGGCGCCGTCAACTTCGACCAGGTTACCAAGACCAAGACAGTGGAGAAGATCATGGCCGAGGCGAACCGTGATGCGCTGCAGCAGATCCTCCCCTTCTTCGAGTCCCTGGTCGCTAACCCCGGGACAGAGGACAGCAAGGCGGCGGCTTCCACCCGCATGTTCCTCGCCGGTCTGTTGCTCTCTATCGTCAGAGCGCGCGCTGCATCCAAGGACACCAAAGACAAGGCGTCCAAAGAGGAGTCTAAAGAAAAAGAAGAAGATTATCAAGACGTTCTGCAGCAGATATTGTTCATCTTCGTGCGATTCGCCTATTTCAAACCCCTGTCGGACGACAAGTCCGCACCCCGACCCGCCCTGACTGAAGCAACTCAGGAGCTCTTCCGCAGCCGGATCAACTCGTGCCTCAACAGCCTGATCGCCAACGAGAAGTACGCCGCCGTGGTTCCCTACGCGGTCGTGCGCAAGATTCGCGACGCTGCCAAATCAGAGGAATACGGCAAGTTCATCATCGACATGGGCGAAGTTATTCGTGACTCGGTCAAGACGGCGTTCAAATCGCTTAAAAAGCTGTCCGGAATGGTATGTTATTTTATCTATCTATCTATATACAAAAAAAAAAGATGTTAACATGTCATAGGAAAACGACGGGGTCACTGGCGTCGATGCCTTCAAGCTTCTTTATTCCATGACCATCCTCCAGGTTTACAATGGCGATTCTGACGCTGTCTCGATGCTGGAGGAATTGGAATTCTGCTACACCAAGATTCTAAGCGCCGGGGACTCAAAGGAGAAGAAGAAGGACAAGAAAGACAAGAAAAAGAAGAAGGAAAAGGAAAAGGAGAGCGACACCCAGGACGCCGGAGACGCCTCGGACGCCCTGGTGGAAATCCTACTCAGCTTTGCGTCGAAACAGTCCCAGCTCTTCCGGCGGATGAGCGAGCAGGTCTTTAGCGCTTTCGCCGACCAAGTCACGGCGAATGGTCTCGAGTCTTTCATCTCTGTAAGTCTTTTTCTCCCTCTCTCTCTTTTTTTTTAATCTTTGCTGATGAAGTTAGATCCTGGAAGCCAAGGAAAGCCTTGCTGGTCAGCAGGAGATGTTCGAGGAGCAGGACGAGGAAGGAGACGAAGACATGATGGATGTAGATGATGACGACAATGAACTCGACAGTGACGTTGAAGTTGACAGCGACGTTGAGGTCATTGATGATGATGATGATGATGATGAAGACGACGAAGAAGAAGAGGAAGAAGAGGAAGAAGATGCAGAGGAAATGGCCGCGTTCGAAGCCAAGCTCGCCGCCGCGCTAGGCACCCACCGCGCCGACCAAGACCTGCAAGCCGAGTCCGAAGCGTCCGATTCCGACGCGGACATGAACGACGAGGAAATGGAACAACTGGACGCCGCGCTGGGCCAAGTGTTCCGCGCCCGGCAGCAAGTGCTCGACAAGCGCGACGAGAAGAAGGACGCACGCGAGACGATGATCAACTTCAAGAACCGCGTGCTGGACCTGCTCGAGATCTACGTCAAGAAATGCCACTCCAAGCTGCTCGCCCTCGACCTGCTCTTACCCCTTTTACGCCTCGCACGTCTCTCCTCCGCCAAACACGTCGCGGGCAAAGCCAACGCCTTGCTCCGCGAGTACACCAAGCTGTGCAAGGGCGCTGCCATCCCCTCCCTCACCGCCAGTGAGAGCGGTGCCGATCACTCCTCCGCGGTGTGGGAGCTGCTTCGTTCTGTCCACAAGGAGGCCCGTCACAGTGGGCCTGCCGCCCACGCCTCGGCCTGTAGTCAGGCTAGCTTGCTGCTCGTCAAGGTGCTCGTCGCCCACGACAAGACCGCTCTCGGCCAGGTGGTTGATGTGTACGCCGACACGCGGAAAGCACAGCTGCTGAGCATGAAGTGTCATGTCCAGCCGTCCTTCTTTACGGATTGGAATAACTGGTGTGTTTCGGCTAGTAAGCAGAAGTAGTAGTACATAGATTGGTTCATACGCACATTGTCTATAGTTATATAACATATACTGTATAATGCATATAATGTACTACTAAAATCCAGAAATATATCGATGCTGCGTCGTCTCTTCCAAAACATCCACCAGCATCCCGACCTCAACCGGCCCCTCGTTGCGCGGTGCGCTCAGCATACCGAAACATGGCTTCCACTTCATCCCCTCATCCACCCGTCGGTACGACATGAGGGTGTCCCAGGGTTCACGCGTGTGCTTCTGCGCCGTCGAGGGCTCCACGTTCGGCACTTGACACCGCGCGCACCGCGCCAAAATGTCTATCTCTAGTGGCTTCTGCTTGCGCTGCCGCATAGCGGCGCTGCTGCTGCTGCTGCTGCTCGACTTCTGTGGGGAGATGCGTACGAGTTTCCACGAGTCCTCCGTCCAGGGCGCGTTGCCCGCGACAATGATATTTGGTCTGAAACGCTCGATGGTGATGGGATCCACGCCCTTGTGCTGCAGGCGTGCATTCAGCTCAGCGATCGACGCCTCCGACCCTATCAGCACGGGGTGCACATCTGGGAAGTTTGTCGTCTGTTTGCGACCCAGTAGGCGCGGGTCGCCGTTGCCCTGGAGCACGCGGGGCTTCGGGCCCTTGTAAACCAGGCAGACAGGACGGGCCAGAAAGACACTGAATAGCTCGTTGACTTCCGGCCCGTACACGTACCCGTCCGTCACTGTGTCCCAGATCTTGACTGTCTCGAGGGTGGTGTGATCGGCAAGCCAGGCAGCTGATGGGTGGGCGGGGATACGGACAACCCGTTGTTCATTGTCTCCTGCAACACTGAGCAGGAGGGTCTCGCCATCCTCAGTAAGCGCCGTGTTGATCAGTGTCATTTGCGGGATCTGACGGATGGTCAGGAACTCGTTCTTCGTGGGATCGATGAACATCCATTGTCGGTCAAGGTCGAGTCCTGTCGTGAGCAGAGTGGATTTCTTCAGTTCGATCCCACGGCAGGACTTGATGGGATAGACTCGAAGGGAGACGATCTCGCTGCTTGAAATGGCGGGTTTGCGCGCGCCAAACAGATTGAAGCCGAGAGTTCGGCATTGACTCCAGGGATTATTCTTCGCGCAGAAGATGACGATGGGAGCAAGTAGCAGCAGAGCCAGTACTGCGACCGAGAGGACCGCGAATTCAAGCATCATTGATATATTCGAGAAGCATGCTTTATGGATATAGCGAGTCGAAGAGAAGATAAATCACATCCCTTAGTTCAAGCAATATATTGCTTACTCGAAGGAGGCGCTACAGATAACAAGTGACTCACAAAGGATGAAGAAACCAGGCGCCTTGAGTTGACTGCCAGAATATACCTATCACTTGAGCCAAAGGCTAGTACGCAGCTTTGGCTGGATAACAATGAACAAGATGAGCCATAATTGGATCTTCTGGCAGGTAGAATCAAGTTATCTTTCTCGGTCTTAGGGAGGGCAACGGCTTTAAGATTAGTCATCAAATATACTACCAAACACGTGACGATAGCGAAGGCCTTCCAACCATCTCCAACCATGAATAAACTCCAGTCCTCCAGCAGCGTCAAGGATACAACGTGAAAAAGAGTTCAAATTGGCATCGAGCATTTGGCAGACATAAAGTACATCATCAAGACAGGAATATGAGACAGCTACAGCGTTGAGACTATTTAGAGGAGGTCTATGGCAAGCAACTCCTCTTCCGAGTAGAATACAGCAAGTGATTCTCGTAGTTGAGAAAAGGAAAATAGCAGACTCCATCCAGAATCTCCAATGACACTTTACTGAGCTGAGTACTCTGTATTTCCCTCCAAATCCTCTGCTCTAAATTATCTAGAGTCGTTGGTGGTCGGAGTGTGGGAAATTTCGAGGGTATCGCGGAGCTCGGCAGGACAGTTGATCCGGATAGTCAGGGTGGCGACTCACACAAATCCCACACCTTACCGAAATTACCTCAAAATCCAGCAACCACCGGAGAACGAAGGTCAGCGTCCGCATCAACGACACCCAGCAACAGTACCCGACTACCATCCACAGTTAATCAACATGGGAAAGGTTCACGGATCTCTTGCCCGTGCCGGTACGTTTGCAGTCTATTTTTCTTCTTTCCCTGGGCTTTTCTTTGTCTTCGGATTGCTGACATTTTCCTCGCTACAGGCAAGGTTAAGGCTGCTACGCCCAAGGTTGCTACCGCCCACATCCCTCCTTTTGCGTCTACGAGAACGCAACGATAAAAACACGGTGCTAATCGAGGGTCTTTTTTCAACAGGTCGAGAAGCAGGAGAAGGCTAAGAACCCCAAGGGCCGCGCCTACAAGCGTGTCCTCTACACCCGTCGGTTCGTCAACGTCACCCTGACCGGTGGCAAGCGCAAGGTATGAAAGAACACTACCAAGGACGAAAAAATCATGGAGGGACAGAAAAAAAGAATTATGGCTGATATGGTATCATGTAGATGAACCCCGCTCCTTCTTCTTAAGAACCGCAACCGTCGAAGCTCGATGATTATGGCAAATTCGACCCCTCCTCCCTTCGAAACGTGGGGAGGGGTGGTGAGTGATGTGATGCAAATGCATCAATACTTGCACAGGGATTATACCGGCATCTGAATTGTCACGATTTGCTTCTGCTCTTCTGGGAGGGGTTCAAAAGGGATTGTTTTTTTTTCTTTTCTTTAAGAATAGCTACGCGGTCATCTGACTTTGAGAGGGAATACTACATCATATTCAACCTCGCAATTCCAACTGGTATCACTAGTGGTTTGAAGATCGAATCGCTTGGTTACGTACAACGTAGTATTTAGTTTTTTAGTTACGGGTTATCTCAGTAATAAGGTAGCTCATGATGGGGGTTCAGGCTCAAATGTATGCAATTTCTTGATGCGCTATTCCTGAAGCAATAGATAGCAGCTTACTAGATTATTGTATGCAGTAGAGTAGAGGTAAGGTCTCCAGTACTGGACCGGCACTTATTTATGCTCGTCAATCCAGCAAGTGACCAAGGTCTTAATTAGCCCGATGGTGATCTCCCGGCCCAGTTTGATGTCCTGATCTTGGCATGATCTAGGCACGTGGAAGAAGATGATATTCCGATCCTCCCCGTCCGCCCAGGCCTGCGACAGACTCGTGTAGAAGATGAACTCGCAGAGGAAACGGCCTGCATCTTCGGAGATGCGGATATCCGCTTCTAATGGCGAGAAAGATTTCCACTGCTCGAGGAAATGCGCGTCCGGCATATACGCATGGGCACCTGGTTGCCCTGTCGCCTCCGGTACTGCTACCGGGCGTTGAGACGACGACAGCGACAGCGACGAGAAAGCCGCCGCAGGACCTGGTTTCAGCCTGAAGGGACGTCCCTGCTCTCGCCATAGTCGTTCACCATCATCGTACCCCGATTGGCCGTTGATATCTGCAATGAGATATGAATCGCGATGGGCCTGTGTTTCCACAGAATAGTACGCCCGCGTGGAAGCGATACCCATGTGGATGATCAGGTCCGGGCGACGGCCACCATGTGCCTCTTTGAAGTTCTCAATAATGGCTGGGACAGTCGTCCGGACAGTCGAGTATGCGACGGGGATCGGCGAGGGGTGGACATGGATGGAGATCCGGCGCGGCGAGGAGGCTGTTGCCGTCGCCCCGGGAAATGTCAACGAAGTCGGCAGAGACGAGGCAATCAGGAACGAGGCATTGACCAGATTCGTGCCGAAGGGCTGGCTCTTGGTTCAGCAATCACTCCCCCGGGTTCCTCCTCCCCTGTGTAGCTCCTACTTACCCCGAAGCCCGTGACGAGCACGGAGATCTCATCCTGGGCGTCCGCAGGCAACGATGAGATACCGCCAGCGACCTGTGCAGGGGATACCCGGACTTCTGGCCCGTAGTCCCCCATGGCTGAATCTGACGACCTTCCTTCAGCAGTCCGCTTAATTACCTGGGCAGTCTCGGCAACTTGATAAGGAGAAGTTGCGGGGTAAGACGCGAGTCGACCAACACCGTGAGTGCCAGACAGAGCCAAATCGGTTCTGAAGCAAAGCAATAGAGGTCAAAGATGTAAATCCTCGCACTCGAGGCGAATGCAGAAGGTGTCAGAAATCATAAGACAGACGGAATGAGACGACGGCCGGCGTTACAGCGCTGCGAGCCTTTTGCGTCATGGCCTGTGTCCAACCCAAGATAAGGTTGCGTGGTATGTTTCCTGTTTTGGGACACTCCGAATCCATTTCCGTCCACCAACACTTCTCTCTCTCTCTCTCTCTCTATCCCTCTCCCTCTCTCTCATCAGAGACCCGAATTCTCTGGCAGCCATTTTCCAATGAGAACGTATGAGAAGTGGTCGTTGTGTTTATACCACACTTGCTAAAAGAAGCACAGACCCGGTTCCCTGCAAAAGCAGTGCTCAACGGGCGCTGCCCAGCTACGGCTGCCATGGGTAAGCTGAGGAGTCCTCTTCGTGCCATAATTAATAGTCTGATATGTGAAACAATCGAACAGCAAGGATATAGCACCCCTCTGAAGTTATCTACCATTCTCCTATCTGTCGGTGCCTAGAACTACTGCATAGCTCGGAAGTCCGCGTCATGCTGCATTCGGCCAGTCGAAGGTCCACTTTCGCCCTCGCTTAGTACGGAGTATTATGGTATCACAAATTCATATTGTTTGGACGGGGTAGGCTGGACAGTGCGCTCCGGAGTACATTATATTATTGTGGTTAGCAATAATTCCTTAGACCTCAGGATAACAGTACCCGCTTGTTTGCTGACGAATCCTTTCAGTTTCCAGGCCGTGCAAATGGACCAGGTCAAATCATCAACCACCTAAATGTCAGACAGGTACACTACCAGTGCTCGGTACAAAGATGATATGGAGAATTCCCCACTCATCTCAGCCCATTAATCGTACTACGACGAATCGAGCTTGAGCTAAGACTGCTGGCAATCAAGATGGACCAGGGTATGGGCATTTATTTCATCGAAAGAGCCTAGTCCTTTCCCCTCTTTATTATTATTCAAAACGGTTGTCGATGCTCTGCGAATTGCTCGCCAAAAACGCAGTTACCCCCCCTCCCCCCCTGAACAATGGCGCTGATCGCCGGGTTCCTGAAAGATGTCTATGTCTGGTCGGGGATCCTGGCGGCGTTGATCATTGTGGTGGTGACCAGCCTTTTTAGCGAAGTAGCAGATGAGTTCTTCTATAAGGGGGTTCCCATAGTGGGGAAGGAGAATGGCGAAGTCACGAACAAGAAGGCGAAGATGCGCTTTTTGATGTCTGCCAGGAGTTTGATCAAGCAGGGATTCGATCAGGTATGTGATGACCGCGCGACAGAGACCTGTGAAACCGACCGGAAAGCTGAACGATGAATTTTCTGGGGATAGGGCTATTCCAGGTTTCAAATCATGGCTACTTTCCGACCTGTCATCGTGCTGCATCCTAAGTACATGGAGGAACTCAAAAGCCATCCCGATCTGAGTTTCGAGGAGGCGATGAACAAGGCGTTCTTCGGAGGAAAGTACCCAGGCTTTGATGTTTTCGCGCCCATTGACCATGAAAATATCTTGTTGGACGTGGTGAGGGGCAACCTCACGCAAGCCCTGAGTGAGTGGTAGTCTTTTTTTCTGCATGTATAAAAAACGATCGGACAGGTTGGTTGACTCTGTTCTCGGCGACTAGACTCTCTTGCGATCCCCCTTTCGAAGGAGACCGCTGCATCGTTGGAGGGCACTTTCCCTCCTTCCAAAGGTATGAGAGACATCCAGAGCCTGATTCCATACGGTGATCTGACGCAGATGTGACTTGCCTAGAATGGAAGCAATATATTTTTGCCCAGCAAGTTCCCCTCTTGGTTGCTCGTATTTCGTCGCTCGCCTTCCTCGGCACTAGAATTTGCCGTAACAAGGACTGGCTGAATGTATCGGTGAATTATACCATTGACTCGTTTAATGCTGTGCGTGTTCTTCGGCTGTGGCCACCGTTTTTGCGGCCCATAGTCCACTGGTTCCTGCCGGAGGTTCAAAAGCTGCGCGACCACCTGCGCGTGGCCCGTCATATCGTCCAGGATGAAGTCGAGCAAAGGAAACTGATCCGAGAAGGCAAGATTCCTGAACCCGAACCTCCCAGAACCCATCCGGATGTGTTGGACTGGTTCCGGGAGACAGCAGCTGGCAGGCCGTTTGACTATGCCTTGGGCCAGGTTGCGCTTTCGCTTGCTGCGATCCACACCACATCATATCTTCTTACGAGTGTCATGTATGATCTAACGGCAAACCCCGAATTCATCGACGCACTGAGGGAGGAGATTCGGAAGGTACTGCAAGAGGATGGCGGGATACAGAAGTCGAGCCTCAGTAAGATGAAGCTCCTGGACAGTGTTTTAAAGGAGACGCTGCGACTGAACCCGACCGGCATGAGTAAGTTCCCGCTTCCTGCATAATTTCGATTGGTTCAGTGTTTTTAAACAACATCCGCAGCTGTCTTGCACCGTGTCGCAACCCGAAATATTACCCTCTCTGATGGAGCCGTCCTTCCCAAGGGAGCGACAGTCGTCGTTTCCGGCCACTCTATGCGCGATGCGGCGATCTACGAGGACCCAGAGACGTGGGACGGGTACCGATTCCTCAGACTGCGCGAGCAACCGGGGAGCGAGCACCGGTATCAGCTCGTGACGACCAGCAACCAGGACTTGGGGTTCGGCTGCGGCACGCACGTCTGTGCCGGGCGGTTCTTTGCCGCCAACGAGATTAAGATCATTCTGATCCACCTGCTGCTCAAATACGACTGGAAGTTTGAAAAGGAGGACCAGGACCGACCACCGTCGATCGATATCGGGACAGAGATGATGGCCAACCCGATGGTTTCGATGCTTTTCAAATCCCGGGAGCCAGGAATCGACTTGGCCAGTCTTGGGCTTTAGCTTCTGCTTCTTCTTCTTCTTCTCCTTCTTCTTCTCTTTTCTTCTTCATCCTTTCTTCATCTGTCCTGCTTCCTGCTTCCCTCTTCATTTCTTTCCCTTTTCCTTTTTCCTGTCTCATTTCACTGAGCTTCCACGCACTTTCCGGGCATACATTTGGCATTTAAATTGCTATATACCTACTGTTCGAGGCTAGCAGGTATACATATTCTAATACTGGAGGCATATTACACACATTTGGCGAGTCCACTTTTACCATGTACTACTTGGAATGGCTCTATCGATCTACGAATCATCTACGCATCTTTTTCTGCAGAAGGATATGCCCTTGGAATCTAGAATAGTTGAATTAGGTAGGCATACGCATTCGATTCAGCCGTCGAATTGATAGTACAAAATAGGAACCCTCTTGTAGCGTGTAGATAGAGAATTAAAGAGCGATGCTAAGCCTGGAGCCCTCTACTCTACTCTATACTCCATATTCTTATCCACAGTGGAGCGAGCAACCATATTATTATTAGGAACAGAATTCAACCATCTGGGTTCCTGCAGTAAATACCAGATTAATATGGAGCGCATCGAACACCCGCCAGGCACGAAGTAGCTAAAGAGTATGTATGGAGTACTTCGTAGACTCCAGAGACTGTTGGGTACCTAAATCTATACAGCGGAGGATACTAAGGTATGGAGAGTGGACTAGTATGAAAACAGTAATATTACCACTGGTACAGGACACGCGAGTTGGCGCGCTTCAGCGCGCGTCACTCGCGTCCAAGTCGCGTTTACCCCTCATTCTTTCCATTTTCGATCGGACCATCAAGGCGTTTAAGGCTTAAGCGAGTCAGATAAGCACACTTAATAATAATTGACAGTCTCATCTTAGTTGGTGAGTTGGTTAACCAACTAGCTACCTATCTAGCTACTCCGTATCTAGGTATCTACCTGATTATGTCCTCTGCATCTGCATACAATTGGGCACGTTCAGGCTGAGAAGGAACCAACACACCTTAAGACCAACTACTACTACCAAGGCTCATCCCGTTCTCGTGGCAGCAGGTTTGCGGTCACACCGTACCCAGGCCAGATCGAAGCGGTGTCTGCGGTGGAGACTGGCTGAACGATGGGAGACAAACTCCAGTCTATACTGGGGACTTGGGGACAGTCCACCACTTGATATGCGGTATTCATCCTTTAGGGCGTCAGGCGGGCCGTCCACGGTGCCAGTCTGTCAGTGTGACTCAGTTGATTGTCCCAGCCACCGACCGACTTTGTAACTTTCCACATGGTCACGAAAATTAATTGACCAGAGGCCTGTCCCATTTTCCCATTGAAGAGTAGCAGCGGTCGTGTTCCTGGCTAGTATTGGTCTAGTACTCGCTAGGTGGTCTAGAGTCCATGATGAGTCCATCCAATCTCCATAACGAAACTGAATCGGGGGGGGTGTGATAGAGGAGTGTTGGAAGTTGGGAGATCCCGCTCAAGGAGAGATTCTAAAAACCTGGAGGCCAACCTCGTACCGCAGCAAAAAAACACAGCCCTTGCAGAGAGCCCAACGGAATGACACCACTGTTCGAGGGTTGCGCTCTGCGCTGCGTGGGTCGCTTCTGCTTCGCCTGCAGGCGACCTCGACCAGCGAGGGCTTTCATTCGCTCTGCGGCGGAATTTATTTTTTTTTATTCCCATGAAAATTTCTCGCAGCATATTGGACGAACGTTTGGCACGGTGAGGCGAGTTGCGTCTCGCCGTTACCCGCCGACAACAGTTTCCATCCAGTAAGCGTAGACTGTAAACCACAGCTGTTCAGAGGTAGTATACTCCGTACTCCGTAGGTACTCAGTGTTCACCATCCACGATTACCGCTGTTGGCCATTTGTAAGGCTCGTGGGTGGTGTATCCGTAATCTGTATTCAGCTGGAGGCGTCCCTGCTCGTCAGCGTCATCTTTCCAGACTCTAAAACTCCCCGGTCACGATACCTGAAGCCGACGCGGGCTCTGATCTATCGGCCTGTGGGCAGATGCTCAGAAGACCTCCGCATTCCAGACCCCTGGGTAAGAGGTATCCTCCCTCCGTAACGAGAGGGCCTCCCCTCCCCTCCCCTCCCCGTCTCTGACCCGAACAAAGAACGCCTGCCCTCAAAGAACCGAACAATTGTCTTCTTGATCAACCTTTAAAGCTCCTCTTAGCTCCCGCTCAGCGTTGTCTGGTCTCGCCAGTCGGAACCCTCGACGTGTTTCATGGGCCGTGATTCGGGGCGGTGGAACCCCTGAGATTAGCAGCCTTTTGGGGGGGGGCCCTTCCCGAAGGGAGGTGCCGTTTCTTACCCACGCTTAACTAATCTTACTGTCCGTTACTGTACCGTTTCAGTGCCCACGGCCTCTTCCTCCCTCTCTCTCCTCCTCCCCCCCAACCAGCCATCCTCCTGCGAGCGCGTCGCTCGCCTGTCACGTCTCTCCCAGCTGGTTGAGTCTCCTACTTCTTCCCCTTCCCCCTCAATTACGCTTCCCCAGCTCTCCGCTATACGTCCTGTCTTTAGTTTTCATTTGTGCTGGTTTTTTCCTGGTTTATCGTGAGAGAGAGCGTGCGGACGTGCCATACTTCAGATCCCTCCGACAAGTCCCCAGCGGAGCCATGGAGCGCAGGTGCCATCCGATGTGAGCCCTCGAGACAACCCTGCTTTTCGTGTCGCATCGTCGATCTTCTTCGTCAATCGCTTCATGGGTGTCTCCTTGTCTTGCATGCCTAACGACCGAAAACGAAACCCATAAAAAACAACAACAAGAAGAAGCCCGACGTCACAATTCCTTATCGCGTTTCCTTGCCTCTTTTTTGACGACCTCACGACCCAAACCTCACTCACCTACCTGCTTTTCTTTTCTTTTCTTTTCTTTTCTTTTCATTTCTCTTTTGATTTGAGTATACGTGCTGAGTGTACTGTCTCTTGTTGCGGGCTTGATCTTTTGCTTGTACCGCAGAGAGCTGCCGCGTGGTGGACAGAACTATACCGGAGGATATACGCGGAATGATATTGGTGGAGTGATCCTACAAAGAACATACAAAGAAGAAAGAATCAGTCCTTGCGATGGACAACTTCGCCATGGCCGGTCGTAGCCAGCAAGGCTTCTCGCGCACGCTACCCAAAAACTTCACATTTTCGGCCGGCAATGAACCGAGAACACCCCAGCGAGTGTCGGCTTGGGCGGATATACCTCCGCCTCCGCCGCGCCATTCCAGCTGTCGCGTCAGACGATCTCGCGTCCGCTCAGGGACCGACATCTTTGCGAGAGCCGACTGGGATTCAAACCAGTTCAAGGCCGGGCTTTACGACGTCCCGCTACCATCTATTGAAGTTGCGCCAACACCGGAAGCTGAACTCTCACGATCTGGTCCTGATTCGCAAGCCCCGGTTGCCACGAGTGACCGGTTCCTTGCGCCGCCGCGTGAACGGCTGATGCTCAAAACGCCTCCCGCGCAGATCCGGGCCGCGTTGACGGACTCCAAAGAATCGCCCGAGCCGTGGACCCCCTGGGATCACCGGAACCCGGGAGAGCCCATCCAACGACCGGGGTCTGCTTGCTCCAATGCTTCGGACTCCTCGGTGTCGACCATTGAAACCTATGCCTCCCGCCGATCGGTTGGCGGCAGCTGCACCAGTCCGGAGAGCGACATCCACGACCCGTTCTTCTACCTCGAGATCCCTAGAAAATCAGTCGTCCAGTCTACTCCGGTCCCAGACAAAAAATCCAAAGACAAGGCCCGCGACCTTCCGCGGAAGCGCCGGTGGACGCTGGAAATGGACAATCATCTGTGGAACACCTACCAGCTTTACATCCAAGACCCAACCATCACCCCTTTTAAAATGACCCCGGGCAGCATCCCTCCCCTCGGAGTTACTCATCGTGTCGCCCGCGAGGCGAAGAGAGCCTGGGATAAAAGAAAGTCCAAGGCCGCTCGCCCTCTACAGCTTGACGCTCGTCCCTCTGAACCGACAGAATCCGGCTACCTAGCCCGTCGTAAAGTGACTACATTGGCAGAGAGTCGGAGCGGCAGCACGACGCCGACGACGATAAAGTGCACTCCCGCACGGCTTTTCTGGCCTCGATCCGAATCCTCCACTCGGAGACGCCTCAAGCTGCTCTGCCAACGCAAATTCTCAATCGCCCCGCATTATCAGAGAATGATGGAATCTCATAGCCCGGAACCACCCATGGACCTCTTTTCTCGCTCATCGGGGCAGCCGTCGCGCGCGGTCGTGCCCGAAAACAACACTACCGCATACGCCACGCGGGATCTGGGTGTGTCCCTGGCCTCTACTTCGGTTCCTGAACCGTTGTTACAGCTTGCCACCGAGGATCTTTCCCATCCAGCAACGCGTACCCTGGCCGCCTCCTTTGATCATCCTGCCCATCTTGGATCGTATCCGCCCTCTGAGAGCACCTTGATGAAGAGGCCCGCTAGCATGGGTCACCCTGGCCAAATCCCCCGTCTTGGCTCGCCGTTTATGTATAGCACCTGGGGCCCGGAACGCTCTCGGCGACGTGCCCACCACCTCCATACCCCCATGGGCCGCCGGGAAACTATTCATATCACAAACCCTCGATTCCGCTTTCCGCTTCCCCAAATGGAAGCTTATCCCGCGATGCAAACCGCTGTCCCACAAACTCAAAACAGCAAACCCGACAGCAATGCTACTCCCAGCCAAGAACAACAACAGCATCATCAACAACAACAACAACAAGATGATGACCGCCACTTGGAGAACTTGCTCAGCCAGAACAAAGTCAGCAATATTGGACCGCGCCGTGTGCGTCTTCGCAACCGTGGAGCAACGGTGAGCGCCATCAACACAAGGGGTCTGGATCAACTCTTCTCTCCCCCATCCCCCTTTGGACAAGACGACGGGCGGACAACAACCGACAAGCCTCTTCCCAACCCTCTCCTCAATATCAACGGCGAATCCATCAAGCGGCTTGGCTCGCCCTTCAAGCTTCAGGCGCCCAGACGCTCTGACGGGTTCAGGGGACATGCGCCCTCTTTGTCCGATCCGTTTGCGAGAAACTCAAAATCTCCCCATAAAACCACTGCCAGGCCGTTTCCCCATTCGCCGGGGGCACAACCTACTCTTCCTTATAACTCTACAGAGGAGAGAGCCCCTGATGCAGAGCAGATCAGAAGGCAGACTTTCAGTACGCCTTTCACTCAGCAATGGTGATTACCAAACGTTGCTCCTCGAGCTATTCTCAATAAGAGCACCGCTCTCCTGTCTGACCTTATGATTGAAATGATTTACTGCAGCCCTCGAAAAAAAATTCTTAGAATTACGACAGCAACGGCAGTGACGACTTTAATGACCCGCCGAAGACATTTCGTCTCTGTTCCAGGATGGAACCGCGGAATAACGACAAAAAAGAAGAAAGAAAAAAAAAAAACCAGAAAAAGCGCCCAAATAAACCCCATTGATTATTGCGACTGTTGACCAGCACAGTCGACCTCGTCTTCGACATTCTTTAAATTTCCTATCTGCTTCTCTTTACTATTGTCAGCCAACTGCAAGACGGCATCATGGAGATGTAACCATCGAGCCAACAGCTCTTTTGACCATGATGCCCACTACTCTACCACTCTTTGGACCTCTTTTCTTTTATTTCACTATTACCAATCAACCACTCACCAGTCATTCGACAGTTACAAATGAGTCGAAGGGGTCAACAGTAACCCAGCTCATCCACTCGACTGCTCAAACTCGTTATCTTGAGCATATATTTCCTTTTATCATGACCCAAGACAAAAAAAAAGATTCTACCTGATGCACGCTTTGATTTAAACAAGAAGTGACCACTGACTTCAGTCCATGAATGAAATGACCCTTTTTCATATATGAGATGAAATGAACCGCTACGACATGTGTGATGTCCTGAAATGCAAGCGTTGCCGAAATCCTGCTGCTCTCTGCCTTCTTACCTGTTCCTCAATTGAGAGCCTGTTGTCTCTTTCTTTCCCATCTTTTCCCATCTTTTCTATCGATCTGTCAGATTAGCCTTGTTTGTTCTTCCTGACATTTCCTTGATCTGTTTTTTCTTCCTTCTCTTCTTACCTGCTAGAGTACTCTAATTCTCCATGTAGCATTTTCGCTTTTTGGATAGTCTGGTTCGAGTCTCTATATTACCATTTTATAACTTATCTTCAAAGTAGATAGATCTACGTAGCCACGAATGAAAAAAAAAATAAAAATAAAAATATACAAGGCAAGCAAAAGTATTTGACTGCGGGACTAATTAACTAGCTCATTGCTCTCTGGAGTACAAGAAGATGATGACCAGATTGACCGAAACGCCCATTGCTTCAAGGGGGTATAAAAGAGGAGGTTGTTCCAGAATTTCACGTTCAAGGGCACAAAGAAAAGAAAAATGAAAGAAAAGGCAAAAACATCAGAAAAAACAAGGGGGGGAAAGGAAAGAAGTAGACCGAAAGATTCAACGTCTCTCCGTCTTTCTCTTCCGCTCTGCAAACACCGCCTCCAACTTGCGGATCTGGAGGGCGAGGCCCTTCTTCTCCGCGTTGGCGAGGAGCCACGTCTCCATCTTCTGGCGCACGTGCTTCATGGCCGCGAGGACGGGGAACGCCGCACGTACGCTGCGCGTATTTTCCTTTCCTTCCGGAACCGTGGTGACCGGACCGGACCGATCCGCCAGCTCCGTCCAGCGGTCCGACAGTGGATTGAGGAGGAGATCGAACACGTCGTTCCACAGCTCACGATCCCAGTAGCGCTTCAGGGACTCACGGATACGGTATGTCTTGTGTCCGGCGGCAACGGCGGCGGCAACGGTGGCGCGAGGGTTGGGACTGTTGCTGTGCTCGTTGCCGCGCGCGGCCGTCGTCGACTCGATGTACTTGCCAAAGAGCATCACGTGGATGGTGCCTGCCATGCCGTACAGGTCGATCTGGTGTGTCCAGGGCCGCATCTCCCGGATTTCGTTGCACTCGTGCGGGCCGGGCTCCCAGTCGGCGATGAACTGGACCGAGGGCTGGAAGGCGTGCATGTCGATCGCGCGGCCAAAGTCGATCAGGGCCAGGCCTTTGTTGCGCCAGCCGAAATTGCCGTCGGGCGAATAGTGGATTTCGCGCGGGTCCGCATTCTCGTCGTCTCCCCCGCAGTGTGACGGATTGGCCAGGCTGTTGGATATCTCATCAAATCGAACGAGACAGTTATCGGCCTTGATATCACCGTGCAGGATACCGCAGGCGTGAAGCGCTTCAACAGTCCGGAAAAGCTCCACCGCAAAGAACATGGCCAGGACTTCATCCATGCCAGGGTCGTTGCTGTTGGTCGCAAGATTTTCCTTTCGAATCACATTGATCAGATCAAGGAGTGTGCCCTGGTCCCGGTAGTCTTCCACCAGCAAGCTCTCCCCCTGGAAGATGTGCATCTCGTGTACACGGACAATGCTTTCTGCTGCACGAGAGAACTTTGGATGCTGGAACAACCGTTCGTGGGCCGCTTTGATCATATAGAATTCCCAGGGATTGGGCGGACCGACCTCGAGTTTGAGGGCTTCGAGTGCACCCCGGCCGAGCCCGCGCAGCTGTGACGCGTTGGTATGGGATCCTTCACTTTCTGGTTCCGAAGACTGATATTCCTCCAAGCTCTCTACACTTTCTGCGAGATAAACGGGAGCGTAGGCACCAGCGCCCAGTTCTCGCTTGATAATGTAGTTTCGTTCCGCACCAGAGATGTCTAGCGCAGGTGCCTCGAAGGCCGTCTTATCACCGCTCTTGGACCGCTTGCCAAGAGTCTTCGTGAACTTTCGAATCTCTGAAGCGTAATCTGAGTTCTGCGCGGAGTGATCAACGTAGCCGTGGTATGTAGACAAAGGTGGGTTCAGCGACAGAAGAATGGCCTCTCGAATGGCAGCAGTAGTAGGATTGCACTGCATGTCATCGATGACCACTTCCTTCTGAACATTGACCTTGGGTGAGCGACTCAACAGCGGGCTAGCACGCATCTTCTTCACCATTGGGCTCTGAGACACATCATCAGTAAAGCATGTGAATCTCTCCTCTTGCTGTGGAGTGCCTGCGATGGAAGGGCTGGAAAGAAGGTCACCGATGGCTGGGACCTTTGGGGGTGTCTGGTCGATAAAATGCATCGGTTTGGAAGGCGTTTTAGTATCGTACATGTGGTTGCGCGCCGCGGTCATGGATATGGAGTATTCAGTCCGCTCCACGATAGGAGTCATGAAAGGCAGTCGATTCTGGGCCATGATTGCTGGGTCGCGATAGGGTCCGTAGGGAGGATCGTAGTCTTCAGGCATTTCCGGTACGAACCTGCCTCTACCGTTGAGAGCGGCTGTGTCGTCTTCGAAGTCTTGAGGATCCTGAGATGAAGGGTGAGAATTATGAGAAGAAAGTTCCTGGTGATTGTGTTCTCTGGCTGTGAATTCAGTCCATTCACCAGGTGCAAGACTCTCAGCGTGGGTCTCATCACTATAACCATCTTCATCGGCACCCCCCTCAAAGAATCGGTGAGATGTATTGGTCTCATCCTCACCAAAGTCACTAGAAGCAGCTGAGATATGACCAGTACATGTACTCTCCCCAGCACTAGTGTAATCATCATCTTCATAGTCACTGCCGCAAAGACTATCTGCTCTTTCTTCAGTCTCAGCCTTGAGAGGCTGGTTGAAAATACTGTAAATCTCATCAGTTGCAGCCCGAGTATGAATAGTCATTGTTGGTTCTGCTGTGCTCTTGCGTCGAATCTTCGCTTTTGCTGGTGAATCGAAATTCATTTTTACTGCATGTCCAATCAGCCTCAGGTAAGCCCTACAGCAGATATTGCTTCCAAAGGGGCAGAAGAAAAGATAGAGGTGATATATTTCATACTTGTCTGGGGCTCTTCCTTGACCTCGCGCACTTTCAGTCGTCTTGCTTTTCCAGACTTGCCATCTATTTGATCGAATCTTTGTTCGTGCTGTCGCGCTTTTGTGTCATCTATGACCAGACCTTCGATGAGTTGGCTGGGAATTTCATTTTCGCAGCTACTGTCCGAATGTTTGCCAGTACCTTGCCTCGTCGACGGGACGTTGCCAGAGATCTGCTCTAGCGGTTGCTTGTATGCCTTCCAATCCATATCCATCCAGCCTCGGTTCATTGCCCTTAGCTCCTCGAAGCTGATCTCGTGGTTTGGGTTCCTGCGGTCGGGATATACTGCTTCAAGGTCGACAAAGACCCGTTCCCGTCGCCCAGAACGGGGGTTTATAGCTTCCCTTACATGATGTTCTGGAATCTGCTTAGGTTGGATTGCCTCTTTCTGGGATTGCTTTGATTGTGACTGAATACATAAAAGCGTAAAAACCAAAACGGTTCCATGCCACCAATTAGTCCTGCAATTGTAAATATGTGAGGATTTAGAGAAGGTGGTTTCGAATCAAATAGGACTCACCTCATCCCTGAAAATCGCCATTTTCTGCACTGGTGCAGGTTTCTTGCCAGCCTTCAATGTCTCCCCTGTCCAAGGCCTTGCCTCGACTTTATTTTCCTTCCTTCGGTCCGAAAGCGAGCCGATACCTTCCCACCCTGTTGTCTTCGCACCCAGAGCAGGCTGTTCGACTGACGCTGCGTCTGCATCGGAAAAGATCGCCATCTTTGGCTTTCCAGATTTTGTCTTCGAGCCGCCTCCAAGAGTAGGCCTATCAGGCTGTGCTTGCGGCTCCGATGATGGACTTTCGGCAGCTGCAGAAAACGGGTTGACTTTCGCGGCCAGCGCTGGACGAACCGCTGGTAATGCAGGCGACGAGGGTCCGGTGTCTTGTGTTCGTTGCTCATAGCGTTGTTGAAACTCGTTAAACTTCCGATGCAGTCGCTCGACAGGGCGAGCTTCACGCTGGAGACCAAGCATATATACCTCCTCTGCCTGAGACCACCTTCCAGCGCTTTCCAACCACGCCGCAAATTCTTCGTAAAAGAGCGCGAGACTCTCGCCAATGTGGTGGCGCGCTAAAAAGGCGAATGTTTCACGCGGCGCATCGGAAAACAGCCTGATATAATGAAGCCACAGACGCAGGTATCGAGGATCGTTTTTGTAATGTGGTGACGAGAGAAAGGCTTTGGTCGCCTTTTCGAGAAGGGGGAGAAGTCCGGACTCGGCAGTTGCCTGGGCGGACGGATAGGCGTTTAACATCCACTTAACATATCGGTCGTAAACATCAAGAGGGTCGTCTGATTCTCCAACGAGCTGTAGTTCGGCTTCGTATTCCTCCCTGATGGCGTCGTTCAGAGTCCTTGTGTCGTTTGGAGAAGGTGCAACATATTTGTCTCCTTCTTTGCCTGCTGAAAAGATGCGAGCAAGCTCTCTTGCCGATCGGCCTCCAGGTAAGGACTGGACGTTCTCCTTCTGGGCCTCGAGGATGTCGAAATCGACTGGGTCATTTGAGGTCGCCATCGCGACGACTGCTGTGTGTATTCAGTCAAACGAGTGGAACGAAGGAACGATCACTGGGTTGTTATCGAGTACAGGAGAAAAAAATTGAAGACGCTTGCTGTACCCGGTTTTTGTTGCTGATTCACTGCGTCTGAATCTGTCGCGAGTAATTTGTCGAGATTGCAGTCGTTGCTTTCTTTCTGTCTTGTCGATAATCGATAAACAGCGAAACACGTCGTTGCCCTGGAGACAGCCCACGTGACACGCTAGCCTTTTCTGTTCTACAGCCTTGAGATGAATAACCTCATAATTATATAAGAAGACTGCTAGGAAACACAGTGTAGGAAAGAAGATGTCAGTAAGGTTATTATAGTAGTCTCTTTTTCTTTCGACAGAAATTAGTATAGAGAACAATTGCCCTAGTTCTATGATAGCATAATAAGTAGCAAACAAGTCGTCTGTAGCAGTTAGATTATGACATACTAATCCATTACTCTTCCAGATCACTGGCTTATGGACTCCCCTAAGGCATCAGATATAGTCCCGCCCGCTCACCTTCATAATTGCATCAAAATATCTCGATCGAGGTCTTTTCCCTATTTTATTCCGGGATGCGGCAGAGGCTCAAAACGCTGTCTACGGAAGCCGAAACGTACCAAAACCGAACTCCTCCCTATCAAAGATACAACGGACCCCTTCCAGCACATTTCCACTGACTGGTTGGACTCAGCCTTGACTATTTCATCATTTCAAAGTCCCTGGACATTTCCTAGCTACTTGGGAATTCCAGTGCATCCATCTCCTGTTCTATTATGCCTCGTGGGTCTCGGAATAGAGCTCCCGGTGCTCTCAGTTCAGAAGCATCTTTGAATGCCAAACATAGCTCGTCACCGGTCTCGAGAGGAGGTGCTCAGAAAAGAAACATTGATGGGGCTGAAGGGCTTTCTCCCCGGAGGTCAAAACGTGTCAAAGGGAAAGAAGAGCATATCCCTCATGAAGATGAAACCGATATCAAGATAGAGGAAGATATCGAGATAAACACTAGAAAACACACCTCTCTGGCTTCCAAGGCCAGTCAAAAGAGACCGTCGGTCAAGCAGGAGGAAGAAGAGGAGGAATTTGAGTTGAAGCAAGAGGACGGCCAGGCAGCGAAAGCATCTGTGACTGAGAAGACGACAAGAAAGAGGAAGTCGAAAGAGGAAGCTAAAGCAGAGACAATGCCCTTGGCAGCTCGAACACAAGGGCTCCGAATGTTTGTAGGAGCCCATGTCAGTGCAGCAAAAGGTGATCTTCCTGCTTCTCCCTTGATCCTGTGTGTTTAATATTGACTTTATTCCCAAGGCGTTTTTAACGCTGTCAGCAACAGCACTCACATAGGGTGAATATCTCTCTAGCTCTTGGTTTCCCGCTCACTGGCAGAAAACTAACCTTGGCTTTCTAGTGGCAATGCCTTTGCCCTGTTCTTGAAGTCTCAGCGGAAATGGGACAATCCTCCGCTGCAGGATGACCATCGAGATCAGTTTCGACGTTTCTGTCATGAACAGAACTATGATGCATCAAAGTGAGTGCTTATACTAGTTCCGTATAGATGGGCTTATCTAGTTCACTGACATCTAAGATATGTCCTTCCCCATGGCTCATACCTCGTCAACTTAGCACAAGAAGACAAAGCCAAGGCCAAGCAGGCCTACGACTCTTTCTTAGATGATCTACGTCGCTGCGAGTCTCTCGGTATAACTCTTTATAATTTCCAGTAAGTAGTCAAGGGGTGTTGAATAAATGAAAAGATCTGAAAGCTTACCCAGTTTCCAGCCCCGGAAGTGCAAACCAAAGCAGTCTCCCCGACGCTCTCGCCCGTCTCGCAAAAGCCTTGACCAATGCCCTTTCAGAGACATCAACCGTGGTCCCTGTCCTTGAAACCATGTGCGGGCATGGTAGTACAATCGGAGGCTTCCTCTCCGAATTCCGTGATTTACTGGCGCTGATACCCAGTGAGCATCACCCCCGAATTGGGATCTGCATAGATACCTGCCACAGCTTTGCCGCTGGCTATGACCTTGCCTCTCCTGTCGGATTCCAATCCTTCTTGAAAGAGTTTGACGACCTGATCGGAATCAAACATCTCCGGGCTCTTCACCTGAATGATTCCAAGGCACCACGCGGAAGTAGGCGAGATCTGCACGCAAATATCGGTACGGGCTTCCTTGGCCTGCGTGCCTTTCATAATGTGATGAACGAACCTCGCTTTGAAGACATTCCGATGATTTTAGAAACACCTATTGATCGCCCCGAGGGCTCAGTTACGTCTACTTCCAAGACTGTTGCCTCAGCCGGCTGTCGGCATGACAATGATGAAGGCGATGCAGGGGGTGAGAGTGAAGTCGAGGTAAAGAAGAAAGGGAAGAAAAAGCCCGCGACCGCTAAGCCGGCCATGGTATCCGATCCGGAAATCTGGGCACGTGAGATCAAGTTGCTCGAGTCTCTGATTGGGATGGACCCTGAGGGATCCGAATTCAAGAGTCTAGAGGCGCAGTTGGCCGAAGAAGGACGAGAGATGCGGGAAAAGCAGCAGGCGCAGTACGAGAAGAAGCTCGAAGCAGAAGAGAAGAAACGAAATAAGGCCGTGAAGGGTCAGAAGACGCTGGTGGACATGATGAAGCCTGCCGCAAAGAAGTCGAAGAAGAAGCAAGAGCTCGCTTCGGACGATGAGCTTGAGACTTGACTTCCAAAATATAAAGCGTTCGATGTACCACAATTCTATCAATAGGAGCATCTAAAATTATACGGTGCATACTGCCAAAGACGAGTACTGCTATAAATCATATTCTAGACACCGTCAACCGAAGCAATGGTATCATCTAATAGAGAACTATTCCAGAATCCACCTCAAGATGTCCGTGAATTACACCCCCCAGAGAGACTAAAAACAGTCAAAAATCCCTCTCAGCCAGCTCTCAGGAACAGGGTATACATAGATAAAGCAAGGAATGACGGCACAGACAGGTCTAAATAGAAGGCCAGAACGGACGAAAGGAGAAAGAAAAGGTGACGGTGGATAGGTAGGGACTTATTTAATATTCAAGGAAACCCGTTTCCTCCTAGATAGCAAGAAAAAAAAAAAGTCACACCTCCATATTCTGGACATGAGAAAGCCGATAAACTGGTTTTAAAGGAGAAAAAAGTAACCTGAGACTGATAGTCACATAATGATACCTGTAGCGTACGACCAAGGAAGCAAACAGTTTTCCGGGGGCGTCCAGGCCCCGTTCAGCGTGAAAACTGGGTAAAACGGTATTTTTTCCCCCTTGGATGAAATATAAAGAATACTCTGCTCACGCATGGCGTTCAGGGGAGACAGAAGAAGCCGAATGGCTTCCAGGGCTTGAACCACGTTCAATCGGACGGAGCGAGCGGTCATGGTCGGGACCCCCAAATGTGTGCTTTAGGGGGGATGCAGACACTATACGAGGAGAGATTTGGCGATCCTGTTCCCCAATGCCTGGAGTGGGAATCGACAGACTCTGTACACCACTGCTGGCACCGCTCGTACGAACACGGAACGAGTTCCGACCACCAGAAACCCCCTCGGATGGAGAGGTGTTGCGAGAGTCTCGGGAAGGGTTCGTGGCTCCTTCCTCGGAATTGAGAAGGCCTCGATACTCACCGCGACCGTCCTGCACGGGACTAAAGTCGTCTGAATCGGATCCAGGGTTTGGGCTTCGGTCCAAGGCATCCTCCTTGGCCTCGCTGCGCATCTTTGAGATCTTCATGTAATTGTATGAGGCGATGCTGCCGATCGTAACAACCAGCCCAGTCACATTGACTGTCGTGAGTCGGTCATGAAAAACGACGCCAGCAGCGCTGATTGTAACTACCTCTTTGAAGATGCCGCAAATGCTCAAGGTGACGACTGACGAGCGTTTGAGCAGCGCAAATTCGGAAGAAATCATACAGAACGCCAGCAGCCCGGGAAAGACTAAAAGGAGGATCGCGTGTGAGATTCCATGGCTTTCTGCAAGAGCTCTAAAGCCTTGTGCGATCTCCACAGGGCCCTCAACTGTAAGAGCTATAACAATAAGAGAAAGGAACATGACCGGGTTGAGGAAAAAGAGTGTTGAGAACGGATTTGACGTGGCAGGGTGGCGAAGGAGGAGGATCTGGGTGAGCCCCCATCGGAAGCCCGAGAAGAAAGCGGATGCAATGACCAATGCAAAGCCAACCGCATTGAAGGCGGTTTCCCCAGCCACCATCATGATCACACCAATGGTCATCGTTGCGATGATGATAATGAGTTTAAGAGATGGAGCCTCCAGGCGGAACACAAAAGCAAAGAGAAGCACAAAGGCAAGAGCAGAGGATTTGCACATGGTGAGGAACGTGAGTGAGATGAACCGCAGCGACATGTTGCCGAGGCCAATGTCGAGCGACGTCGCTACGCCGCATGGAACCAGACGAGTGAAATAGAACATCTTTGTGACCACCGGCCTGGGTTCATCTGAGGATCCATGAGCGGCAGTGGACAGAGACGAGCTGCGAGGTCGTAAAGAAGGGAACAGCCAGAGGATACACGAGGAGAGCAGGAATTGAACGACCATATGCAAACTGGTGGTAAATAGCGGGAAAGGAAACACCACCTTCTCCTCCTCGTTGGCTCGATCCGAGAACATCCACTTGTTATACTGCAAGAAGAGAGGTGGTCAGCTGGTTAATTGAGAGTAGGCCAAACACATGGAGCAAACACTCACGATGGAGATGGCTAGCGAAAAGAAATACCATAGCCCGATCAGACAGGCGTTGGCCAGCAATCGCTTCATCACGGTTCTATCAGCCACACCCAAGCCATACGGATTGTGCTGCGAGGTCTTGACATCTGCAATCCGAGCATCCAACTGTCTCCGCTGTTTCCGTCGTCGCCGTTGTCGTTGTCGTCGTTGCTTCGCCGTAAGACCCGTCTCCTCGTCATCATGAAGATCGTTGTCAGAACTCATGTAATCCATCTCCACGCTCTCTGCAATAGATGAGAGATCCGAGCAGTCCGGCTCCTCCAGATTCAATGGCTTCTGATCTTCGCGCTGGCCGTCCTCCCTTTGCTCCCCCGGCCCTGAAGAGATTTGTGATGAAGGTCCAGCGCCAGCAAGAACCGAGCTCCGACGTCGATGGTGGCCTCTAGCAGGATCCAAACCCATACTGAACAATGCTCGACTGTCGGATTACGTAGCTCCTATGACGGCATATGGACCGTCGACACAGTAATCAGACCGCAAGCTGGCGTAGGCAAACGATGGTGGAAGTCAGGCACACGAGCGGCGACGATCTTCGATAGAGCGTGTAGGGAACGAGCGGTGACCCACGAAAGGGGCGCGTTTGGTTGGACAAAAGGGAGGGGAAACACCCCTCGATGGAATATAGAAAAACCGAAATGAATGTCGGTCAGGAGGGGGAAATATCCTCGAAGGTGAAAAAGAGAGACAGAAGAGGGAAAAGGAAGGGGAGAAGCTGAAGGGGCCGGTCGTGTGAGGTTGAGCGCCGCAGAGCACTGACACTGTCAGACCCGGTCGGGCTGGAGAGGGGGAAAGCAAAACACAACAAACTGCAGCATCAACGAGAGGAGAACAACGAGAGCTCACGTCTGGGAGCCTGGAAGCCTGGGAGCCTCCAGGGCGACAAGGATAAATGGCGAAAATTAGCAACTGGACGAGCTCATCGCCAACAGGCCTGCTGGCAGCTTGTTTCTCGTGGGTGGCTCAGTTTCTCAGTGCCGGGCGATCCGGAAGATCTTCCAGGGACTGACTATATTTTTCTTGATTCCAGGGAGCGATAGGCAGGATCAGAATTCCGGAGGATTTATCGCGAAACGGGGGAAAGATGAAGTTGCGATGAATGGGTCGATGACGGTCACACTGAGCTTGATAAGAGTTTCGAGTTTCGCTCTACCAGACGGAGGGGACAGCACAAGAATCGGTCAGCAAGAAACACGGGTGATTAGGCTGTTTTTTTTTTTATCTCCCAATGCATCTCGCATTGATCGATCGATTGATTTGCTTGGCAATTTGATTGTGCCCTGTTGCTCGACTTGCTGGTGATTTGCTGGGCCAGCTGCTTGGGACCCAGTGGACCGACCGAAGATGATGAGAGAAGACGAGACGACAACGATGATGATGAGGAATAATGATCGAATGATCAACTGGAGCTATGTTATGATCTCAGCTACGTGCCGGAGGAAACTGTCCCAAGCTTTTTTTCCTCCGATGCTACTGCGTGGCAGTATGCCCATACCCAAGGAGCGGTGCATGGAACTGCTTTCCCACAGGATGACCTCAGAGCCATCATCATGTCGTTTATCACGCAGGGGGCATACATACTGCTGAGTAGCAGGCCATCCTATAGACCTCTGTTTTTCCTGTCGTCGGAACTGAAACTCGTTGCCATTGCGATATCAGTCCTTCGTTCGCCGAATCATTCGCCTTTCCCTGACCAGACAGTTTCCATTTCACTGCAGTATACCTGTCCTGCAGATTGGTTTTTCCTGATTTCTAAAATTTGTGTCTCTTGCTCTGAGCGAACATGGCCAATACAGCAAGCGGGTATAACGCCATTGAAGATTATGGCTTGATTGGAGATATGCACACCTGCGCCCTGGTCAGCAAGGAAGGAAGCTTGGATTTCATGTGCTGGCCCGTTTTTGACTCGCCTTCGGTCTTCTGTCGCCTGTTGGACAAGAACAAAGGCGGTTACTTTAACATCAGCCCGAATGACTCTGCTCTCAGCAAGCAACGGTACCTGCCGTACACGAACCTCTTGGAGACACGATGGATCAATGAAGGTGGCGTGGTCACCCTTCTGGATTACTTCCCTGTCTCTCCCAAGAGGACGCCTCAGTCGGAGCGTATCCTCTCCGGCTTCTGCCCCTGCAACGAGCCCGAGGCGAATCGTTTCAAGTCAGGCCTTCGCCATTCGTCGGTCATTCGAAAGCTCGACTGCTCCCGAGGCTCAATGGAGATGCAAATCGAGATCTTCCCGGCCTTCAACTATGCGCGAGACGCGCATACGGCCCGCTGCAAGTTGATGGATAATCTAGCTGACAACCGGCTGCAGACGATCCATTTCGAGAGTCCTTCGGAGAAACTGCAGGTGGAAATCTTTGCCGACTCGAAGGAGCCCGACAAACTAGGCTTTCCGCAGGCCCGATTTGAGATGCAGGAGAAGCCTGACATGCTGGGCCGCGGGCTGGTGGCCAACGTAAGGCTGACTGAAGGCCAGGCACTCACCTTCGTCATCCACAGTCCCGAGAAGGTGATGCCCAGTGAGAACACGGTAGGCGCGCACCTCAACCGGATGGAGAACGAGACGTTCGATTTCTGGACCGAATGGACGCGCAAATGCACGTTTCGCGGGCATTACCGCGAAACGGTCGAGCGGAGCTTGCTTATCCTAAAGCTGTTGACCTACAAGCCCACCGGGGCCATTGTGGCCGCACCGACGTTTTCGCTGCCAGAGGATGTCGGCGGCTCTCGCAATTGGGACTACCGCTACTCCTGGGTGCGCGACACGTCGTTCACGCTGTACGTATTTCTCAAGATGGGTTACAGCGACGAAGCCGAGGCGTACGTGGGCTTCATTTTTGAGCGGATCCTGCAACCAACCACCAAGGCGGCCACGGATAGACGCCCTCTACTACCCCTCATGTTCACGATCCGCGGTGAGACCGAAATCCCCGAGCTTGAGCTAGAACACCTCGAAGGATACAAGGGCAGCAAGCCCGTGCGGGTCGGCAACGCGGCCGTCTTCCACACGCAGCTGGACATCTACGGTGAGCTCCTGGACAGCATCTACCTGTACAACAAGCATGGCAACCCCATCACGTACGACCAGTGGCTGGCGATCCGCAAAATGGTCAACTACGTGATTGAGATCCGCAACGAGAAAGACATGTCTATCTGGGAGTCCCGCGGGCAGATCCAGAACTTCATCTTCTCCAAGATCATGCTCTGGGTGGCCCTGGACCGGGGGATCCGTCTAGCCGAGAAACGGTCCAGCCTGCCGTGTCCCGACCGGGAGAAATGGCTCAAGGTCCGCGACGAGATGTACGACCAGATCATGGAGAAAGGTTACAACCAAGAGCGCGGCCATTTCTGCCAGAGCTTTGAGAGCCGCGAGGTCCTCGACGCCGCCATCATGATCGCCCCCTTGGTCTTCTTCCTGCCCCCCAACGACCCCCGCTTTCTCAGCACCCTGCAGAAAGTCCTAGATACTCCGGAGAAGGACGGCTTGTCCAGCGCCAAACTGGTGTTCCGATATGACCACATCAAGGCCAACGATGGTGCGTCCCTTTTTACTCCTTCGCCATACTTTGCCTCAGTGTCCCTCCAGTCACTTCACCGTTACACGGTTGCCTTCAGTCAGAATCAAAATCGCTTGTAACTGTTCTCACTAACAGTTGTCCTTTCTAGGCGTCGCCGGCGGCGAAGGCGCATTCATCATGGTGACATTCTGGCTTGTGGAAGCCATGGCTCGTGTAAGTATAGCTGCAGGGCTATCCTTGATATCTCGCCGCGTATTCAAAAAAAAAAAAAAAAGAAAGAAAGAAAGAAAAGAAAATCAAACCAGCTCACTTTTTAGGCCGCTAAATATTCCACCCCAATCCCGCACCTGTGGAAGACCGCGCTGGGCCACTTCGACAACATCCTCTCCTACGCAAACCACCTGGGCATGTTCTCCGAAGAGGTCGCTGTCTCGGGTGAGCAGATGGGAAATACCCCTCAGGCATTCAGCCATTTGGCCTGCATTAGTGCGGCGATTAATCTCGAGAAGCTCGGACAGGATGAGGAGGTGTAATCACTTTTGATAGGCCTATTGATAGATTGAGATTAGATTAATAGTTTAGTTTTAATTCACTTTTACAGTTCTCTTTCAACCTTTGGATAAGCATTTGTTCTCATGCTATGGAACGCTAGAGAGAGCCAGATACCTGACTGCTTTCCATCGGATCAACCCTCCCCCTATCGTTGTGGTGTGGGTGGTGAGCCCACGACCTACATTTTTGATACTTTCGTACCCGTCGTAGTAATCTCCCCCCCTTTTTTTCGTCCTTTTCCCCACCGTCTTTCTACAAGATATTCTTGTGTTCGACGCTTCAGAGGGGGTTCATCTGGTGAGTTCTCCCAACCCTCATGCTGGTTTCCCATGCTTATCCGCCCTTGCGCTGTCCAGCAGCACCCGGCCCCGGCGAGGAGGACAGACTGCTGGGCTGGGCTTTGGCCGAGGCAGGCCCGGGCGTCCCAGCGGAGCTGCGCGGGAACGAGCTGGCGGTGCTCATCGTAGCGCTGGCGCTGCGGAGTTCGATCTTCTTGCGTTCCATCTCGAGCTGGAAATGTTATTTTTTTTACACAGGAAAATGTGATGATGGTTCAGTTTTACGTACCACTTTGCGGACCCGAGCAAGAGCAGCGGTATCCCCCGCGTGTAAAGATTGGCAGTCTTCCACGCGGTAAGGGGATGCAATGGCGACGGCATCGGCGACGATGATACTCGTTCCGTCCCAGTGGGCGGGCATGGTCCGACTGAAGGCGTCGAACAGGTCTTGTCCTTCGCGGGTGACACCCTTGCCGCGCTTGGTTTCGAGCTCTTGCAGCTTTCCAACGGCTGTGGCTTCGCGGTTCTTCAACGCGCGGATATCGAGAGCGTGCAGGGACGGGGTCGCATCTGTGAAGCAGGGGGCACCGGCCGCGGTGGACGACGGCGCTAACGAGAGAAGCTGGAAGGACTGGATACGGGAGATGGGGACGATGTGGTAGTCGCCCGCCTGGGTCAGCGTCGACTCTGTGGCGCTAGCCGGTGTGGGAGGGGGCGTGGATGTATTGATCGCGACAAGATTCGTGATCGGACAGGCCGTGAACAATGTTCCTTCCAAGGTCGACGACGTGGGCGGTGCCGTAGTGATGCGGACGCTATCTTCATCAGTCTCATCTTTTCGTTTTTGGTAGCGGTAGCTGTAGCTGTAGCGGTAGCTGTAGCTGTATTTCTGCTTACCGCGCCCCAATCGCACCGCTTAATGCCACCTCCAGAGGAACCATTGCAGCTGCCATTCCCGGTCCTCCCGCTGCACCTGATCCTTGTGTTGATGGTCTCCCTGTAAGGGACTGACGCTTGTTCTCTGCCATATAAACCTCTCTCTTGACTCTTATAGACTCCTACCGTGGACGAAACGCAGTGATTTCGAAGCTCCTCCGATCGGCCAGGTCAACCAGCATTGGAACACACCCCCTATCTTCCACCCTGCTGTGTGGTATCCTGTTCGTCCAGCCAGTACCCTCCCACTTTCCTCTGGACCAGCTCTCTCTCTCTGTCTCTCCCCACGGCGACTCCGGAAATAACGGGCGAGAGGAGGAGGGGGGGTAGGAACCCAAAGAAGAAGCGAAAAGAAGAACAAACAGTAGATAAAACGCAGGGGGTTAAAATAAAAAACCTCCTACTCAGCGTGCCGGCCTTGGGAGGGTTTGTCACGCGCAGCTTTCGAAGGGTGAGGCTGCAGCAGGGTGTTCACTACCTAACTGTCCAGCACACGCGATGATGGAGCAAGTCCGACGTTGCACAATGGGCGGCCCGATGTGGTTTAGCGCTAATATGGCGTCTCTGCAGAATCAAGGTACATAATAATAATAATAATGATAATAATAATGATAACAATAATAACAATACCAATGTCTTTTGATGAGTGAATTGTATTAGTTGAAACTGATTATGGAGGGGTATCATTAATTAGAAGCTGGAAAATTGATTTCATCTTCTCATCTTGTCATAAATCGGGAGTGTCACAAATCCATACAATCAAGATGACTACTGAACATAGAAAGGTGAAAAAAATGAATATTGATCTAAATACATGGCATAGTTACTAGGGGGGTTTTTTTTACCATCAGCATTCTATCTCCGCGGAGTACTCTTGTCATACGAGTACTCCCTTACGGAAAACCAGTCAGTCACACGTCCAGCGCAAACACAAACACTCTCCCGTCATCAGCCTCTTAAACAATGTAGGTCGAGGCAGAGACGTCACCACCACGGCCGGTCCAGTTGACATGGATGTCCGTGTCAATAGGGTACTTCTCGCTGGCAAACTCGGGCTTGATGCGGAAGGTGTGGGCACCGAAGTAGTCACGCTGGGCCTGCAGCAGGTTGGCAGGGAGGTCCTTGGTGCGGTATCCGTCGTAGAAGCTGAGCGCAGTGCTGAAGGCGGGGAGAGGGATACCCCACAGGGCAGACTTGCTGACCACGTTTCTCCAGCCGCCCTGGGCCTTGTGGATGGCCTGGTTGAAGAAGTCATCGAACAGCAAGTTCTCGAGGTCGGGGTTGTTGCGGTACGCGTTGGTGATGTCCTTGAGGAAGACGGAACGGATGATGCAGCCACCACGCCACATCAGGGCAATGGAGGGCTTGTTGAGCTTCCAGCCGTACTCCTTGGCAGCCTAAAAAGATATATATTAGTCTCTCTTTCTTTCTACAACAACAAGAACAGAAAAAAAAAAGGAAAAAGAAAAAAGAAAAACCTACGTTCTGGATGAGCATAAAGCCCTGGGCATAAGAGATGATCTTAGAGGCGTAGAGGGCCTGCTCAAGGTCGTCGATGAAAGCCTGCTTGTCACCGGTGTATTCAGGGGTAGGGCCGCCCAGGATCTTGCTGGCGCGGACACGCTCGTCCTTGATGGCACTCAGGCAACGAGCGAAGACAGCCTCGCCGATGAGGGTGACGGGCATGCCGAGGTCGAGGGCGTTGATGGCGGTCCACTTGCCGGTACCCTTCTGGCCAGCCTTGTCGAGGATCTTCTCGACGAGAGGGGTGTTGTCGTCGTCAGTGTAGTAGAGAACGTCGCGGGTGATCTCGATCAGGAAGGAGTCCAGAACACCGGTGTTCCACTTGGCGAACACGTCGGCGATCTCCTTGACAGACAGGCCCAGCCCACGCTTAAGAAGGTCGTACGCCTATAAGGTGTGAATGGATTAGTGATGTCCGTCAGGAAACAAGAATAGGAGGGAATACCTCGCAGATCAGCTGCATGTCACCGTACTCAATACCGTTGTGGACCATCTTGATGTAATGACCGGAACCGGCATCACCGACCCAGTCGCAGCAGGCCTCACCGTCGCTCTTGGCGGCGATGCTCTGGAAGATATCCTTGATGTAAGGCCAGGCCTCCTCGTGGCCACCAGGCATGAGCGAGGGGCCGTAGCGGGCACCCTCCTCACCACCGGAGACACCACTGCCGACGAAACGGATGCCCTTCTTGGCGAGGTAATCCGTGCGGCGGTTGCTGTCGGGGAAGTGGGAGTTACCACCGTCGATGATGATGTCGCCCTCCTCGAGGTGAGGCAGCAGCGACTCGATGAAGTCGTCAACGGGCTTGCCGGCCATGACCAGCAGCATGACACGACGGGGTCTCTTCAGCTTGGCGCAGAACTCCTCAATGGAGTGAGCACCGACGATCGACTTGCCTAGGGGGGGAAACCCAGATCAGCCATGAACGAACTATTTTTTTTTCTTCTTCCTCTCTTTTCTTACCCTTGGCTTCATTGGCAAGGAAACGGTCGACCTTGGAGGTGGTACGGTTGTAGGCGCAGACGGTGAAACCGTGATCGGCAACGTTCAGGATCAGGTTCTGGCCCATGACGGCCAGACCGATGAGGCCAAAGTCCGCACTGGGTATAGGACGCCCCGGAGCACCGACATTGATGCCGGCGAGACGGGCGCTGGAGTCAGTTCAGAACGTCTCAAGACCAAACGATTGTGAACCCAGAAACTCGGATTCCAAAAAAAAAAATCCACCAGCCTCGCCAGACAGGGTCTTCTTCCCGGGGTAAGGGGTTCACCAAGCAGGGGAGGGGCAACTCGACTCACACAGCTTGATCGGCCATGACGACAAGAGGAGGGGTAGCTCTTTGATCTGGACGGAGGAATGTGAACGCAAGGGCGAGGGAGTCTCAGCAGACGATCTGGAGATAGACGTGGACTGGGAAAGGAGTGGAGAGAAGAAGGAGGGACTGGTGGATTGGATATATTGCCAGAGAAGAGGCTTTTGCTCCGGGAATCGCTGGGGGAGGGGCAACCACGGAGCGCAGGCGAAGCTAAAAAGACAGGCCTCATTGCCTACAATAATCCGGACCAGGCCGGCTTACGGAGCAAGGTTCCGTCATGGTGGGACGTTGAGGCGGGGCAGACCAGGAGCAGAGTCGCCCGGTGAAGAGACCCCCACGGAATGAGATAGTAGTCAAGAGTATTATTATTATTACTATTGTTGAAGAGGAGGGAGGATGTTGAATAAGGGTTTCTCAGGTGGTGGGGTTCTATATAATTGCTATTGTGTTGAAGATGAGGGTATACAGACTCCAGAGGACCAGAGCACTACAGTATGTAGTAGTGTATACTGTTAGTTACTAGGTACAGAGTACGGATACCATATAACTAACTAGTAGGTGGTACACTACTGATTAATACCTCTCAGTCATCAGAACCGATGCTATGTCAGACAGGGCGGCTAATTGCATTTATTAAACGGCTATCGTCCCTCAGACACTGAGGCGGTCCTCATATCGTAGAGGGTGACGGCGGGGCTGTGATGGAGGGGCAGAGAACCGCCCAAGAGAGGATCTTCGGTGAAGCGCATGTCGTAATTCTGTGGACGAGGACCTCCGTTGTCGCCAGACTCACAGGATCTCCTTTTTGCAAGGATTCGCCGGGTTCATTTCATTTGGTCTCTGCAAGGTAATAAGCAAGATAGTTATAACTACCTAAACATTAACTACCTAGGTGGTTAACTAGGTAACTCCGTACTGGTCTTTGCGCAGCCAGATTGGCTTAGCGCTGGCTGTGTGCTGATGTAAGGGACAAGTGTGGCTGAGGTGATGTGGCTGGTTGCTACGGAATGGCGCAGAGACCATTAGTGTGTTTTTTTTGCAGCCGCAGACGACGAGCTCTGCTTCATCTCACTTTATCTCTGAATCCACGCAGAACGCTCTTGAGATTGCATCAAGACTGTCAACTACCTTCTGTCAGCCTGATCGGGGACTTGCTTGTCTCTTCCGGTATTTTGCTGCCGGTCTTGAGAGTCCGACTTCATCCTACCAGCGAGGCGTGGATTCTAGCGCAAGACTTCTTCCCCTAATCCTCTCAGGCGTGACGTGACGTCTGGCGTATGACTGCTGCGTCGGTCAGACCCTGAAGGTACGTTGTTGCTGCTGATACTTCGGTGGTACATTTTATACGTCCAACGTCTCTGTTCGAACTCTCCATTCATCATGTCCCTTCCGCCACCTCCAGGTCTCGGCCAGAAACCCTCGTCGCTTCCGCCGCGGCCCCCGTCCTCGTCGACTACAGACCCGTCCTCCTTCAAGCCTGCGTATTCTGCAGCGCCGTCATATTCTTCGTCCGGTACCAGCAGTGGGTATGGCGGGAATACCCCTCGTTCGGGCTATAGCAATACCTTCACGGCCTTCCAGCCCCGTTCGGTAGCTTCCAACCAACCCTACCGTACCAGTAGTCCCGCCGTTTCTGCACCCCCAGGCTCATCGGCTGGGTATCCCGCCGCTCCTCCGACCACGAGCTACGGTGGTGGTGCTGGTGGTGGCGGTGGTGCCACCGGCTACCGACAGTCGCAACAATCCTACCCGGGAGCCCCCTCATATTATGGCCAGTCGCAATACAACAATGGTGGTAACTACGGATCTACGGTCCCCCAGATCCAGAACCCTTTTGCTCCCCCCACGGGATCGGAGCAGCGGCCGAGCGGCGGCTATGGTGGTGGCCGAGGAAGGAACACTAACTACCGCAACGAGTCTGGTCTCGACCCAGAAACGGAGGCGCAGATTGCGCAATGGCAGAGTGCCTACGCATCAAAAGAGGAGACTGCGATGATGGGTCATCATCATCATCAGCATCAGCATCATCAAAGGGGTCCCGGACGACGCGATGGACTTCTCCAGCCCGGCGCGGGGCCTACTACGACAGGAACCAATACACCCACCCCGGCGGGCAGCAACACCCCCGTGCCCGTCCCCGGCCCGGCCCCGACGAACACAACTGATAGCAAGACCGTTGTCCGATCCGGGGGTGGCCAGACATGGACCGACTCCACGCTGCTGGAATGGGATCCGGCGCACTTCCGGCTCTTTGTGGGGAACCTCGCCGGCGAGGTGACCGACGACTCGTTGCTCAAGGCTTTCACCAAGTACACGTCTGTGCAGAAGGCGCGGGTGATCCGCGACAAGCGCACGCAGAAGAGCAAAGGGTTTGGCTTTGTCAGTTTCAGTGACGGCGACGACTACTTCAAGGCCGCCCGCGAGATGCAGGGCAAATATATCGGCTCGCATCCTATCCTCCTCCGCCGGGCCACGACGGAGGTGCGCCCCTCGTCAGGAGCGGGAGGCAAGGGAGGGAGGAAACACGGCGGTGGTCGAGCCGGCGCCGGCGCTGGTGCTGGCGGCGGTGGAGGAGGAGGAGGAGGAGGAGCACCAGGCAGCGGCAGTGGTAAGACCAAGCCGGATGGAGTGAAGAAACCCGGCAAGACTAAAGGCGGGTTGAAGCTATTAGGATGATCAATTTCTTTTTTTTTTTTTCTTTTTTTTTTTTTTTTTTGGGATCGCCAGAGTTTAATCTTCCAAGGCTCGGCTTTTGCTTCGACTCAATAGCCGATAATAGGATCTTGATAAGCTGGACGAGTCTTCACCGAGTCATCTCCACTATTCGTCCGCATGATAGTAAATATTCCCTGTTTCTATATGGTTCTGTGTCTAGAATGTTCCTACAGTCATGATGGAGCGATTTTCAAGAGGTGTATGGAATTTCGCACCAATCATTGCCATTTAATTGATACCTTAGGTACCGGTACCTCTGTAGTACTTATAGTATAGTTACTACATATGTACAGTAAGAATCATAAGTCATACTCTAATAATATAATAGATCTGCCGTAGACTATCGCACTGTGAACCCAGTACTGACACATCCATACTCCTCGCCCTCGGCCGGCATGCCCTGCGCCTTACACACGTTCGGCCGGTCGCGCGTAAAGAAGAGTTCGAGGTGAGTGAAGCTGCCGTCGACGTCGGCCTCTGTAGCGACGATGCACGTCTTCTCCGCAAAGGTGTCCATGCTCTGGATCCCCGCGCAGGTGTTCTCGAGGGCGCGGGGTGCCGGCGCCGAGTTCTGGCTCAGCGCGATCAGTTCCGGGATGGACTCCCATGCCTGCGACGTCTTGCGTGTGTACAGTAGCCAGCCTGTGTGGATCAGCGCCATCCCCAGGTGCAGGCATATCAGGGCGACGGCCAGATACTCCAGCCACGAGGTCACCGAGAGGGCGTACCCGGTTGTTGTCTCCGTCATCACCAGCCGGGTAAAAGGGGATGATGAAAGGGTCGCGCGGGGATCGAGCACCCCATCCCCGTTTCCAGAGACGGTGGCGTACGTGTAGTTGCTCGCCAGTTGGTTAAACTGCTCGTAGTTCACCTGCCGCGACAGCCCGACGCGGGACAGTCCGTTGGCGACGAGCACAGAGACGATGTGTTCCAGAAAGGCGGTGCACACGAACTCCGCGGTGTTCGTAGAGTTGTCAAGTTCCGTGAGCCCCGTCGAGGTCACAATCGACTCGAGACTGTTGACCGCCACGCTCTGGTTCGTGGTCGCGTTGTACATTGGTGCCATCTTGGGCGTCAGCGCCTGCAGCCAGTCAAGCGCCAGCCGGATCAGCGTGTAGCTGCCATCGTCGATGGGGCCGAACTCCTGCGTGCTGGTGTCGGCGCGCTGGTGCGACACCGAGCTCAGCTTGTAGAAGTTGCCGCCCAGATCGCCGCGTGAGATCAGACTGTGGCCCTCTGCCCAGCGGGCGTCGACGGTGCAGCAGACGGCCAGCCGTGACTCGTCCGACGCCACGTCGGCGTACCGGGCGGGCGAGTCGAAGATGAGCAGACCCGCCGATGCGGATCCAAAGTCTGTCTCATTCAGGGCTGTCCACATGGTTTTAACCCCTGTCGCGGGAGCGTCCTGGTCGAGGGCGGTCCATATCTGTGATAGGTTCTGTGGCAACGTCAGAGGGTTCACATCCCAGGTCACCGTGCCGCCAGACGAGACATTCGCCCAGAAGTCATACTCGGGCACTACGGGGCAGTTGATGGTCGAGTCGTTGCCGGACACGCGCAGAAATGAAGGACATACCACGCGAACAGCGGGTATTTGCACAGCGGCCGACGAGAGACTGTCGGCGCCGTATTGCAGGCGGCCGTATCGGAAACCGCCGATGTGATGGATCCCCGTCTGCCAGGCGCCGCGCAGCATCTCCTGGACAACCGCGGTAGCGCTGTGGGTGGCCTGCGCCCAGGTATCCAGGTTACTGCCGGGCTGGCGGATATAACCAATCATCGTCTGCTGCATGAGCTGGTCCGTTACGTCCATGTGGAAGAGCGGCCCATTGGCAGTGCCGCCGCCGGGGACAAAGTCCAACGTTGTCGCCCACTGCTGCAGGGCCGAGTATCCGCCAGCGATGCAGTATGGATCGGTGAGGCCCGCAACGGTGGTGCAGGACTGACCGCCGGCGGCCGAGCCGGTCACGTTCGTCGGCCAAAGATCTTGATCTGTGCCGTTCAAATAGAATGCGGTCCATCCCCCGGACCAGGTTCGCGAGACGGGCACCATCAGAACTGCACTCGATGGCCCCGCAGCAACGGCGATGATGCCCGCCAGCACCAGCAACGTGACCAGGAACGGCTTGCGCCAGGCCTCGCGGCACCGCATGGCACCCAGGAAGGCCGAGGACCAGAAATAATTCAGCCGGGCAAAGTCGAAGCCTGCGGTCAGCAAACCAAAGGGCACTCCATCACCGAAGAGCAACTCGACGCGCAGGAAATGGAAGACGATAGCCGCCGTGCTGCCAACGATCAACAGCTCCTGGATCTTGGCCGCGATCTGGATCGCGCCCAGCTTGACATTATCTTCGTTCTCGATGCCAGCCAGCTCGCTGCCGATAAAGTAGCCGATACAGTTAATAGTCACCAGGCTGATAGACAGGATGCTCGGAAGAATATGGATGCCACAGCTAAATAGAGCGTTTCGGAAGGAGGCGTCGACAACAGGCTTGCGCCGCTCCGAGCCTTTGTGGTTGTCAATAGTCCGCTGGAGGGAGCTCACGACCATGTCGAGACCAACAGACCGCAGTAAAGGTCTATAAAACCGCAAGGCATCCTGCCAGCTGTCGCGCAGGATAGTCCTGCAGAGCATCCGAGGTAGGCGCCGCAGTCGCTGGAACGAGAGGCTGCGCTGCGGAGCCATCAGAAGTTAGTCAACACATAAAAAGAAATGGAGTAAGTAAGAAAAATAGAGAAAGAGAGGCGGAAATAGAGGAGAATGGAGAGAGAAAAAGCGGACCGTGTTCTCATCAAATATTTGAAGAGCTCGATCAGGCTTATTTCATTCAGCCGTCTGCTGCTGCGGTGGCTGTGTTGACAGAGCAGCGAGTAGCACGACCAGCCAAGCCCTTCATGGTTCTGATTCTGACCTGTTTCGTATAACGTGTATAGTAGGAATTAAACCCCTGTCCGCTTAGAAAAGAGATCTTATCAAGGCGAATCGTGTGAAGCTGTAAAGCGCCAGCTGCACCCCCGCGGGGCAGCCCCTGCGTGGACTCCGCCACACGGAATTTCAGGGTCCAGGAACGGAGGATATCTGTGTTTATTCCATTTTGAGGGATCGGGCGGCATGATAGGGTTGGAAATAGAGGACATCCGACCTGGGAGCTGGGATTATTCTGGTGGTTGTTGATGGTTTCAGCGACTTGGAAGGGAAAGAAAGAAGTAGTTGGAAGCCTGAGGCATGTGATCCTGACACTGATGTTCAGCGTCTACTATAATTCTATCCGAGACAAGATCTGGAAAAGCATATATCATATATCATATATTCAATCCATGGTCTCGTACATTTCATATACCAGTCGTAATTGGTCATAGACATAATACAATTCTGTCAAGAGTGAAAAAGAAAACCCCTATATATATCGTTTCATCCACTTTCCGTAACGCCAGAGAAAAAAAAAAAAGAAAAAAGAAAAAAACATAATGCCGTCAACGTTCAAAGTCGTCAGATATTTCCATGTCGTCAGCTCATCACACATCTCTTGTGATCCGTTAGATCAAGTGATGGTTATAGTAGATATGTATGGGTATCCATGTGTATGTGTCGCCAGACGTAGTCGATAGTAATCTGGCTGGGTATCGTGCAATTGTACTCTAGGCAGGCAGTAGTCGTTCGGTATTTTGAGTAGAAATTCGAGAAGAGATGATTTTCTTGCGCAGCGAGGTCAACCATGACTGAGAGAGATGTATATAGATGTAGAGAGAGAGAGAGAGAGAGAGAGCTCAGTCATGGCTGCTCAAGGCTATGCTTCCACCACTTCTTCGTCGACCGGTCTTCGTTTTGAGAAGAAAAGAATATGATGCTGGGCGGCGTAGATGCAGAATCCGGCGATCGCCAGGAGCAAGAAGAGGACGATGAGGATGACTGCGATGGCGACGTTTTTCTTCATTGTGTCGGTGGGTTAAGGTTATCTGGGGGAGCGCCGCGATATATATGTCGTTTCCGAGTCAATATATAGAGCTTCGTAAATCCACCTCAGAAGACAATGACAGAGTCTTCTAAAAGACGGACTGAGTCTTCACAACAGAGGCTGTTGATGATTAATGTTGTATAGTGCGGGGGAAGCTCCGATAAGACTCGCCCGGGTTGACCTCGAACAACAGCTGCAGGCAGGCAATAGCAGCAAAGATGGAAACAAAAGAGAGACCGAGTCTTGCAGCCATCAGGAGGAATGCACAGGTCTTACCAGAGATATAAAGGAAGATGGAAATTAATGCCCAGCCATGGCATTTTCCCCTTTGTTTTGCTGGTGGCTGGACGATTCGGGTCGGCGGTGGTGGGTCTTGGAGCTTATTAGTTTTGATGCCTGAGGCAGACGGTTTTTTTCTAATCCCAACCTCCTGAGGAAAGTGTCAGGGTTGAATCTATCCTATTAAGTTATACCTATTGCCATATACTTTGAATATTGTTATAAAATGGGTTCAGATCTTAAAGAGAGCTTGAATAAATCATATCAATGTACCAATAAATAATACCGAGGCTCTTCAACGTTCGTATAACTACGAAGTAACTACTAGACAGCAACTACTCCGTACTGATAAACCAGAATGTCCTCTCAGATTTCAGTTTCGAGTGGGCATTGACAGCTTAGACATGTCATTCCAGAAGTGCGCAATTCGGTGTCTTCATCGAGGAGTTCTGTGTAGTTGAGAAGAGATCGTGGTCCTTCGAGGATTCTCTTGTCCTCGAGAACGACCTCAGGTAGCTATCGTCATCATTGCCCTTATACTCATGAACCTTTGGAATCTAATAACCTATTATTGGCTTATTCAACAGGTTCTTCTAATATATTGATCTTTGATTCAGAATTAGTACGGAGTATACGTAGTCATTATGCTGGTGAACGAGATCCTGCCTGAGGCAGACAGATATATGGCCATTCCCTTTTGGGCGGTCGAGTCATTTGTTGAACTCACCTCCTGACAACAACTCTGGACTCAACTGCAACGATTCTTCTTCTGAATTCCCTTCTTCATAAGTGGATAATTTATATACTTAGTGATGCCTCCAAGGTCATCTCAAGATCTCTACTTTCAGTTGACCCTCACCTCTTCACTAGACTACGATACTTACAAAAAGCAGACATGCTGGATCCTATAGTATCTAGGGATTAGTGGCAATTGAAATTCACATTAATACGGAGTAAGTTCTCCTATCTAACCATGTGGCATCAAACTAGTACTAACAATACCTAATCTTGACGAGTTCTAGAAACCTAATCGAACACCGAATTCCATCTCTCCCACGAAAACGAAATCGGCACAGCTAGTGAAGGTGGGGAATTTTCTTTAGTCCGTCAACCATCCATGGCCTTCCTGTGGGAAAGGAAAATAATGAAAATCCAACGATGATTGGCTTTCGGGAACTGGTAACTCTATGACTTCATCGTCATTACACAAGCTCGACAAATCCGGCCATCCCTAGAAACAGCAACCAGGGATAACCAGAGTCACACAGCATAGCATAGAAATGCATCTGATGCTGGAAAACAAGGAAGCTGTAGGACTCCTTACTGATTCATTGGAATACTTGCTCTGCTTCCTTCATCTGATAAGCAGGATGCCCGGAAAAGTATGGCTAATCTGCAGATCAAGAACATCATCAAACACCAGAAATACCGGTTTAAAAACTCTATAGGATTTATGATCAGTCATGAGCCTATCCCAGCTTCTTTTAGCTCTCAGCACTGGTATTGTCTCTCTCCGAAGGCCCCTCAACATGAAGCATATCTCGGGATGCCGGCTTTAAGTCCGTCCGAGCTTGCCGTTTTATACATGACAACATGTAGCTCGAGATAGGGTTTTATACTTTTTGACGTAATATCACTGCTGTTTGCGTTACAACACTGGTGCTGCATTCCTGGTGACTTGACCCATGTTCAAGCAGGATCCATGCTCTTAATATCTTCCTGTGCTACTCTCCCTTTCGACATTAAGCTAAGCTTAGGCAAACAACCAAGATGGGTGGATCTGGGACAATAGGCCAGAGCGCGCCCCCGGATGTGCAGCAGAGCGAGCAGATCACCTCCCCCGAAGCTCACAGTATATCTTCCAGCATGAACTTTGAGCCAATACACAGTCGCCCTACTGATCAAGACGCGAACAATGAGGCTCCTTCTAGGCCGGACCTTGGAAGACAGTTCACGGACGATGAGCTTATGCAAGTTCTTTCTCAACGCCGCAAAAGCACCTCAAGCTCCGGAGATGGAGGCAAGGAAGACTGGGTGCAAATCGAGCGGCTGATTTCTCGCATGTTCGGTCGAGAGAGAAAGGCTAACTCGGAAGAGGAGAAGACGAGACATGTCGGCGTTGTCTGGAGAAACCTGACTGTGAAGGGAGTCGGCCTGGGAGCTACTCTACAGCCGACTAACGGCGATATATTGCTCGCGCTTCCCCGATTGATCAAGCGTCTGCTCACTCGAGGCAGAAAGGGTTCTGGCGCAGCAAAACACCCGATTCGGAATATTCTTGACGACTTCACAGTAAGTCATCTTCGTGCCATCGGTTCACCAGTAGAGAGAAAGATGTCATCTGATCACCTTTCAAGGGATGCGTTAGACCTGGAGAAATGTTGCTTGTCCTCGGGCGACCGGGATCTGGCTGTTCAACTTTCTTAAAAGTGATAGGGAACCAAAGATCGGGATATGAGGGGATACAAGGCAATGTGCTATATGGAGGAACCGATTCCAAAACAATGGCTGATAGTTATCGGTCAGAAGGTGCGTGTGTTAAAGACCTGTGTTTGGTGACAAGCGTTTGCTGACATTTCCGATTCTAGTCCTATATAACCCGGAAGATGACCTCCATTACGCGACCCTTACTGTTCGAGATACGCTCCTTTTTGCCCTCAAAACCCGAACACCTGATCAGGCCTCTCGGATTCCCGGTGAAAGTCGCAAGGAATACCAGCAGACCTTCCTCTCGGCAATCGCTAAGCTGTTCTGGATCGAACATGCGCTGGGCACCAAGATTGGTAATGAGCTAATCCGAGGAGTCTCTGGCGGAGAAAAGAAGCGGGTATCCATTGGAGAGGCAATGGTGACCAAGGCTAGCACCCAATGCTGGGACAACTCTACTCGAGGCCTGGACGCCAGCACGGCCCTGGAATATGTCCAAAGTCTGAGAAGTTTGACCAACACGGCCAACGTCTCCACCCTCGTGGCACTGTACCAGGCTTCGGAAAATTTGTTCAATCTCTTCGACAAAGTAATCCTGATTGAGGAAGGAAAATGCGCCTATTTTGGCCGCACGCAAGATGCAAAACGCTACTTTGAAGGGTTGGGGTTTGAATGCCCCCCTAGATGGACCACTCCGGACTTCTTAACTTCCGTCAGCGACCCGCACGCCAGACGAGTGAAGCAAGGCTGGGAGGACCGGATTCCACGGTCAAGTAGCGACTTCCAACGTGCTTATCGCAAGAGCGATTTATACAAAAAGGCTCTGTCGGATATCGAAGACTTTGAACAGGATATCCAGTCCCACGAACAAGAGAGGGAGGCTGCCAGGAAGAGCATGCCAAAGAAGAACTATACAGTGCCATTCCACAAACAGGTCTTGATCCTTACACATCGGCAGTTCCTCGTCATGTTTGGCGATAGGCAATCGTTGGCAGGGAAATGGGGGGTCATTACCTTCCAAGCCCTAATCATTGGAAGTTTATTCTATAACCTACCCCAGACGAGGTGAGCTACCGATGGTCCTCCCGGTAAACGGGCTCTAATAGTGATTTTTCTAGTTCCGGCGTGTTTACTAGGGGCGGCGTCATGTTTTTCATATTGCTCTTCAACTCTCTCTTGGCCTTGGCAGAACTTACGGCTGCCTTTCACAGCCGGCCTATCTTAATGAAGCACAAGAGTTTGTGAGTCTGGAAAAACGTCGATTTTTCTGATCTTGACAACTGATTCTAATTCTGCAAAGCTCATTCTACCGTCCTGCTGCCTATGCACTAGCCCAGGTCGTGATTGACGTGCCTCTTGTGTTCATACAAGTCGTTATATTCGATGTCATTGTATACTTGTCGGTTGTCCTGGTCCCCGAAGACAATCGAAAACGATGATAGCTAACAATTTTCCTAATCTATATAGCATGTCTAATCTCGCTAGGACGCCGTCCCAATTCTTCATCAACTTTCTCATTATTTTTACACTCACCATGACAATGTATTCCTTCTTCAGAGCGCTCGGAGCTCTCTGTTCATCTCTTGATGTTGGTATGTTTGATTCGGCTTGATTGGTTTGAAGTCAAAAAGGTTTAACTAATTGGCTCAGCAACACGGATCACTGGTGTGGCTATCCAGGCCCTCGTTGTCTATACAGGCAAGTGCAATAAAACCAATATCTGTGTTTTCCGATAGCATGGCAAACTGACCTATAGCTACTTCCAGGATATTTGATACCTCCCTGGAAAATGCACCCCTGGCTGAAATGGCTGATTTGGATCAACCCTGTCCAGTATTCCTTTGAAGCCTTAATGGCGAATGAGTTCTACAATATGGACATACAATGCGAAACCCCATATATTGTCCCTGCAGGCCCAAGTGCGAGACCTCCCAACCAGGCCTGTGCAATCCAGGGCAGTCAGCCTGACCAGCTCGTCGTCTCGGGTGCTAGCTATATCAAAACCGAATTTACGTATACTCGGTCTCACCTCTGGCGTAACTTTGGCATCCTCATTGCTTTCTTTCTATTTTTCGTTACATTGACAATGCTGGGGATGGAACTGCAGAAGCCTAACAAGGGAGGCATGACAGTAACCATGTACAAAAGGAATGAGGCACCATCAGCCGTTGAGGAAGCTGTCAATGGCAAAGAAGGGCCAAGGGACATCGAGACCGGTGAAGGAGGGACACCAACCGATGTTGAGAAGGAGTCCACCCAAACTGAATCTGTGAAGGGGATTGCTAAGAATACATCCATATTTACGTGGCAGAAAGTCAACTACACAATCCCTTACAAGGGTGGACAGAGACGCCTTCTCCAGGATGTGCAAGGTTGTGTGAAGCCTGGCCGGCTCACTGCTTTGATGGGTGCTTCTGGGGCAGGGTAAGAGCTACTCTAATACAATCGACGTCTTCTTGAGAGGGTTTGCTCGGCTGACACCGTATTCAATCTTAGGAAAACTACCCTACTCAATGCTCTAGCCCAGAGAATCAACTTTGGCGTTGTCACTGGCGACTTTCTGGTTGATGGAAAGTAGGTTGTCAGTTCTTTGGAAGGGTTAAATGATCGTTTGATATTAATAGATTGGTCATAGGCCACTACCCAAGAGCTTCCAAAGAGCTACCGGTTTTGCCGAGCAGATGGATATTCATGAACCTACCATGACAGTTCGAGAGTCACTTCAATTCTCCGCGCTTTTACGTCAGCCGAAGGAAGTTCCTGTGAAAGAGAAGTATGATTACTGCGAGAAGGTGATCGACCTCCTTGAAATGCGCCAAATTGCGGGTGCAACGGTTGGATCGACGGGCTCTGGTTTGAATCAGGAACAGCGCAAGCGCCTGACCATCGCCGTCGAGCTGGCCAGCAAGCCGGAACTGCTACTTTTCCTGGACGAGCCAACTTCGGGGCTGGATTCTTTGGCTGCCTTCAATATCGTTCGCTTCCTTCGCAGGCTAGCGGACGCCGGTCAGGCTATCCTGTGCACTATCCACCAGCCTTCCGCTGTTCTATTCGAGGAGTTTGATGACCTGCTCCTACTTCAAAGTGGAGGGCGGGTTGTATACAACGGCGAACTAGGACATGATTCGAAGATGCTCATTGATTACTTTGAGAGCAATGGCGCCAGAAAATGCTCTCCGCACGCCAACCCTGCAGAGGTAAGGTTCATATAGTGTCTCAACAGCCACCACTATTCCTGGTCAAAACATGCAGTAGTTACTGACATCTAATAGTACATGCTTGAAGTCATCGGTGCCGGAAATCCCGACTATAAAGGCAAGGATTGGGGTGATGTCTGGGCCAATTCTCCTCAGTGCCAACAACTCACAGAGGAGATCGATGGCATTATTAGCTCTCGTCGGGACCAGTTCAATGAGAAAGCAACGCAGGATGACCGGGAATATGCTATGCCTGTCTGGACTCAGATCGTGACCGTGACTCGACGGTCTTTCATTGCCTACTGGAGGACTCCCGATTACGCTATCGTTCGTACTTTCTTGTCATGGTTTTTTTTTTTTGATTGAATTTATGGAGTATGTCTAACATCATTTCTTCTAACAGGGAAAATTCATGCTCCATATATTTACCGGCCTCTTCAACACATTCACATTTTGGCATCTGGGGAACAGCTATATTGATATGCAGTCGCGTCTTTTCTCCATCTTCATGGTATTGACAATCAGCCCGCCTCTGATTCAACAGCTGCAGCCCCGATTCATGCACTTCCGCAGTCTATACGAGTCACGCGAGTCCAACTCCAAGATCTACTCCTGGGTTGCCTTTGTGGCCAGCGCTATCCTCCCCGAGCTGCCCTATTCGATCGTCGCCGGGAGTATCTTCTTCAACTGCTGGTAAACACCCACCCCCTCCCCCCCTACTCCAGCCTCCTATATGGCGAGCGATGCTCTTTCTTGGGTTATCTAGGTAATGCTAAACATTGGCTTTCTCGCAGGTATTGGGGCGTCTGGTTACCCCGTGACTCCTTCACGTCCGGCTACGTCTGGATGCTCCTGATGCTCTTTGAGATGTTCTACGTCGGCTTTGGGCAGTTCATCGCCGCCTTCTCGCCCAACGAACTTTTCGCCTCGTTGCTCGTCCCTGCCTTCTTCACCTTTGTCGTCGCCTTCTGCGGCGTCGTGGTCCCCTACCAGGCTCTGCCCCATTTCTGGCAATCCTGGATGTACTGGCTCACCCCGTTCCACTACCTTCTTGAGGGGTTTCTCGGCGTCGTCACGCACAACGTCCCCGTCCGCTGTGTCCCGCGCGAGGAGGCTCGTTTTACACCCCCCGCGGGTCAGACCTGCCAGCAGTATGCGGGTGCCTATGCCCAGCAGGCAGGCGGGTATGTTGAGACCGGCGCAGACGGGCTGTGTTCCTATTGTCTCTATTCCTCTGGTGATAAATTTGTACGCTCCCACTTTCCATCATTAGCTGCTGGCCATCTACTAACAAACCCAGGCAACTAGCTTCAACGTGTACTATTCCCACAAATGGCGCGATTATGTGAGTTATCTCATCACCCAGTTAGTTAACTTGAGTAGTATGTACTCGGCTAACCATCCCAGGGCATCTTCTTCGGCTACGTCATCTTCAACTTTGCCGCTGTTTTCTTCTTCTCATGGCTCTATCTACATGGTATTCGGAATTTAAAGCAGCGGCTCAGTGCAAGGAAGACTAAGAAAGGCGTCAACAATTGACTTCATGTATTACTTTTGTCGACCTCATGCTTTGTACAGTGGCAAAATGGTATTTTCTGAATAACCGTTATCGTGTCAGGAGTAGGGCAGGAATGAGTCTCAGTGATAAAGTGTGGTTGAAGTATGAATTCCCGAGAATTTATAACAATGCAACTCGCATATATATTATATATATTTATATATAGATCTTTGATTAGTAGAACACCTACTGAACAGTTCACTTTTTCCGTGTACTACTAGGGTATCTTCAAGAAGATATCACTAGTGAGAGTTCCATGTACTAGAAGTGCCGGGCACGTTGTTGCGCCCCGCGGACGATGCGGCGTCCCCCTCAGGCTGAGAAGCGGCGCCATGGTACCCGTTGATTAGACGTTGACGCTTTGCCTGGTGACTGAGTTTCGGACTGCGGTTGGCATCCGGGTACATGGAGGGTGGGGATGTCCGGCTCGTCAAGATGGGGGGGGAGACGGTGCGATGGGTTATAGTTGGCGAATTCTGGTCGGGACTCGGGGCAGCGGGAGGGTTTGGCGTTCGGGAGACGTTGCCCGTGTCCTCCACGTGTGACTTGGTATCGGCGCTGCTATACTCGTTCGGCAGGGTTTGGGGTTGACCGACACCCACGCGGCCCATACCTCGATCGTGCATAACGACCCGCTTCCACTTTGCCAGGATATTGTCGTAGTCCCAGCGACGGGAGTCCGGGTTGAGGGCACTCTCACGCGAGTCCAGTTCGCGCGCGACATCCCGCGGAATGGGCAGGGTGTCCGGTGGGAACAAGGCAAACTCTCTCGGCCACTGACAGGAGCCGAGCCTCTCAACCTGCTCACGGAGCTGGTTAGCTTCCTGTTGAACCCGGGCGAGCTGGCTATCTAGATTCTCGCGTTTCTCGGCCTCCCGGGCAAATGCTCTTGTGATTTCCAGTTGCCACACTTCTCTTCTGGTCTCCGGGGGTAGAGAAATCCAATGCTTGAACGCCAACTCAACATGCCGGGAGCACATCTCCTCGTGCTGCTGAGCACTTTTCTGAATCATGCTTAAATCAACGATCGCGCTAGATTTTGCAAAATCCCCCGAGCCAGATATCGTTTGGTCCGATTCCCATTTTTCGATCTTGGAATGGAGTGCCTGGCGAACGATCTCCAGATGTTCAGCTCCCGGGGGTTGAAGAGGGAACGACCCGGCCGATGGGAACGGATGGGCGGAGAAAAGACTAGGAGGGGGAGGAAGAAGCAACAGGCAGAGAGAAGGGAAGGTCTGCGATTGCAGATCGAAGTCGAAAGGTGATAAGCGAGGACGCGACTTCGTAGAACTAGATGCACATCTATCAGCGAACCAGATCACAAAATATGAGAGGTATGAATCCAGCGCTTGGAGGAAAAGGCGAACTCACGTTGCGGCCCTAATGTTATCCAAAACCTCCCGCAAGGCCAGTTCCAGCGCTCGCGCAGTGTCTGCAACATTGGCGCTTGCACCTCTGCTCGAATAGTCGGGGAGCCCCAGGGTGCCCATTCTGGACTGCGAATTTGACGACAGGTAGGTCGAACTCGTTCGGTCTTGAGGGCGACTGGGGTTGGGGATATCATTGATCACCCCCGTAGCATGCCAGGTAGGCGTGTTGAACATCATGCGAAACCCGCTTTCTCGTGTTTTATTACCGCCCACGCTCGAGGCGCCATCCCCATCCGCCTGTCCTCTCACCCTCGCCCCGTCCGGGCTATCCCGTTTGCCCGACGATGTGCGTGCCTGTCGTCGAGTGATCCCGCTGCGAATGCGCCGGATCTCCTCCACATCGTGGATACCGTCGGGTTTCTTTTTGAAAAGGAACTGGTCCAGATGACGACCCAAGGAAGACGATGTGAAAGCCTGGTGGCAGTATTGGCATTTTCTGTCCTTCATCGCAGCATTCTTCGCATTGTTCGACTGGAGCGTGTCGTCTCCTGCAGAGCCCTCTGGGGTCTCTGTGGGATGGGTAGAGTCACCTTCGTCCATCTTGTCCCTTCTCTGAAACGCGGCTTGGGTGGTTTGCTTCGACAATTATCGGCGGTTCACCTATTCTCACGAGGGTCTGCACGCGCAAGTGACTGAACCTGGAGGTAGAAAAAAGGCGAGTCAGGCGCGCCACTGTCGCATTACCCCCTCCCAAAAACAGTCGGCTTACTCGAGCGATTCGAAAAGAAGCTGCAAGCACCTTGAAACAGGCAAAATATTCCGTCGATCGGGTACAGAAGGACTCATGCACGGTGGTTTGCGGTGAGGTGGGTAGAAACAGAAAAGGAGCCCGCGTGAGAAGCTGCAAGAGTTAAGTTTCTCTGTACAGAAGCTGCCAAGCCTTACGCCCACCACCAGCCAAATTCTACGAGACACGGCACAGACGAACTTTCACACTGTTCTGCTTGAATAATGGATCTACACGGCTACCTGACTAGTAGTCAGCTCGAGTCTTTTCGAGCTCCTCGCCTAGGTACTCCGCCAGCGTCAACATCTTCTCCTCTTGCAGCCTACGCCCGACCAGCTGCACACCGACAGGAGCGCCGTCATATATCTCCGCATCGTCTAGGACAAGGCGAGAGCATTGATTAGAATCAAGATTGTGCTGTCAAGCCAATAAGGCAGGGCTGTCACTCACAATCTTCCTGTATCTGCTTGTCAATCTCGCCCAGGTAATCCCCAGGGGCACGAGGGATATCGATCTGCTTATCAGCATGGGTGACCGGAAGCACCACAGAGGTATAATCTAGAACATTTGCGAAGACGGTATAGCCAATGTATTTGAACTGGCCGGGAATGACTGCAGCGTGTGCGGCCACAGGGCTGATGAACCCGTCAACTGGACGGCCCGTGCCAGTCTGGTCTACCGTGCTGTTCCAGTACTCCATGTAGAGTTTCTGGTACTCGCGTTTCTGGACATTCAGCGCGGCTAGGTCCATCGCATTCAAGTGTCTGTCTCCTTCGTGGCCGATGAAAAGCTTTTGCGTTGGTCTCTCTCCAGAGAGATCGAAGTGGGAGCGCACATCAGTACCAGCGTCAGAGCAAAATACTCTCATCTGATACAGCGAGTCAGCTACAGTGTGAAGATTGTCGGAAGCATAGTGGAAACATACTGCAATTTCATCCGCGAGGTCTGATGCAGGCGGGTTCCACTCTATGATCTGACATGTGTGTCTTATTAGAAAGACTGCCTTGAAGCCTTCTATGGGGTCAAGATCCCACTCACCCTATGTCCAAGCCGCTTTAATGTCTGTTCAACTAATTTCAATCCACGCGCGACAGGCGGATGGGGTCTCACATGCCCATTGTGATGCACTATAGCAAAAGCAAGTGCAGGAACGCCCCTTTGCGATTCCTCGATCAAGGCTTGAGTTTGCTGCACAATTTCATTCCTCCAAGGCACTTCTAAGGCTAGAGGGTCATGGTTCCACGGCTCCTGGCTCAAGATTGCCTTGAACAGCAGCACGATAGAGCGGGCAGTAGTTGCCAGAGGCCCGACAACCGGTAAGATCGATATCTGGCCGTCCATCGAGTTGGCAGCACCTTCATAAGGGACCCTCCCCGAGGACGGCCGTAGACCATAAAGATAATTGAAGCCAGCGGGGACCCGTATGCTTCCTCCAATATCAGTGCCAAACCCACCGGGCGAGCCTCGCAAGGCAATCAGTGCCCCCTCGCCACCAGAGCTCCCACCAGACGATAGGTATCTGTTTCGGGGATTCCAGGTGTATCCAATAATGCCGTTGGCGGTCTCGCCCATCATCAACGTGACGGGCACACTGGTCTTGCAGTAGAGTACTGCACCAAGGCTGCGCAGCTCTCGCACGAGCTCGCTTTCAAAGGTGGTGCTTCGGGGGTCTCCCTTTTTGCCCTGGAAGGTGCCGATCCAACCAACATATCCCATGGTCGTCTCAACTCCCTGGACATGAAACTGATCCTTCAGACTGACAGGCAGGCCATGTAGAGGCCCCGAGGGTTTTCCGTGCTCTGCATAGTACGCATCTAACTGCTTCGCATCTTCGATCGCCGCGTCGAAGAAGATCTCATGCAAACAGTTCACCTGTTGATCATCCTGTCAGCTCTGTAGCGCATTGATTTCTTCTCCTCCCTTCCTTCCTTCCTTTCTTCCTTCCTTCACCTACCAGCTGATGCGCAAGCGCAGCCCTGTGACAGAACGCCTCCGTAACCTCCACGGCTGACCACTTTCGCGATATCGTCTGCTCGACGATCCCCGCAGCATCGGTTTCGGTGATTTCGATTTCGTGAGCCGTGAGGAACTGGTGGATATAGCTTCCTGTGACGTCTCTTTGCTCGGAGACGGGAGGGATGGCTTGAATCTGCCATTTCTTGGGAATCGCGTTCAGAACGGACAGGCGTTTTGCCTCGGCAGCAGCTTTCCAGTCCATTTCAGTCATCATTTCCGATTACAATTGACTTGTATTTAGATCCCGGTATAGATATAAGAGAATAGTTGAAACAGTCTTTGAGATGCGAGGGGACATTATAAATGAGTAAACAGCGGCAGGGAACTTCTATCCGGTCTTTTCTTCTACTTGGCCAGTCATAAATTCATCGACACGATTCCAATAATAATGATGAGCCTGAAGTGTTACCCTCCTGAACCGCTTGTCCGAAGATGTTTGCTCTTCCACCCAATAGTTCAATAGTAGATATTGATAACACGAGGCGGGGTCAGGATCGATAAGCTTGTCATCGTCTCTACCCCGGCCCGGAGCAAAAGTCCTAAGTCTCTGGAGAAACAATCGTGTCTCTTGTCTTATTTCGTTTTCCTGGAGTCAATTCTATATATGGCTCGTTGTGGTTCTTTTGAGGTATACCTGGCCCATTTGCTTGAACAAAGTAGATACAAGAGAGATGTGTTGGTGATGGATAGGAAATTCAATATGCTGCCGATAAGATATAAGTATGGCGAAATGTTGTATGCTATCAATTAAGTGAGTTCCCGGAATTACTGAAGGCATACACATGTTGGTCTCTCAAAGTCATCAAAAGCCCTGGCATGACATGATGTGAACAATAGAATGATATTCATAGTCGATCATGATAGTGATCGCACTAGTGAGCTTGAAAGCAAGAATGCATGATGGATATAATAAGGGTCTAGTTGCTTCGTCCGCGGATTTTGAGCTCCAGTATCAAAGGAGAGCGTTATCCCATCCGAAGACCCAATTTGTAGACACGAGGGCCTAGGGATTTAGGCAGCTGTTGTGCCTTCCTCTGGTAAGTCACCCTTGAGGCCTCTGCAAGGGCTGGGATGGGGGAACTCAATCCAGTTCCTTGTGTGTATTCAACTTCCCAGGCTCCATTATTATAAATGAAACCCCCCCATCAATCTCAGTCTCCAGTCAAGCCGATCTTCTCACTTGTCATCTGGCGCACATTAAGATTAATCCTCTTCTCGGCCATCCACCCCCTCCAAGGCTCGAACTGTAGCTTGCCTGACAGCTCGTCCTTATCCTCAGGCCAGTGGGCGAGCCAGCTCGGACAGGTTGAAGGAATAATCTTAGGAACACCATGCCAAGCGAACCTCGATGCGCCGTCCATATAGACCGCATCGCCCGAACGAAGCCGTATGATTTCGCAGCCGTTTCCATCATCATGGCTGATCAGGAATAGGCAATCACAACCAAAACTCACGCTGATCAACCCGACATCGCATTCTTCACTGACGTCTCGATGGACACTGAGCGTATCCCCTGCAGAATAGACATTGACGATCGCTGCTTGCGCATCGGTCTCCGGAAAGACAGAACGCAGCAGCTTTGCAGTATCTTGGGGGAACAGCGGCGGCTGTCCCTCCGGATACACCTTGGACGTCCAGTCATACTGTCCACCCAAGGTCATCCACCGGAGTTTCTTGTTCAACATCTCCTGGACAGTTATGGGCTTGTGCACGGCCGGCTCTTTGGGGTTTATCATACGAAGAAGATCGTCCTCGAAGAATGACCGCACCTTGTTGCTTATTGGGCTTTGAACACAGGGAGAAGCAGCAGCATCGCCCTGTGCATCTGCGGTTGTACTCACTTGTTTTGGATAGGTAACGTCGTAATGCAAATGGACATTCGTCAGATGGTCCTTATTCGACAAGTCTCGATGGAGTAGCCGTGACAACAGCTCTGTCTGCACCGTGGGTGGAAAGAGAGCGGGAATCATCCGCAATCCTATCACTCGTCAGATATTCAAACTTGCCGACGTCCATGACGATAGAACGTAGATGCTAACCAGACACGCGCTTGTGGGCAAACACTGGGATATTTTCAACCAGACGGCCACCATCATGCAAGGTCTCCTCTCCTTTGACAAATCGATCGAATGCCCCCCGCAGCTCGGTGCTAGACATCCAGCCCGTAATCGACACTTCGTCTGCGGGCTTGTCCGGATCCAGGCCACAGAGATCAATAATTCCCGCATCGCCATCAATCTTAGCCAGCGGGATCTTCTGGTACTGTTTGTATCTCTGCCGAACGACCTCCGGCGGACGGTCATGGGCGTTGAGCCCTTGGATCTGAGCCATGGCGTCTGTCGATCTTCCCTCGGTGAGGCAACTGTAATTGCCCAAAGAGCATCGAGTTCGGCTCGCCCTCACCGCCTTTGTCGCGTGAGATTTGTTTGTGTACAAAACGCCAGACCGCCTTCGTTTCCCTCCCCACCACCAGAGCAAAATAAGAAGCCACCGGCAGGAGGCACAGCTGCTCGTTTTTATTTTCACGTCATCAAGGCCTTTTTGCAGGCAATATCTGGTGTGCTGTGACTGCTGTCAGCATTGGGACTGTGGCCAGTTGCCTTGTCCTTGTTCATCGACCTCGAAGCCTTTCTCGACGCAAGCTGAAAGGTGCACCACCTCCCCTTTTGTGACGCCCTCTTGGCAGCTCAGCAGCCTTGGACCCTTCAAGCCCCACCAACGTGGTGAACGCATTGTAACTGTTCCAGAAGGGCCCCCTGCAGACGTGCTTGCTTGATATTGAAGGAGTCCTTGTGTGATCACGATGGAGAACTACCAGAAGATCGAGAAAATTGGAGAGGGTATGTATGCTGTGCACGATGACGGGCCTCGTCAGACACCACTATTGGGGTCGAGAGGTTGGGTATATAGAGCTTACTGGACTCGTTGTATTCTATAGGGACCTACGGTGTCGTGTACAAGGCCCGCGAGCTCACCCACCCTAACCGGATCGTCGCTCTGAAGAAAATCCGACTGGAGGCCGAAGATGAGGGTGTTCCCAGCACAGCTATCCGCGAGATCTCGCTGTTGAAGGAGATGAACGATCCCAACATCGTGCGTCTGTTGAACATCGTTCATGCAGATGGCCATAAGCTTTATCTTGTCTTCGAGTTCTTGGATCTTGACTTGAAGAAGTACATGGAAGCCCTACCAGTCAGCGAAGGCGGTCGAGGCAAGGCGCTGCCGGACGGCTCTTCGGTGGATATGGGTATGGGCCTCGGTGAGGCGATGGTCAAGAAGTTCATGGCCCAACTGGTCGAGGGTATTCGGTACTGCCACAGCCACCGTATCCTGCATCGGGACTTGAAGCCTCAGAACCTTCTCATTGACCGCGAGGGCAACCTGAAGCTGGCAGATTTCGGTTTGGCCAGAGCGTTCGGTGTTCCCCTGAGAACCTACACTCATGAAGTGAGTGCAATATACGGAACCCAGGAGTCAAAGCATTTTACAGGCAATTTAAAACTAACCCTTCCGTCCGCTAGGTCGTCACGCTGTGGTACCGTTCTCCTGAGATTCTTCTGGGCGGACGTCAGTACTCTACGGGCGTCGACATGTGGTCTGTCGGAGCCATCTTTGCGGAAATGTGTACTCGCAAGCCACTGTTTCCCGGCGATTCCGAAATCGATGAGATCTTCAAGATCTTCAGGTGCGAGATCTCTCTCACAGTAGCTGCCTACATTCTACCACACAGACTAACCTTCCTGCTCGATATCACAGGACCCTTGGTACCCCCGAAGAGTCCAACTGGCCTGGTGTGACGTCCTTCCCCGATTACAAGCCGACCTTCCCCAAGTGGAAGCGCGAAGAAAGCCGAAGCCTCGTCCCTGGCCTTGAAGTCGCCGGGTTAGACCTGTTGGAGGCTTTGCTCGAATACGACCCAGCACGCCGACTGTCTGCTAAGCAAGCATGCATGCACCCATACTTCCAGCACGGCAGTTCGTACTACTCTGGCCGGACCCGGAGGAATGGATACCACTAAAGCGACCCCCTGGGGCGTCCGGTGCTCTGTGATGTACGCTCTCTCCGACGAGAGGGCCCCTGGCGAGACTTTTCTCTGCTGAAAGAAAACTCGCATTGAACTTCTGCAGGGTATCGAACATTCTGAAACGCCCAGGCTGTGTGGCTTCTTTGTTTATTTCCTTTGTTCATGGCGTTATCTTTGGAGTGACTGGACAGGAAGGAGGCTTAGGTTACTGGATATTACAAGGATGTGTTTCGAACCAACAAGAAGCGTACATATACTTGTTCACATGGCTATTCTCAACGATTCGAGCATTCGCCTCGTTAGAGAATAATGTAGTCCTACTGTCTCGACGAAAAGGGGGGCCCATAGATCTCTCTTTGACTGTCGAATGTAAACTCGACAGTGAGATACCCTCATTCGAGCTCAGTACCTGTAGAAAGGTGGGCAAAAATGGTGTGGTTGCTGAGTGTTCCATCCTCGGTGGTGCCGTCAAGAATATCAGTAACTTGGGAGTAAACAAAAGATACTCGCCCTCGACACCATCACCAGAACAATGGACAACTCCGCGCTCCAGGCCCATGTGGCTGCGTCTAAATGCAATTAAGTATTTCCAAGACGGTCTGTGATGGCTTCTGATTTGTTCAGCGCAAATTACTGACTGCAGATAGTCTTTCCAAGATGAGAAATGCTGTCGTTCCTACTAGTTATCCAAGCCATCCCCTAAGGTGCGACACAGCCTCGAAGTATGGAGGCTAGCACGAATGATTCTCGGGCAAAGACCCAGAAATGGCCATGGGCCGTCTTTTTTGATTGGAAGATGGATAAATTAGCAGATAAACACTGAAACAGTCCTGGGTCTAGAAGAATCAAAGCACTGTGCGGGCCCTGGGGTTCGCCAACAAGAACGAGGCAGCCCGACCGGCCTCAGCCTTACAGCTGTGGCATACAGGTTTTTAGAAATCTTCCAGTCGCTCAGGCACGCTCAGGACTCCGACGGACCCCAGATCCTCGCAAGTCGTGCAACTATAATGCGCTGGCTTAAGGCCTCCAGCCAACGGCATGCAGGCAGCTGGGGCCCCCAAGCGTTATCAGCCTCAGCCTTGCTAAGCCTACTACAATATACAGAATGTAACTAAGGAGGTTCTATATTAAGTTCAGCTCCACGAAGAAGTGTAACGCTGAAGATTACTAGTTAATGTTCTTATTTATTAACTGCCCTGTTTCCGACAGACAAGTCTCTCAACTCCAACAATACAACACCGTGAAAGCGGCGTCGAGCTGATCAGCGCTATCAATTCTTACCCCACACGCCGAAGTGGGTGGTCCCTTCTCGCGATAGTCAGTGAGGAATCAGAGCTATGGATTACGACGAAGAGATGACCGGGTCCGGTTACACTCCTGCTCTGTCATCGAACTCTGGAAGTCGGACCCCACGAAAGAATAAGGACCAGTCTCCACAGGAGGCCATCAAGCAGTTCTGGGAACAGTTCAATTCAAAGTTCCCGGGGAAGGTCTTCACCGTTCTGCCTGACAATCCATACGCGCGTACCAAGGCTGCGCGGACGCCCAAGGGAGTCGTTAAGGGCCAAGATGCGGCCAAGTCGTATGAACAGGCCCGGACGGAATGCGTGCGCGTCGTTGAGCGGATTGCCAAAGAGTGCCGGCGGGTAAACCATAAGTATACAGATCCGCATTTCGACATCGAAGTCGACCTCAAGTCGGATGTCCGAAACTGTCTAAATGGACTGGGAAAGGGCAATGATGAGATGCGCCCTCGTGGCGTCAAGAGGGTGACAGTATGTGCAACCCATTTCGGACGGAGGGCTTGCCTAGTCATCGCAGAGGCTAATATGCATTTTCGCCTCTGCAGGAGATCTTTGATAGACCACAATTCTATGTTAACGGACCGACGGCTTCGGACGTGCGACAAGGTCGTGATGGTGACTGCTGGTTCATGGCTGGATTGTCCACCATGGGTAATAAGCAAGGCCTCATCGAGAAAATTTGCGTGGCTCGGGATGAGAAAGTCGGTGTTTATGGCTTTGTGTTCTATCGAGGTGGGCATACCACTGCTATCAATGTCTCGACAAGGATCACTGACAAGGCATGATTTCTAGATGGCGAATGGCAGCAGTGCATCGTTGATGATAAGTTGTATCTCCGAGCAGCCGATTATGATGAATCTGTGGATGAACGGCCCATCTGGGACGATATCAATCGAGCCAACACAGAAGAGGAGTACCGCAGGGTGTGGCAGACAGGATCACGAGCTCTCTATTTTGCCCAATGCGCAGACGAAAACGAGACCTGGCTGCCACTTCTGGAGAAGGCATACGCAAAGGCCCATGGTGACTATTCTGCAATTGAGGGTGGGTTCGTGGGGTAAGTCTTGGGGATCCTATTTTTTCCTGTTGCTTGCACGAAGCGCCATTTGACACGAAACAGTGAAGCCGTTGAGGATTTGACTGGCGGGGTCACGTCTGAGGTACTCACAAGTAACATCCTGGACAAAGACAGGTTCTGGAATGAGGAGTTAATGAAGGTCAACGAAGAGTTCCTGTTCGGTTGCGGCACTGGCTTGTTCTCTAACTGGCTGGATCCCAAGTACAATGGACCCCCAAGAGACAGAAAGGGAATATCCGAGGACCATTCTTACTCTATCATGGACGTCAAAGAGGTCGACGGCCTTCGATTACTGCGACTCAGGTACGCAACCTTTTTATATCTAGTGAACAAAAATCTGACTCTTTAGAAATCCTTGGGGTAAAAAGGAATGGAATGGCCCTTGGAGCGACGGTTCAGAACAATGGACTCCATATTGGATGGAAAAGCTCAATCACAAGTTTGGGAACGATGGCGTATGATACTGCCCATACCCAATCTTGATCCGCTAGGATCTCACGCTAATATACGATTCTTAGTTTTTCTGGATAAGCTACGATGATCTGCTGAAGAACTACCAACATTTTGACCGTACTCGCCTTTTCGGTCCTGAATGGACAGTCACTCAACAATGGACCACTCTGAACGTCCCCTGGTCTACAGCCTACCACAGCACAAAATTCGTAATCGATATGAACCAGCAGGGGCCGGTGGTAATTGTTCTCAGCCAGGTCAGTCATCTGTCAATGTTCTTATCCCCGTACATTATTTCTAACCTTCAATGGAATCCAGCTCGAGAAACGCTACTTCAAAGGTCTTGGAAGCGAATATGACTTTGTGATCCAGTTTCGAGTGCAGAAGGAAGGCGAAGAAGACTACATTGTCCGTAGCCAGACCAGCTACCTCATGAGCCGTTCGGTTAATGTCGAGATCGACCTCGAGCCTGGTCGCTACTACGTTCTGATGAAGGTCACAGCTTACCGCAACAACGGCGCGGTCTCTACCGACGAGGCTGTCAGTCGATATGCTTCGACAAAGCGTGAAAAGCTCGTGCAAATCGGTCTATCCTACGATCTTGCACACGCCAAGGGACTTGCTCCAGAGACTGAACAGGAGGAAATGGAGAGAAAGGACCGTGATCGTCGTCACAGAGTGATAGAGAGGAGAAAACTACGCGAGGAAACACTGGAAAGGTTGCAGAGAGCATGGATCAGAAAGCAAAAACGGGCCGCTCGAGAGCAACGAGCTGAAGAGAGGCAGGCGAAAAAGGCCAGGCTCGGCAATGAGCCTAGAGACAACAACAGCAGCAACGACGTCACGTCTGTAGCCGGCGATGCACTCAACGGCAGAACTGCTGGGGTCAGCAGACGTGGAACTAACCCGCCACGCCCAGTTCTCGATACACGTTTCCATACGAGTGGCCTTAGTTCCAGCGATCTGGAGTACTTGGACGGGTTCGAGTTTGACTCCGACATCGACATGCCTGCCGAGGAGCCTACCGCAATAAAGCCTGCGCAACATGCCCCAGGCTTCGAAAGTGAGAACAGCAGCGAGCGATGGAACGCCGTCTGTGTTCTCGGGCTCAGGGTCTACTCGAAAGATCCTCAATTGTCTCTCCAGGTTTTGCGTCCTGTTCCGGAAGATGACGTCGAAGCGGCTCTTGACATAGACGATCCGGCGGCTTCTGCTACGAAGGAGCTTAGCTTCTGGGGCCATCGAAATGTCTAGGATTGAGTTTGTGATAAATGGCGGTTATCGTTGATATCGGGATATGTACACAGACTGTTTTATATTTACAACCTAGTGGTTAACTAATATATTGGAACCTCAAAGACTGTGGCCGCTGCTTTAGTATTTTTTTCTCTCGATATCTTTAGCTACTAGAAAAAAACCTGAAACCAGAATAATATACTTCAGAAATGATTGCACATTGTTGTTAAAGATGTCAACGCCAAGCTTTCCTTGGAACATCCCAAACTGAACCATCATTTCGTTTCCACTTCTCGACGCGACATAGATATGGCGCTATGCGCCCACAGATTCATCCAATACACGTGTGTGTACGGCTTAATGGCACAGCATTGACTGGGATAGTCAATTATAATGTCGTTCCCCGAGCTGCGAAGCGTTTTCTTTCGACTTTCACGAACGAGACCGTTCGCGTCCCTGTTGGAGGCAATGGATATGTACCACTAAGGTATAGCTAGACGTGTTGAATCCCAATCCTTTCCAACTCCTTGAAAAACAAGAAAAACGATGCTAATAAAACACCAGTGTTGTTCGGTCAGCTTCACAACCTCTGACCCGCGCGAATGTGATCCTTTACCTCCCTCCCGGACCATTGTTTCGGTCTTCGTCCCACCCGGAAAATGAAGAACATGGCAGGATAAACCGTATCCTTGGACCCGACCCCGCGCATCTGCTTGCATCAACTACATCGTCCACGGTGGTTACCGTAAACTACCGCTTGGGCGCCATCGATAGGGGGACAGTATGCCCTTCCGAAGAGCCAGCAGCGCAGCAACCTACAAAGCCCGCAGTCTACAAATACCCGACACCAATCCACGACACGCTGGCTGGGCTCGATTGGGTTGCGCAGAATCTACAGCCCGCACAGCTCTGCGTGCTAGGCACACATGTCGGGGGATCGCTGGCACTGATGCTCGCCCTGACCGAAGCACAGACCGTGAGCGCCGTCGCCGCGATAGAGCCCGTCTGTGACTGGGCCGGACTAGACGAGTACTGCACGGCCATAGCTCCTGCAGAGACGCCAACCGAGAGGCAGAGAAGGGGCCGGTTCATTGCTCCACCGGATCTGGTTCCGCTGCTCCAAGCACGAGAGACCCTCTTCGACACCCCGGAGAGATACTTCGATGCCTTTGCCTCGCCGATCCTGTTTCTCCGCTCGCCTGGTAAAGGAGTCCCCCGCTCGACTCCCAGGTACATGACTGGCGCGGAGTACCCGCGGCCGGTACTGGTACCGCCACCCCAGGCCGACCGACACCAAGATCTCCAGACCAACCACATGCCTGAAGACCTTGACGGCGAGATCGGAGCCTCCTCCGAACAAGACAGCGAGAGGATCACCCGCCGTCGAAAGGCCCTCTCCAGATGGCCACCGTATGGGCTGGATTACGGCCTCGAACAGGCAACATACTCGCCTCACGCAGGGATCCGACGACTAGAAGTCACGCTGCCGCGGGTGCGTATCTACACGGGAAGCAATGAGCTCCCTCGCGACAAGAAAGCGAGGACCACCAGCACGGTCTTAGCCCAACAGGCTGAGGAGATGGTTTCCGTCATGCGACGCGCCTGTTTTTTCGGTCGGGAGAAGGGGTTCGGCGACGAGCGAGTGCAGCTGGGCAGGGTGGAGGATGTAGCCGAAGCAGCGGGATGGTTTGAATCCATAGATCAATCAAGCTTAAATGAACAATAATTAAAAAAAAACATTCATTCATTACCTTGTTTTCTTTTCCGAGAAAGAGAAAGAAAACAAAAAGAAATGCTCACACGCGGATTCGAACCGCGGACCTCATGATTACTAGTCATGCGCTCTACCAACTGAGCCATGCGAGCTAGTTGATGTGAGGGCGTGGAAGTAATGATCTATGAATTAGATTCTGACAATCTTTATTGAATGTTATCCGAGCATCTCTGGACTAGACAGAATAGAAGCCATGCAAGACATCAATACTATAGATATTATGTATATATATTCTAGTCTATTGGATACTATATGTTCTCCCCAAAATTAGACGGATCCCACCACGCCTCTATATCAGAGAGACTAGGCAGCGCCGTCCCCTCCCCGTACGCCGAGTCGACCATCTGCTGGAACCCGTCAGGCAGGGTGTCAGAGACAAGCTGCATGTCCGAGTTGCGGATCCATTCGAGTTCGCCGGTCTGGCCGGGCGCGAAGGGTTTGGTCTGTGACGGGTTCTGGGCCTGGGTTTCGTTTTGGGTTTGGTTCGGGTGTGGTGGAGGATTTGGAGGGTTAGAAAGTGAGGTGGTGGTGGTGGCTGGATTTGAAGGGTTCAAGAAGGAATTGGAGGGCCGATGCGATGTAGGAACAGGGATGCCCCTGCTGCCCATGCCTGCATTCATGGCCATTCCGGGCCCCGTACGGGACCGCTTGCGGATTGTATCAGCTGCGTCAGAATCGGCGCTGAGTCCATTATTAGCGGAAGCGAGCCGAGGATTTGATGACGATGGTGGCGGTCGGAGACCCTCCAGATGTCGCTTGAGGGCGGGCCCGGTGCGGCGCATAAGAGTCTGCCATCGTCGCTGGAGGCCGACGAGGAAGTCGCGCGTGCGCTTTGCGTTTTCCACGGACTGGCCCAATTCATCCAGGGCGCGGAAACAGAGGTTCAGATGCGCCACCATGTCTGCGTTACTGGTTGATCGGTGGTCGGCCCCGCTGGGGGGAGGTGTCAGCGGGGTGGTCGAGATGGTGACGAAGAGAAGCATCAAGGCGGCGGTGAAGATCATGGACACCACCTCGTTGTTCATGCGACGGAAGGTGTAGTGTTTCTCGTAGAGGCGGAGCAGCCGCGCAACAGCCGTGGCGGACTCGATGCATTTCTGTCGAGCATGCAAATAGCCGGGGCCCTGGCGCGGACTCCGGGGCTGAATGTAGTTTTTGGAGACCCAAGGACGATGGAAAAAGATGACAATCTGATGGTATTGCATACTGTACTCGATCAGTATGGAACCACTATCGTTGTCAAGGTTGATTTAAAACATACTGCAACATCAACAGATGCGGCAATTCCGGTACGTTCTCATTGTCCAAATCTATCTGTAGGTTGGACGGGAGGTTCTCTTTCCAGGCGAACAGATCCTCTGTTACTTTGGAGGTAATTCTTTGCAAATCGTGGCGCGAGATATCAACGCATCCATAACTGCCTTCGTCAGCCTCTTTTACATCCTTCTCCCCGCGCACCAACCACCACAGATACTTACAGAATATGCCCTACCGGGGAGATCATCTCCCACAAGATGGCAAATTGCCGGCTGATCAACTCGTTCGGATTGTCTAATCCCCGACTGAGCGCTTCCGACCTCAATTCAAGACCATACGGCCACCAGATTTCCTCTTTGTCCAGGCCTAGATTGGACGCCGGCTTCGGGACCGTGATATCGCCCGCATTCATACGGAATGGTCGACCGAGGTAGAATCCCCAGAAACTGAAACACGGTCAGACCCTTGCAAACAACCCAGCATGCTCAAACCTACTGATCGGCAATGTAGCTGCCCCAGAAGGCCGCACGGCGCACATCGGCCTCAAATGCGCTCATATCGCCCCGATCGACGTACGGCGTCAGGTCGATATGAAGACCTAGATCGAAAGCGAGCCTCATCGACATGCCTATATATGTCAGTTTCCCTCTCTCTCTTCTGTCAGAGAAAAGAAGAAGAAAGTGAAATACCGCTGTAGAGCCACCCCCGAGCATCACGATTCGAAGCACCTTCATGAGAAGCCAGGATGACGAGTGCCTGCACGGTCGCTACACAAGGCGAATCCAGTTCAATCTCCAACAGGGCCTTGGCCCTATCGGCAAAAAACTCGGAGAGCGATTTCGGAAACGTGATGAAAGTCGGGTGGTATCGTGCCTCAAAGGTACTCCCAATAGCGCACCTGGGCATGAACTTTAGTTTGGTTGTTTTATATATAACCATGTTTATGGGAGAACATACATTGCGTTGGTGAGGACCTCTGAGTAGAAAGGTGTTTCATCCATCTCAGTCCTCCACTTCGACCGCGCGATCATATACATCTCCTTGTTAACGACATAGGCACTGGGATTCTGCCACGTAAAGTAGAGTTCGACGAGATGATCCTCCATGGCCTGGTCAACGGGCTGTCCGACCCGGAGGTGGTTGAGAATGTCCTGGCCGTCCTGGCGGACGGTGCGGGCATCAGGACGCTGGCGTTGTTGTGTTGCCGAGACGTCGACGAGGTTCAGGTTGGACGTCGCGCCGTAGAAACGCAAGTGACCGTCTCCCGCGATCTTCAGCGTGCCGATGCGATGCGAGAGTTGCTCGATCACTTCATTCTGCGCCTCGTCTTCTTCTTCGCCGCTGTCTGAGTCAAACCCGCTTTCGCTCTGCGCGAGAGGCAACACCGGCTGTTGAGACGAGGCGTCATGTCTCGGCGGCAGACCGCTCTGGTCGACGGGGACCCCGTTGATATCGACGTAAAGTGTGTTGAGGCTTGCGGCAGTTGGTAGGAACCCCCAACTACTGGGACTGCAGTTATTCACTCCGGGTACGATACCAGGCAATTGGGTCTCGGTAGCGACGTTCCCGGGAGAAGAGAAAACCGGTGGATTCGGAAGCGCCGTAGCCGCAGGCGCAGGCGCAGACACAGGCACAGGAGATGGAGAAGAAATGTGGGTGTTTCGATTGATCTGGCTCAGCTGTCCATCGACTGGTGTTGTCGGCACCGGGCTTCTAACAGGAGACTGCGCGATGTTCGCTTGCGGGCTTCCAGCTGCGACAGGGAACATCCGTCTCGGCTGGGCGCGCGGGATCCGTAACGTATCCAGTACCCTGGTCATTCCCATTTCGTCATCGGGGTTCATCGGCGGCGGTTCCAGCCCATGGTCGTAGATGAACTGGGTCAGTTGGTCGATTCGCGCGGAGAACAGTTCTGTAGCGGCTCGTAGCGAGACTCTGTCACGCAGAGATAAGATCAGCATTTGCACTATTATTCACCTGGTCCATAGAGACAGACTTTCTCTTATCCTCGCCATGTTGATATCTACATTCTTTTCCCTTGCGATGGCAATTGTTGCAATTCGGAGTTGTGCCGTCGCACTAGAAAATCGTCAGCACGAACAAACAGTGTTGAACCACCCAGTAGTAAAGTATACCCTGATCTTGCTTTCTCGACAGGGCACACACGCCGTGGTGACATGCTTGCGAGGCGCCTTCTTGGGCTTCTCCTCCCCTCCCTGCATTGCGAATTGCTGGACGCTTTTTTCGGTGCGTGCGGGGGAATTACCTAGATTGTGGGCAGGCTCGTCGAGGCTCGGAGTTTATCCACTCCAGCTAAGGCTAGGTCAGGTCAGGTCAACCCACGTCCACGAAGAGGGTGGTCCAAGCATGTCGAGACGGAGACCTCGATGATCATTAAGAGGAAGAAGATGAAGAAGAAGAGGAATTATCGTAAGTAAGGAAGTGAAGGCAGGATTGAAAGTCGAGATTCATTGGAGAAGGACTCGATTCTCTTTGGTCGGAGGGACTCCACTTCCCGAACCGGGCAGATCACATGCCGACATTTGATTACTAAACGGGATGATTTCATACGAAGAGGAATAAAGTATTAGGAGGTATTATCTTGGTGTTACAGAAGATACGGAGGCGGTCATGGTTTCATCATTTGACTATGTGTCTTTACTGCGCCAGAGCCTCGTTCTGGATGATCTCCACCCAGTACCCATCCGGGTCGAGGATGAAGGCGATGTTCTTCATGCGACCGTCAGTCAGACGCTTGCGCCAGTTCACGTTGAGGGACTCGAATCGAGCACAGGCGGCATCGAGGCTGTCAACAGACATGCCTATAAACGTTAGAAAAGAGGGGGAAAAACACAGGTAAGATACCCATATAACTGATAAAAAAACAGAAGAAAACTCACAGATATGGCCGAAACCCTGGGGCTCCGCGTTGCCGTCATGGTAGACCTTGCCCTCCAGCTTCTCGGTGCCGTAGTTCCAGGTCAGCTCAAGCACACCTTCCCACCCGGCGATGGGGTTTGCAGCACCCTCCTTGATGCTGGGGTTAGCAGCCGGATACGCGAGGAAGTAGAGGTTGAACTTGGCGTCTGGGTTCTCGACGGTGCGGACGAGTTTCATGCCCATGACTTCCTCGTAGAACTTGATACTGGCCTCGGCGGACTTGACTCGGATCATGGTATGGTTGAGGCGGTAGGACTTCGGGTCGGTCGTCGCAGAGATGGCCTGGTCCGCCAGCTTGATGATCTCCACCCAGTACCCATCCGGGTCCTTGACAAAGGCGATGTGCCTCATGCGCCCGTCAGTGAGCTTCTTCTGAAAGATGTAGCCCGCGTCCTCCAGGCGCTGACAGGCCAGCTCGATGTTGTCGACAGAGACAGCCAAGTGGCCGAAGCCCCGGTAAGGCTCTGTGTTGCCGTTCACCACGCTGTACTCGGGGTCATTCTCCGTGCCGTGGTTGTGGGTAAGCTCAATGACACCATTACGATCCGAGAAGTGACGGTCGCCCTGCAGCGAGGCGGGCCCGGTGTAGGCAAGGAAGTAGTTGGAGAACTTGGCTTCGGGGACATGGAACTCGTGGATCTGGCTGAGACCGAGGAACTTGTAGAACTCGACTTTTTTGAACTCAATCAGCTTCTATACTTCATTCGAAAAGGATTCCTTTGCAAACCTACTCGACCGCTTCGGATCCTTCACCCGAATCATCGTGTCTGCACCATGGTGGTCAATCTTCGAAAGCCCAGAACAATGAATTATTACCCGACAAGGGGATCACGAACGATTGAATTTATATTTAGACGTATCTGTCGCCATGGTTGCGAGCGTTCTGCTTGATCCTGAAACCGAGCACGTTAGTTTCGTATAGCACAGCGGGGAACGAACCGGGAACAAGAAACACCCACCAGGCACAATTGAACGAGTCAGAGCTTGGAAGTATGGTGCGAAAACCCTGAGAGGCTGGTGAAAGGTAGAGATGGTGGTGTACGAGAACATGAACCTTTAAAAGAATAGAGGGGAGAGATACTGGAAGAGAAAGGAGAAGAGGAAATATTCCGTAGATAGCTGAGGGCACCCTATTGCTTGGTAAGCCGAGCGAGAAGAAGAAGCGTGGGGGTGCACCACAGCTTTGGAGGGGCCATGACGCTATTCCGAGGAAGCTTTTGAGGTGGGATTTTCGGTCACTCCGACACTTGGCCGAACTACAGCAAGCAGAATTTGATGGAGTCAATTCTTATGTAAATACACTACTCGGTTTAATTAGTAAATTTAGGATAGCTTAGCTAGTCAGCCAGGTTTAATTCCTGATAATGTGGCAAAGGTATACTATATATCTTCATACCAACAGGTGGGGTATGGTTAATACTGCCTGCCTTGACCGTCGTCCCTTATTCACCAATAGAAACCAACTAATTTGCTGGTTTTTAAACTTGGAAATAAAGATTTACTGGAGGCGTAAGTGGGAGAAGGGAGTAGGTAGTAGCATATAACCCCACTGCAGTCTGGAACACTATCTCGGACTGATGAATAACATGTGTGGTGGTTCCTGATAGGGTCGAAGATGCGTGGGATGTGGTAGTTGGAAAATGATAATGCTTGCAAACCATCGGCAACCCGCGAACCATTGATGATGAACTAAGAGGGAAATCCCCCCTGGCCAGGTGGGGGAAGATTATCACCTCTTGTGTCCTTATCAAAGCCCCGCCAATTGTTTGGGACACTTCTTGGTGGCCGAATGGTTGAACGACTACTCCCCTGGGTTCTCTGATGTCTTGCCAGTCTCGGCACAGGTGAGCTGATATCAGTCCACCTTGTATATTTCATTATTGTTGGGTGTGAATGCTGACAATAAAAGGGAGAGAAGACGCCCGAAGAACCGTGGAACCCGAGGGACGGAGCGGAGTCGAGAAGGAGGGTTGACTAGCCATAGTTAACTATACCCTAATATCCAACCTGTCAAATCCCAAAACCTGCACCATCATGGTTGATGCCTTTTTGTCGGTTCGCTAACCGACAACATTGTAGGATCTATCATCGTGGGTGCCTGCAACTGCCGATGAACCCGTCGCTTGTTTTGAATCGCCAATGCTAGAGCTTCGGCGGTATCTCACGGGTGGTCTTGATAGCCAGACCGTCAAGAGTACAGTACCCCAACTGAAGAGCCTTCATACCCGATCGCATGTAGAGCGGGAAATAGATCAGACAGCCTGGATCTAGGAAGAGCGAGGGCATCTATTGATCTGTCGAAGGGTCTGATTGAATGAAATGGTGAAAGCAGGGAGTTCACCAGGTCGCTGGCAGCCCGACAGTGGACACAAGACAGGACAGTGCACAGTGTCTACCTACTTACTTAAGTAAGTACTAGTTAGTTAACTACTAACTAGACAAGTGATCACGTGGGACATCATGCCATATAATTATGGCATACACTCCATGTACTCGTGGACAGCCATCTATAGTAAGGTACTGACGGAGTATCCGACCTAGGAGGGACTTTTACTAACCTTGTATGGCAATATGTCATGCACGTGGGTAGCTGTACTCCATCTATTGGACCAAGAGGATTGTCGATCAACTTTTAGAGGCCAAGCCCCAACCTTACCTAGGTTAGGTAGTAAGGTACCTATACCTTCTATGTACAGGCATACTAGTTATATGTAACTAGTATACTACTACATAGTAGTAGTACCCGCCGAGAGAGCCGCCATATCCGATAATACTACCCTGGAACTAACTCTGTAGTAAGGTATGTGCTAGGTAACTATAGGTACCGACTCCGGAGTAGGAGGAGTTGACTAGTTACCTAGAAACTACCAACTAGTGTCTTCGTATACGAACAGAAGGTTCGGTTACTAGAGAAGAAGCTGCCTAGCTGGATTGCCATCAGCTGTTCTGAGCATAAGACCATTCAATCTTCATTCGGGCAGCCACAAGACTCAATACTCCATCGGGTAGATTCGAATAGAGCCATCGTAGCATGATCCTGATGAAGACCTGGACTGAAGAAAACCCCAAACCACATCTCCCAACCCTTCTCAGTGCTTCTAAGCTAGAGAACTCCTGGCTATTACTCTTAGTAATAGAATGGCGCCTATGGCGTCTGGAATTAATCTCATCAGACTCTCTCGCGAGTCCAGACTGAGTAGACCCCACAACGGGGCGTTGGCAGACTAAAGCAAGGAAGAATTCCTCGCAGGGAAAAAGGAAGCCAGGCTGACTCGGGGAACATCCTGTCCGTAGTGAGTTTGTATGTAATTAGTAGGTAACTAGTGTTTACTACCTGGTAGTAGTAGTGGTGGTGGTGAACTGGGTATGTTGACTCCTCAGGCACCAACTCGGCCCGCAGGCGATCCGATCCTCCCCTCAAATCAAATCATCCTCCATCGCCAATCCGACGACTCTACGTAAACGAGACTCCCCTTGCAGTCTCAACTCGACCTCGACCATCGCCCCCCCCTCCTCTTGGACTACATTTCGTGTAGATCCGTGCAGGTAAGTTTCAGCTAGCTGTTTTATTACTTTTCCCCAAGGAGACAGAGAGACAGCAGGCAGACAGACAGACGAGAGACGAGCGAAAGAGTTACAAGGGACCCCACTGGCATCCAAAGCCCGTCAAAGCTCCCACCATTGACTGCCCGCCCTTGTTTTCTTTTTCCTTTTTTTTTTTTTTCTAAATGGCCATTTTTTAATTGCCCTTTTCCACCCTACTTGCGTTGTGCTTTCTGGCTCGTTTTGTCACCCGGGTCTTGTCCTCACACCCCCTGCGTTGTACATTCCTCCACCATGTTGTTCCCCACAGAGCTGCGTGTCCACGTTCGGCATGGAAAGCTTCATTCTCCGTCCACGAGGCTAGAGAAGGCCGCTTACGAGGGAGCGGGACATGTGAAGAGATGAAAGGGGACAGAAGGTGGCCTGTCTCTCTGCTGCTGTCCGACGCCCCGGTTTCGAATGTCTCGCGGTGATGAACAGTCGTCGTGTAGCGCTTGTGCCACCCACGATCCACGATCTCACTCTTGCTGCCTCGTTTCTGCGTCTTTTTTTTTCCTTTGGTTTTTTGCTTTTTCTCCTTTATTTCTTCTTCTACTCCGTATGGTGTCGCGTGAGTGGCAAGCCTCATTCATACATATAAGGCTACTATGCCCACAACCAGCCTGGCTTTCTATAACTACTGTTCTACACTCATGTTCCTTGATTATTATTATATCCACTGTCTCTTGATCACTGTCACTGTTTTTGCAGCTCAACATGGCTGAATATGGACATCCAGTACATGCGGGCTTCCTGAAGCAACAGCCCTCCGACCTCGACGACTCGTCATTCTTGCCCCTGTGGGCGCGCAGCAAGGTCCGATACGCACAGAACTTGCTCGCGTGCTCAGACGAGCCCATCGAGTACGATCACGACGACGAAGACTACCGGGACAACTGCTTCTTCTTCCCCGAAGACTGCTCCTGGTCGCCGCCGCGGGGGTGGCTCGCCCATGAGAATCTATCCCTGGAAGATCTAACGGACTCTTCCGACGAAGACGACACCATGGCGCCTAGTCTACCCGATATCAAGATGCTAGACTCGGAGGCGCTAGGCGACCTCCTAGAGGATAATCTTTCGCCGCCAGAAATCACTTCCATCATGTAAGTCTGCCACTGCTGCCTGTTTTGAGCTGCGCCTCAGTGACTCACCCGGGCCCTGACCAACAGTGTCTTTGCAACCAACGGTGCCATTTTTGCATACGCCTCTTCACTTCCAGCCCGACAACTACGCAACCTAAGTGCCACGTACGGTGCGGCATACACCTGCTACGCCAAGAACGTGTCGAGCGGCAACCTGACGGGGGTCGACCCGACCAGCCACCCATCGTCATACGTGACGGCACAGTCAGTCTCTCTCGGGGACGTCGGGTCGATCGTGTTCGAACTGGAGGGCCAGGTTGCCGTTGTCACCCGGCTTGCCGACAAGGTCCTCCTCGCTGCCGTGGGGCCGTGTAAACTCCCCGATGCCTCGATAGATGATCCTGCCGGTCCTCGCCTGGAAACAGACGCATCGTCGCCAGCCTCGTCCGCCGAGGGCAATCACCAGGTCAACGGAAACGGAACGACGACGATGACGACGACGACGACCTCCACGCCGAGCACGACCACCCACGACACGCTCCTGCAGACACAGTACGAAATAGACCGTAGCACAGACCTCGCGCGGCTGGCGAGCCTGAACCTATCCGCCTCGCCGGCCATCCTGCTCGCTCTCGAGTCCAAGTCTGCCGCCCTGGGGCGGTTTCTTGGTCAGAAACTGGCGGATCTCGAGAGCCCCGAGGACTTTTAGTATACCCTAGCATAAATGAATACCCTGTTTTAATACGCTTACACTCTAAAATAAGCGTAAAATATTTTTTTATCATAGATCAACTATCTAGATCAACTATCTAACTAGCCGTAGTCCATGAGTCATTCACATCCCCCCTTCTGTACCCTCTTTCAACGAAGCATATAGTTATACCATCTCCTACACCCTAATACTAATACTATATAATAGCTATATAACATGCATCTCCAGGGAAACATAACACTCACACCCCCCCTACCACCGAGCCAGAACTCCCGCGACAAACTCGCCCTGCTCGCCCACCTCAACGATCCAACCATCTACAACTGGCTACAGGGCCCGCCCGTCCCATTCACGGAAGCCGATGCCGCAGCGTTCCTGGGGAGAAGCTATACATCCAGCCTGGCATTCATGGCCGAGGGAATCGTGGGCGGGTGTCCGTTTAGCATTATTCGCTGTGGGGAGGAAATGATCGGGAACATTTCTATCGGGAGGTGGAAGTTTTACGAATTATCTTCTCTGCGACAGCGGGAGGATCAAACCAAGTTGAATGATGCGTTGGATATAGGGGAGGAGCGCATTATTTGGGGGTTTGCAAGTACCTTTACTCTATCTCAACCCTCTATCTAAGATTTATACTGATTGTAGTGCACCTTTCAACCTCATATAATGGCCAAGGAATCATGTCGGCGGCAGTGAAAGCAGTGATGGACTTTGCAGTGGAAAGGATGAATGCACAGCATTTCAAGGTGTGTATGTATGCCGATAATGTGGGCAGTGTGCGGGTGTTTGAGAAGAATGGGTTCACGGTAGAACACTTTATTAAAGATGGGGGGGTTGTTCCTGAGAATAGAGGGGGTGGGAGGCGGTCCATCTATATCATGAAGAGGGATTTCATATAAACATGTATTCAGGTGTCCAAAATGATATCAAAATCAAAGATAGCCAAACTGATAAATCGTATATAGCCAAACTGATAAATCATATATAACCAAATTCACATACTGTCGTCATGCTAGGTATTCGTCGCAGTCCCTCCAGGAGAAGTATGAAAGTGTCCCGAGGCAGTACTGACACTACGTTTCGGGGCCTCTTTCGGCGCCTCCGCCAGTGCCTCTTTAGTCTCGACAGTGCCAATCTCGACAGTGCCAGCCTCGACAGGCTGGTCCTGCGCATGGTCCTGAGCCTCGGTGGTGGAGAGATCAGCCTTTTCAGCCGGATAGGCTGGGGGTTGAGTGGCTACCGGGGTTGGCGGGATCGATTCGGAAATAGGGGACACAGGAGACACAGGAGACAAAGGCGATGTGGCGGCCGCAGCCTTGCTGGCATCCCTGATGACGGTCCACCAGGCCTCGGCGGTCTTGGGGGTACTAGCGCGGAAGCTGAGTTCCGTGGAGGTGTGAAAGGCGTTACCGACCTTGCCGCCCGAGACGTCTTTCCCCTTGACGTTGAAGCGGACGCCGTCGACGGTGCCGATGATACAGTCCGGCAGGTAGAGGGACAGCTCGGGGGAGGGATCGTGGCGGAAGTCGTCGTCGTCCTTGAACTCGTGCAGGTATCTGGCCGGGGTGACAACGTAGTAGCCGCTGCTGTAGCCCTTGATGATGGCGCGGGACTTGCGCTCGAGCGAGCCCTCGATCAGGGGCTTGGTGGCGCGGTGATCCTGGTTGGGGAAGGTGATGCTGGCCAAGGTGCGCGAAGGGGCGGCCGGGTTGACGAGCACGGAATCGTTGGTCGCGACGAAATTGGCCCACTCGAACTCGACGGGGATGCGCTGCACGGTGGCCAGGATGTCGGCATACATCGTGCGCTGGTGGTCGAGCTGCCCGCCCATCTGCTGGAAGAACTGGTCCAGCGCCTCCTGGATGACCTGCAGCACGTGGGCCTCGAACTGCTGGAAGGCGTCCTGCACGGCCACCACGTCCTTGTTGTTGTTGTTCTCCTCGAGGATCTGCTTGTTCAGTCGGTGGTTGATGCCCCGGCGGAGGAGGTACGGATCGTGCGAGACTTCCAGTCGGTTCCCCGCTGCGGCGTCAAACGCAGCCGAATGCTGCGCCAGCAGCTCGATATGCTTCTGCGTCAGCCCGCGCGCCTTTTCCACAGCCTTTGAGCCCTTGAGCACGCCCGAGGAAAGCTCCTTGGCCTTGTTCTTGATCTCCTTGTGCAGGCGTTCCAGGATGGGCAGCACCGTGCCTTTGAGGTTTTTTTCCGTCTCGAGGTACATATTCACCATTCCCTAATATTGTTAGAGTATACCATTATATATATATCATATATCGTATCCTGGTCCTACCTGCGTGTTCGCCCGCACATTCTCAAAGAACCCAGCAACGCCCTCGGTACTTTGACTGAAATGGTGTCCTTCTTTAAGAGGTTCGCTGACGGTCTAGCTCTTGTTAATCCAGTCATAGTAATAGGTTAAATAAACACCTGGGCAGTCATGACAATGCTGCCACCAGGTTCAAGCCCACCTTTAAAATCTTCTCGTAGTCCTTCGATTGCGACCTCTGCACCTTGGCCGTGGTGGTCACATAATCCTCCAAATACCCGCACAGGTGTTTCCACGCGCGGAGGCGTTCAAGGAGGAGCTTAGAGGTCTATAACAATAAGCAACAGGAATAAGAAACACCCTTTTCATCCAAATAGTAGCTCGTGTAGCCATACTTCACTGCTGTCCGTGTCTGGAATGACCTCATCGTCACTCGTCGAGGTACGGCGAGTTAGGGAGCTGTTCAGCGTGGAGGAGCGGTGAGGAAGGGCCGACATGACTGAACGATTGATAAAAGATAAATATAAGATGAATATAAAATATAGGATTAGACGTATGTAGTATATATGTAGGATTTAAATAAAAAAAAGAGGGCGCTTAAAGGTTGAGTCTTAGTCGTAGACCAAGGCGGGGTAAATCACAACAATTTCGATGGAGGTAAGAGCAGTTATTAGTTAAATGGATATGTAGCAAGTAGAGGTACCACGGGTAATTATAGTTAACCACATACAGGTCCCAGATGGTAGGAACAGGTTATAAAGTTCGAATGCCCAAAAAGTCCGATGGAAAGAAAAGGGGTCATCGACGTCGGCAACTTTGGCTCCAAGACTCAATAAAGGGAAAAAATTACCTTACAGATTGACTAGATCTACTACGTCATCGATCTGCCCTCACATAACTTCTAGATACCTGATCGGCAACAGTAACACAAAGTCTCACAAGCCCATGGCATGCCGTTTATCATGATCGATCTCTTGGATATCATCGGATCGTCCTAGCGGTAAGAGGGTTGAACCTGTAACAGACTGTTCTGATCCGGCAGTGAAAGGATCGAGAAAATAACAATAGCAAGGCGCCATTTCTTCCGTTGGAACCTATGACCATATACGTAGCTAATGAAGGAATCGTATGATTTCAGTTACGGACGGAGGTTCCGTCTAAGATAACCTGGTATAGCTTATGGTTTTATTAATAGTAGACAGTACTAATCGAAATACTAACATGCTAACTCAATCATTCATTTTTGCTACTTCCCGTGTCATCATGATCTTCAATCGTCATATCAACCGTCTATCAAACGCCCCGTCCATCTAAGATGAAATAGTAAAAAAAAAAAAGAAACAAGGATAAAATGGAACGAACAGGATAATGTGCAGGGAGACATTAGAGGGATATAATCATTGCAGCGTCCAGCACTGGCAGGAGGAGAGAGGCGAACTAGAGGAGAGACAACCCGAGGCTAAGCTACGAGGTTAACCTCGTGCGCGAGCTTGAACGAGACGTAACCTGCGGTCCTCGTCGTCAGATAAACGCGAAGGACGAGAGTGAGAGGAATGGAGGGAATGCACCTCTAGAGCCGACAGATGAGGGGTCGAGCGGCCGCTGCTGCGTAGATGGACCTGCTGCGGGGACTGCGGGGTCGGGAGCGTGAGGATATCGCTGGCCATGACGGCGTTGTAGTCCGGGAGCCCCGTGTCGCAGGGGCGCACGCTTGAACGCATCGCGGTCGAGTAGCTGGGTACCCGACTCAGAGTCTCGACCTCGGCGTACTGGGGGTGGTAGGGGGTCGCCATGCCCGAGGCGATCTGTTCGTGGTCCACCATCTCGTCGGACGGGCGCCGCGACAGCTCCGGGCTCGTCGGGCTGTGCTGCGAGACAGGGCTCGACGGCGAGTTGATGCTGAAATAGTCGGGTGGCACATTCAGGCGCCGGGTCCCGCTGTCCGTCCCGTCAGCGCCGTGGTTGCTGGTGTCCGGCGGCGGCGGCGGCGGCGGGTGTTGGTCGGTGTGGCGGCTGACCCCGTTCGCGTGCAGGTGAGACAGGCGGCTGTGCAGCGCGGACGCAGACAGGTTGGTCAGGGCGTTCATCGAGGCCAGGTTCTCGGACGAGATGTTGCGGCTCAGGGCGCCAAAGGGCGTGCCAGACCCGCTGACAGGGCCAGGGGTACGGTACCCGTTGGGATCCATGCCGCTGTAGAGCTGGTCGAATTGGTGCTCGCTGTACATGGGGGGCGCTTGCTGAGCCATGTCGTCTGCCGCTCGCTGCGCTGACTGGGGTGTCTGGTCCACCAAGTGGTTGTTGTCATCGATAGCCATATTAGGGGAGATAAAAATAGACACGGGAAGAGTTGCACGAAGCTAATACGTCAGCGCGTCATTTCAGAGAGAGAGAGAAAGAGGAAGAGAGAGAGAGAGATGGTTTTTGGTTCTTACCTCGCTGACGTGTCCGTCCGGGTTGTGAAGCTGGATACGAAACTTGAGCTTGTGGCGGACCTTGATGCCCTTGGTGTCGGCATCTTGCAGACAGCGGGTCAAGGTCTTGGGGAGATCGAGGTAGCGCGAGAACTGGTAGCCCTCGGCCTCCTCGTCGAGGATCTCTAGATTGGCATCTAGATCCAATTCGTGCTCGTCGTTCAGAATGGTTCTCGTCACCTTGTAGGTATTACGGATGGAGTCCGGGTCCTCTGGGTTTAGCGTCAAGTCGTGGCTCTCGATCAGTTGCGAAATGATCTGGCCAATCCGGAGGTTCTTCAGAAGAGGGACCAACTTGAAGTCGACACGGACACTGGTGCCGAAAATGACAGCCTTGGTGGGGGTACTGATAGAATACTCGATCTTGTTGGGCCAGATATTTTCCACAGACTAATATAGGGTGAGCAGGAGACAAAGGGGGGGGGAAGTAAGAAGAGAAGGTAATAATTACCATCGCGTGAGATAATTCCAGCGCACTCGGATCCAAAGTACGAATGATGCGTAGCGGTTTTCGAACGATGATGTCCTTGGCGTACTTTCTGCCGATCTCGGCCTTGAAGCGGTATGTGATCCACGTCTCATGCAGCCCCTCGATACTCTCCGGCAACGACCCCTCCAAGATGACATCAAAGGGGAATTCGTAGTTTTCCGCCGGCAGAGTCTCTGTTTTCCCCTTGCCCGCATCCCTGAAAGTCCATGTTTTCTCGTAGAAGGCCCGCTCGCGCCATGATTTCCTGCCGCCGGCGGTCGATGTCGACGGAAGATGCCAGCTAAAATAATAATAATAAAAAAGATTAGCCCAAAGATTTTGGGTTTGATGATTCGAATTGTGGTTAGGTAGACTCACCACACACGCGACATGCCGGTCAAATGTAACTTGAGGTGTTTGACGTGCAGGGGTTCTGTTAGACAGAGCACGAGGGTACCTTTCAGATGCGCGCTGGCAGCTTCATGTTCGGTTCCACGAAAGACAATGTAATCTTCATCGAGACTAAAAGAAAAACACACAATTCAGAAATTAGAAGCTGCAGGTCACACGATAACACAGTGTGCACTGTGCAGCGATCTGCAAGAGCATACCGGATATCAAAGTATTTGGCATGGCTGGCGCCTCCGCTGCCGGTAAGAAAGCTGAGGGCCATGGTGTTGAAAGCAGGCACCGCTGTCAGGGACAAGACGGCACGTCAAGACTGTAAGATGGAAAGGTAATAATGGGAGGGAGAAGGGAGCAGAGGGAAATGAAAAAGGAAAAGAGAAAAGAAGAGATATGACACAGAGTCGGCGATCTGCCGGACAAGAGCTGGTTCCACCGAGGGATCCGGTGGGGAGCAGCCGTTTCCGTCAGAGTCTGCAGTGGCGAGGCGAGAATAATAATAATAACGATAATAAGAATAATAATAATTCGAACAGAACCTGATCCTGGTTTATTTTGGCGAAAAGTAACTTTTGTAATCCTGGATTTCCTAGAGATGAGGTATTTTAATTGGTATACTGCAGTAGGTACTATCAGCCACCACTCGGTTCTTTACTATCAATCCTGAGTCAAGTATTTTTCCTCATGGGTGCCAATGACGGTGCGACGCGATGATGTGATAGATAGTGACTAAGCAGGTAGGTACTGAGGTACTTAACCTACATAACTAACTACCTTACTGAGTGACTAGGTACCTCATACTGTTCATTCACTCAGTTAGTATTATTTACAGTACTACTTGTGCTATCAGTTGTCTGATCTAACTATTCACCCGGAGCTGACCGAGTCTCTGAAATTGGTTAGTTGACTGGGAAGTAACTACGGTAGTTGAGGTACCCATGGGCCATTACTATGCATAGCAACTGGAGTGCTGGCGGAGCTACCGAGAACCCTACTGATCGACTCAGGGCTATTGACTCGAGCGATTTGATTGTTATTGGTGAATCGACCTTTGAGTCTGATACACTGTACTACAGAAGCAAGATAATAATGATCTAGACTGATCGCTATCATGCCCCACCATATTAGGTACCTAGGTATCTACAGGTAGTAGAAGTATTCTACCTTCAGAGTACCTAGGTACTAAGGCACCGGTATAAGTACTGTAGTTAAACACTAGTTAGTTACCTGATAAATACTAACATATTACTACCTAGGTACTTAGTTTATACCCGATTGCGTGCTATTCTTCTTCGAAAGAAATTCGAAGACGTGTCAGATAAGCTGAGATAACCTGTTAATATTAGAATCGCGCAATTCCATCATATTTGACGTGGCCTGATAGGGACGGCGTGCCACCACTGATCGACAAGCCAGGCCAATCACTCGTGAATTACCGGGCACGCAGTGGAGATCCTACGTATGATTTAGTAATACCTCGAGCTCAGGTACCTTAGGTACCTAACCAGGTAACCACCTACTCCGTACCTAGATTCAAGTTTAGTACCTAGGTAACTGTACCTAGGTAAATTACAAATACAGGTATACCACCTTACCAGAGTATGATCGGCATCCTGATCGGAGGTTCACAATCCTCGGGGACTCGGTCGGATATAACATGACTGTGGTCTGAGCAGTGAAGAAGATCATATCAGATGATGTCTGGGACAGAGAAATTCCAGCACAAGTAGCGGTTATCTATCTGTATATTCCAGGTATGAAGACAACCCCTGTACCGACAGAAACAACCGTGAGTTTCATAGAGTAAGTAGCTCCTACTAACTAATAACGATACCGAAGTCGGGCACTTCCGGGTCGGGCGCTCACCGGGACGGAATCCCGAAGACGACCGAGGGATCCCGATAGTTAACCGGTTTCCAGGGGAAAAGAGAGTTGGGATAAGCATGAACCCAAGATTTCCTTCACCCAAGCTCGATCTAGAACTGCCGTCTTGTCCAGATCCATGGAAAAATTCAATCCGGCAGTCGGCCGGGCTCGTCCCGAGATGTCTCGATGCCGGTTCTAGACTATTTAGTACAAGCACGGAATATTCTCGGTATTATTCTGCTGATCGGATAATTGAATGCCAATCAAAATTAGACAACCAGCTATGCATGACCAAGTAACTACATAGGTACTAAATGCCTAGTTAATTTTCTAGTATTTCCTACCACTACATATCTACCTAGATATCTAAGGTAGTAGGTACAGTATCCACCGACTCACCGGGTCACCGAGGTTTAAAAGGTTATGATATCAACATGCTTAATCATAGCTTTGCTTGCAAGTGCTCTAAATCAAAAAGACAATACATGCTACCAAGTCTCATACCACCACGGTGATTATAATATACCAGCTACCTTATATTTAGGCTATTAACATTATGCACGTCCAGCATGCACTCACTACCTTATACACCGCAATGACGCCAGCAGTCACCTCATCAACGGCAAACCCAGGATCCCATACCCCGTCCACGTTGAGTCCTCACACGAGCAGAGACTAGATACTACGGTAGGTACGTAGTAACTACTCTGTATTGCACTAGAAAATCCACCCCAGAACAAGCCATCCCCCAACCCCAACGCCCACCACAATCCCCGCAACCTTCAACACCGCAACGGTATCGCCCTGTCTCGCCATCCGCGTTAACCGGTTCGCGCTTCCTTTCAGATTCGTTCCTAGTGACGAAAACACCTCGCTCTGCTTCTGTCAGCTTCGCCCTTTTCACATATAGGTATAGGTATAGGTATAGAGTGGAAGAGGTACCGTCTCGTCAACGTTACGCGAGTTCGAATTGTCGTAGATGTCAATCGTCACAGACTTCAAGGCCGAGACTTTGCTGGAAAGGGAATTCAGGAGGGCATTGTTTTGTCTTTGTCAGCTGTTAGCTTTCGTCTTCCACCTGCTGTCTCTTCCATCTGCTGACTTACTGTTCTCGCTCGTAAGCGTCGCTCATTTTGATATTTTTCTTAGACGATCACCACCGGTAGATTATAAACAAGAAAAAGGAATCCTCTCGTTCGTTCGTTAGATCCAGGATAGGGTGGCGGTGTGGTATATTAACAGTGTTACTCTTCTGAGGCCAAACCCTGGAGAGGCGATGATGTCGGAGTCGGATCTAGTGTCACGTGATACACTAGTATCATCGATTCATTGTCAGCTTCATTTACTGCATTATTGATGCTCGCGTCCATATCCCTACAGATAGCCTCTACCTTTCTGATTTAAGGTTACTATTGTACTAGTCATATCATTAGATTATGATTAAAGTAATTTTTCATAATCAAACCCCTGCGCTATGCGATATAAACAAACTAATAGCACTCTTTGCACCCCCCGAGGCACCTCCTATAATGATGCGTATAAGCACTCCACCCGACCTCTCCTTCCCCCGGGCATGAATCTGAGAATATGGTTAATTTGATAATCAGAAAGAAAGATTTTTTTTAGACAGCCAATGTTGGAGTAGACAGTGCACACAACCAAAGGGTATATCCTCTTCACCACATGTCGTCGTCATCGTCATCGTCGAGCTGGATGTCGTCTCCAAAGGATGAATGTCCGTACTGGTCCTGGTGGCCCGGTCCGTACGAATGCCCATTCTCGTAGTTGTGTTTGCTGCTCCTCGACTGCGGCCGGTAAGGATCATCCTGGTCGTATTCATATTGCCCGTCCTCGTACGACTCGCCGTACTGCTCTTGAGACTGATTTATGTATTAGTCTCTAGACAGGCAACATGGAAGGAAAGTGGGAATCAGGGGCGGCAACTCACTTCTTGGTATCGTTGATACTGGAGATACTCCTCCGGTTGATCTCTCGACTTGGGCTGCCGTTTATTCGATGACGACGAGGCCGCCATCATCTGCGGCTGCATCTGTTGCACCTTCGCCAGGTACGAGTACATGAAATTGCTAAGCAAGACCTGTGAATGCAGCGCGCGCCGCGGGTTGGCTAGCTTGATGTGTGCCATCCGATAGATGGCTCGTTCCTCGAGGATGGAGAAACGAGTCCAGGGATAATCGATGTCCGGCCGAAGCTCCCGCACCGGCGGATCGGGGGACAGGTTCCGCGACGAGTTTTTGCGGTGGTGGCTTTCACCATTGTGCTTCTTCCGCCCACCGCCGAAGATAGAGGAGAATAGTCCAGACTCCTTCTCCTTCTTCGCCTCGCCTGACGCCCGGCGTGCGTTGTCCTTGCGCCGCTCTTCCTCCAACTTGGGGTCGAGACGGTCCATCACCGGACTTTCGCGGCCCCGCTGGCCGCTGCCATCGATGGATGGTTGGAGGGCATCCAAGCGGGTGCCGTCGTGCACCTTGTCCATCGCTTTCGACTTGGTTTTGCGTGACTCGCCATCCCTATCCCTCTTCCGTTCTTTTTCCTTCTCCCTTTCTTTTTCCTTTTCCTCGGTACCTAGCAGCCAGTGCCAGCTCGACTTGCGACCAGTTCCATCTGCCTCTTTTTTATCCTTCTGTTTCCGGCTTTCGGATCTCTTTTCTTCCACGGCCGTCGGGATAAATGAGAGACTGTCTGTGCGGGTTGTATTTCCCGGCAGCGCTTGAGGGTTGCCCGCAAGATCGTGTAACGTTGTCACAGTCTCCTTGCCCGGCAGCCGAGAATGGTTGTGGACCCGTTTCGAAGCAGCACTCGATTCGTTCGGTCGGGAGGATGGTGTAGGGTCGTTGTAGGCAGATTCACGGTCTGATATCAGGTTTGCGGGGCTGGCGGCCCGGGGTGGTTCCGAGGGTGGAGGGGTTTCGATAACTTCGGGAATTTTTTGTTCGACCGGGGGGATGTTCAGCGTCGAGCGACCGTTGGAGCTAATGCGGGAATGCCATTGTCGTGATGCGCCGGTAGTCGTCTGAGGGTTCGTCGTTGTCGTCGTCTCGGCTGGATCTGACTTGCCTGGGTCGTAGGATGAACTGGGTGCTGTACTGGAAGCGTAGGCCGTGCGAGGGGGCGATCGAACAGAAAAGGAATTCTTATTCTTGTAGCTGCTGGGGCTCGGGGTGGGGTCGGTCGAGACACGGGTCAGGCCTAGGATCGGAGGGTCGTCAGACGAGAGAATGGCGCTGGTGACCGCCGCGGCCGGATCATTGGTTTCTGACGTGCGGCCTAGGCGTTTCGAATAAGGAGCCTTCTCGCCCTTCTTAGTGCTGCCTTTGCGATACTGGGTGCGGGTGGACCGTCGTAGACTGTTGCCGGTAGGGGCAGGTGGCAGGATCGGCTTGTCCTCGTCAGCGGACACACCCATGGCCTTGATACCCTGTAGCAGTGAGGCGGCATCTCGGTTTAGTTGCTTAGAGTCGTCGACTAGAGTCTCGATATCGTGGAGGTTCGGGCTTAACTGGCTGCGGGCGGATTGCGAGCGTTTCCGCTCCAAACGCTCGGCGCCGTCCGTGTAGCCGTTTGGGCCATCGATCTGCCGGGAGAGCATCGATTTCTTCCGCCGGAGACCACTTTCCGAAGTCTGACGGTCGGGACCTAGCGAGGAGCCCAGCGAGGAGAAATCACCCGATCTGCGTTTGATCTGCTCGGTCTTGCTCTCGAGAAAGGACTTGAATTCCTTCGGGGCTAGCTCGGGATGCAAGCGCGCGGGCACCCAAAAGAGCCGCGAGGCATCATTTTCATCTGCGGACGGGGAAGAAGGGACGGAGAAGTTGGGGCCAAAGGAGGGGAGGTCCGGATCGCCAGCAGCGGCCACGTCCATGGACATCCGGCGGATGGCGGCCAGGTTGCTAAGTTCCTGTGCAACAGCGGCGGGATCGGACTCATAATCGATATCGTTGAGGGGGAACGACGCAGTCGCGGTCTCGGAGGGGGGATGGCGGGGACTGTTGCCACCGCTGGTAGTGCCATGATTGTTATTACTGTTGTTGTTGTTGCTGCTGCTGCTGCTCTCGCGAGGCGGCCGTCCGTATCCATTCACCTGCGACTGACGCGGACTCTCTGCATAACCTGTTGGGGTGACGGTTGAAATGGAATCGGACAGCGGGGAGGAGATATAGCTCAGGCGGCGGGCATCGTAGTCGTCGTCGTACATGTGGCCGATGGCCTCGGTGACATGATGACTCGGGTCGCTGATGGACAGCTGAGGTCCATGGCCTCTCCGCGACGCATATCCTCCGCCGGCCTCGGAATGGGTCGTTGTCGCCTGTTCATTTGGATTGAAATCGATGAGAATGAAGTTCTTTCCTTTCTAGTGCTCCCGTTTCCACGGGTCGGTCTCGGGAGGGGAGAGAGACGAGGGGAGGGGGCGAAACTCAGGGTGCAACAATGGACATACCTGCATGGAAACCGCTTCACAGCCGAGCGTGAAAGACAGACCCGATAACTCCTAAGAGCAAAGGGGGACAAACAACGGGGCCTTAATGTAGCACGGGGGCCGACAACACGCGAGGCAAAAGGGTCATCGAAGCGGGGGCAACGAAAGGGACATCCACGGGGAAGACACGGAGGCTCAACATCCGGCTGTGTATATAGTCCAAGGCAGGGGAAATGAAGATAAAGAAAATCGAAAAAAACAGAAAAAAAAAAGATGATGAAAGGGTCGACCCAGTCGACGTTTCAGTGGTGATGTCTGGTTGGGTGGATTTCCCCTCGGTGGTGGGCAGCGGAAAAGGAGGAGGTTTAGCCTGGAGCGTCGTCAAGAGATCCTTAGGCGGCATGCGCAGGTGCCACCACCACCACCACCACCCAGTCGGCTGGGGAAGAGGATGATCGGGGGATCTGGGCACTGGACCCGAGACTAATCAGACGTTCGCAACAGGGTATCTAGACGTGTCTATTCGAGTGTTTGCGTGGCCCGCTTTGAGTCAGTCTTATGTTCAGGTAACTTAGGTAGGTACCTTACCTTACTACGAAGTAAGCAACAACCTAAGGTACCTAAGGTTAAGGTACCTAACTATACCCACCAAGAGACTCGAGCTTCGGGTCACGAGACTCACCTAGGCTTCACCTCCTTCTCAACTTCGACTTTCTTTCCTCCAACCTTACGTCGAAGCAGATACAATCACAGTACCTACTGCCTGCCTTTTACTGCTCTCGGTCCATCCAACGAGTCAACAGGCAGCGATCTCTGCCCAGACTGACGTAAGATCTCTAGGGCTCTTTCTTCCATTCCGCACGAACACAGACTACTCGCACCCAACCTCATCCCTACCAGCTAGGAATTCTGGCTGTCGATCGCGTCTCGCTGGCTTCTGTGCGCGGCAGGCAAGGGCAGCCGTTCAGACTGCAACATGGCGTATCTTCCGTTCTCACCGCCAGTCAACAAACAGTGTTGGTACTCCATACTCTGTTCCTATAGACTGGCTACAACCTCATTATCGATTGAATAATAGTGAAGAAGAAGAAAAGAAAACAAAATGATACCAGAGGGAATGACGCGTTTATTCTTGCTGCATAGTTCGATTAAATTATGACAGCATCTGCTCAACTATCTATTGTTCAACCACCAGAGGCAATGTCTACACTGAGTTTCGTTGGATCATGGGACTCATCCACAGAAGGGAGCTGGAATGCTGCGAGAGTTAACAAGGGATAGGGCTTTATTCGGGCCCTTGTCATTGTTTCACCTTGACATCGATCTACATATAACTATGCTCCAAAGTTAATTCATATAGTACGTAGTAGCATCAGAATAAAATAAAAACAAAAGAAAAGGAAAAAAGAAAAAGAAAATACTGAAGACTATGCGGCCATCATCATATAAAACAAGGAATCAGTCAATCGTAAGGGAAATCAACGCCACGCTGTCAAGCAACAACGTTCAAGGAAGCAAGCATCAGGGTACGTGTAACATCTCACAAGGCGTCAACGTAGTTACTGCAAGAGGTTTATTAGCAAAGACTCGTATTTATCGGTTTGATGAAGGGTCATGAGGGAAAGAAAGGGGGGGAAAATATAAGAGCCTACCTAGGGAAAATCCCCACCCGGTCACCAATCCGCCCCGTCCACCAGTCCTCCGACTTGTCCGTGCGCTTGATGATGGTGATCACGTCTCCCTTCTTGAAGCCGAGGTCGCCGTCCTGGTCGGCGTCGAAGGTGTACAGAGCAATCGCCTGGTTCTTCTGCGGTGGCGGCGGAGCTGGACGGAATGCGGGCTTGGGCGCTGTCGGCCGACTGGGCTTCCTGTCCGAGTAGGTGTAGTCGTCGTTGTCGTGGGGCATGGTGTTGCTGCGCGTGCGGTTGTACGAGTCAAAGGTGTCCATCCGGTTGGTCCGCGTCGTCGACGACCGGTTCAACATCCCCGCGCCGCCGCTAGGACGGTCATAGGTATCGTCCGCCCACGTGTTGGTCCGGCGACGGCCAAAGTCGTCGTCCAGATTGGTGCGGCTGCCATACGAAGCACGTCCGCCACTGCGTTCTCCTTCCCTATAAGCGTCACCCCGACGGCCCTCCCAGACGACATCATCGCGGCTGTCGCTGTAGATAGGGATATCATTGTACATGCCGCCGCCGCCGCCAGAGCCAGAGCCAGAGCCATACCTGCGGCCGGAGAAGACGCTCGAGTTGAGAATCTGCATCAAAGGATCCGCCGCAGGAGGGGGGCGGATGGAACCGCTGAGCAACTGGCTCGCCGAGACACGGCTGTTGTACAGCTTCTCGTTGGCGTCCTTGCGTTCGACAAGCATGCTGCCCTCCAGACTCACGCCGGCAAACAGACCCTTGGTCTTGGAGTAGGAGAAGACAGCCGCCACGCCCTTGGTGCTCGCCGCGCCCGCTGCCTCGGCGTTCCTTCCCACGGGCCCCGCCGCGATCGAGACGTTGCCGCCCAGCGTCAGGGTGCCGGCCTGAGAGAACGTCCGCACCGCCGCCGCGTCGTTCAAGATAAACACAAAATCCGTCAACTCGAACCCGATCTGTCCTCCCAGCCCAGCCCCTGCGGTCGCAATCGCCGACGGTGCCGACCACGTCCCATCGGCCAGCCGAGCCACCACGACCCCAGACCCAAACCGCGCGGAGCCCAGGAATCCAGCCTTGAGCACGGTAAGAATGGCAAGTCCCTACAACAAAAGAAGAACGAAAAAATATATATCAGCTACCTTCTTTACCTCCAGAGGACACCCGTTCCATCACAACCACACAACGATTTACACACCTTGGCTCCCTCCAGAATCTCGGGTGGAATGATCTTATCCGGCCCAAAGGCTTGTCGCGGATCAACGAACGAGGCAAGAATCTTTCCCGCCTTCTTGCACTCGCCTGTACACACATAAATACTAATGTCAGCTTCTCGCCGCGGGCGCGGGGGGAAAGGGGGGGGGGGAGGGAAACAGGGTCTTGAGGCCCAGATCGGCCCACGTACTGCTCAGCGACGAGGGGAGCGGATTCCGTATCCCAAGAGGCATATTGCCGTCTTCTCTATGTCACAATTACAACAACAAACGTAGGTTTCACTCGATTAAGAGGGCAAAGAGGTCGAACTGGCGATGAGGCTGGTCTTCAAGTGAGGTCGTAGTGTTGCACGCGCGGGGGCGGCGGATGTGGGCCTCGGGTAGGGCGATTGAGACAATCAGCAGAACAGTAGAGGGTATCAGGGAAATGATCAATAAAAGCCCTTTCTATCTAGAGATGACTCGTAGCCAGTGCCAGGGGATCGCTTTGAGAATAAGGGTTGCGTTTAGTGCCTGCTCGGTTGGTGATGACGGACGTTCCATCGCTTCAAAGTGGCCGAAGCTATCGGGTCCGTCGGAGTTTACAGTCATCTCTTACACCGTATCTTGATTCGAAGGGGAGAGAAGGCAATGAGTAGCGGTGGTATTTAATCTCTATTATTTCGTTACTACCAGGATTGTTCCAGAATCCTATCGATATCTCCAGAGTCAAGCTGCCCTCTGCACAGCGTACGTACCTGGGTAGTCGCCCTCTCCTGTAAGGATCGGCTAGACATTATTCCGTCATATCCTCAGCGTCACTGTTTTAAGTGTTTACCTTTCACTGTTCAGCGTTCTTTCTTCTGCCTGCACGTCGAAGCAACGAGTTTCCAGGATGATTTGATGCCAACAAGCTCACAATGGCCACAGGTATGCATGTGCTGGAAAATTATTACAGGTCGGGGGGTCTCATTGACGGGAACAGTGCGAATCTGCGTCTGCGGTGACGAAGGGACAGGCAAGTCCAGCCTGATCACCTCGCTCGTCAAGGGCGTCTTTGTGACGAACAAGATCCAGCCCATTCTGCCTCAGATCACGATCCCGCCGACGATCGGGACGCCAGAGAATGTGACGACAACGACGGTGGTGGACACGTCGGCGCTGCCGCAGGAGCGCAGCAACCTGGCCCGTGAGATCCGCCGGGCGAACGTTATCCTGCTGGTGTATTCGGACCACTACAGCTATGAGCGGGTAGCGTTGTTTTGGCTGCCGCATTTCCGGTCTCTGGGCGTCAACGTGCCCGTCGTACTGTGTGCCAACAAGGCTGATCTGGCCGCCGAGCACAGTGAGGCCCAGGTCATTGAGGAGGAGATGCTGCCCGTCATGGCCGAGTTCAAGGAGATTGACTCGTGCATCCGGGCGAGTGCCCGCGAACACCGAAATGTCAACGAGGCGTTTTTCCTCTGTCAGAAGGCCGTCACGCACCCGATCGCGCCGCTGTTTGATGCCAAGGAGTTCGCCCTGAAGCCCGCCGCCGTCGCCGCCCTGCAACGCATCTTCTATCTGTGCGACAAAGACCGCGACGGATACCTGTGTGACCGCGAGGTGGAGGATTTCCAGATGCGCTGCTTCGGCAAGCCGCTGAGCGCGGAGGACCTCACCCACATCAAGGAGACCATCCAGAAGACCCTGCCAGAGTCTGTAACCGCATCGGGGATCGACTGCCCTGGCTTCCTCCATCTGAACAAGCTGTATGCGGAAAAGGGCCGCCACGAGACCGTCTGGATCATCCTCCGGGCTTTCCAATACACGGACAACCTCTCCCTGCAAGAAAACTTCCTCCATCCGCGGTTCGAGGTGCCGCCCTTCGCCTCAGCGGAGCTGTCGCCGGAGGGGTACCGGTTCTTCGTCAATTTGTTCTTGTTGTCGGACAAGGACAACGATGGTGGCTTGAACGACGCCGAACTAGCGTCGCTCTTCGCCCCGACCCCCGGTCTGCCGGCCTCCTGGACGGACGGCTCGTTCCCCTCATCCACAGTCCGCAACGAGGCGGGCCATGTCACGCTGCAGGGCTGGCTCGCGCAGTGGAGCATGACGACCTTCACGTCGCCCAAGACGACTCTTGAGTACCTTGCCTATCTGGGGTTCGAGCCCTCGGATCGCAGCAACCCGTCGACCACAGCCGCACTGAAAGTCACCCGGCCCCGAAAACGACGGCGGCGGCCGGGGCGAGTAGGCCGCAACGTGGTGCTGTGCCATGTAGTCGGGGCGCCCGGGTCTGGAAAGTCGGCGCTGCTGGATGCGTTCCTGTCGCGCGGGTTCACAGGCACGTACCACCCGACGATCCAGCCTCGGACTGCGGTCAACACCGTGGAATTACCAGGCGGGAAGCAATGCTACCTGATTCTCGATGAGCTGGGCGAGCTGGAACCTGCGATCCTGGAGAACGAGACCAAGCTGCTGGACCAGTGCGATGTGATCGCCTACACGTATGACTCGTCCGACCCGGACTCGTTCGCATACATCCCCACGCTGCGAGCCAAGTACCCGCATCTCGAGGAGTTGCCGAGCGTCTTTATCGCGCTCAAGGCCGACCTTGACCGCACGACACAGCGTGCCGAGCATCAGCCGCACGAATACACCGCGCGCCTCAACATTCCCTCCCCGCCGCTCCACGTCAGCGTCACCTGGACCTCCATCCAGGAGCTGTTTGTGCACATCGCCGAGGCCGCCATGGAGCCCAGCTCCACCTTCCCGCGCACCGAAGAGGACGTCCAGGGCAAGTGGATGGCCTGGGGCATCGCTCTCGGCGCCGTCGTCTGCGCCAGTGCCGCGGCTGTCATGATCTGGCGCCGGGTGAGCACCAGCAGCGGCTGATTAGTACCTATGTAGTATAGATGTAATGATACCCTGAAAAATATACATTTAATGGCTCCCTGTGATCAACTACACTCGCTATATATCTACCTCGTACCTTTGTCTCATAACTAATTATTAATTAATGTTCCAGCTGAACCCTGTTTACCATGTGGAATTGCCTCCGCACTCACGAACCTCCCCAGACCGTTATTGGACAAGGCCTCCCCCGCCGCGCACGCGAGAAATGGACGACCCCAGACTTCTCCTCCTCCATCCATTTCTGTTGGTTTCTTCTGTCCATATTTCTTCGTTTCCATTCAAACCTACCGTCTAGCCATCATCTCGAACAGATTCCTGGCCATTTTCTTTCATTTCTTTTCGCGTTTGGGTTTTAATTTCACTCAATCCCCCTCTTGGTCCAGGCTGAAGATAGAACGTCGATCGCCCCGTCGCTGTCGGCGCCCACCCATCTCCTCATCGCCACAGGCTGCGAAGAGCGATCGATTTGATCGACGACGAGTCCCGGCGATTCTGTTTAGATCTCCGGTGATATCGGCTTGATCTCGTCGCTGTTCTGGGCTATAGGGTGCTCTTCTCGATCGAGGGATTCCCTCCTCCGGCCGCCCCGGGATCTTCTTCCACCCATCGACTTATCGCTGAACTGCTGCTGAACATAATATATTCATCTATATACCGAGATATTCGAGATATTATATATATGATATTGAAAGCTCTTGCGTTAACTCGTGTCATTATCTTCGCCATCGATCGAGTGCTCTATACCTTCTCACTTAACTACCTGATAGTTACCACTAAGCAATCATGTTGTAAGCTTGCTTATCTCTTTCTCCAATTCTCCACCGCTCGCTTTGGTGGCTTTGAAAAACAATTTTTGCCCTTCAGCACGCCATTGTTCGATAAAGTGCTGACTCGATTCTTTTCTTTTCTTAATTTCCCAGCGTCCTTCCGCCGCCGCCGCCGCGATACTCTGTCCCGATCGCCTATGCGGCAGGGGCAGCAAACGGCATGGCCGTCCCGATGATTGAGACCAACAACATCATCAGTCACCCTGAGGGGGGCTGTCCGTTACAGGCGGGCGAGGGTGTGTACCAAGAACAGCGAAAAAAGATATCTGTCTAATAGTGTGGTGTTTTTTTTTTTTTTCTAAACAGGAACGTACCGTCTGAAAGATAACCTCCACCTGGCGACTCCTCCCCCTCATCCGTCCGAGGCGCCGATCCTCAGTCCAAATCCGCTCGCAACGGTTCCGCAACCTCCTACCTCCGGCGTGAAGTTGTCGCTGGTCAGCGTCGGGCAGTGGGGGAAACCGCCGACATTTCTGACGGTGAGGGAGGCCACAACTTTCGGGGAGGGGAACCCGGCGCTGGCCGCACCCGTCACCAAGGATCCGCTCAAGCGTCGCAAGCCGAAGAGCAACATCATCAAGAGCAGCTCGTCGTTTGTCTCGCGCGTCATCACCAACGAGTTGTCGACGAAGCGACTCAATGACCGGAACCCGGATGGCGTCTTTGCCTTTGCCAACATCAACCGGGCCTTCCAGTGGCTGGACCTGAGCTCCAAACAGAAGGAGGACCAGCTGGCCAAGATCCTATTCACCAAGGCACACATGCTCTGCCACGACATCAACGAGGTCACCAAGTCCTCAAGCCACATCGATATTGTCATGGGCTCTTCTGCTGGTGACATCATCTGGTACGAGCCCATGTCGCAGAAGTACACGCGCATCAACAAGAACGGCGTCATCAGCGACTCGCCTGTCACCCATATCAAATGGCTCCCCGGTTCCGAAACAATGTTCATGGCTGCCCATGCCAATGGCCAGTTGGTCGTCTACGACAAGGAAAAGGAAGATGCCCTCTTCACCCCGGAGACGGCTCACAATGGCTCCGACGAGACTGACGGCGTACACAAGGCCGCCGCCGCCGCCGCCGCCGCCGCCGCCACCGCTGGCCGTCTGCCCCTGCAGATCCTCAAGTCGGTCAACTCGCGCAACCAGCGCACCAACCCCGTCTCGCTATGGAAGCTGGCCAACCAGAAGATCTACCAGTTTGCGTTTTCCCCGGACCAGCGTCATTTGGCCGTCGTCCTGGAGGACGGAACATTGCGCGTGATGGACTACCTAAAGGAAGAGTATGTTTTTTTTTTTTTTTTTCTTTCATTCCCAATTTACTCCGGCTAAACATTCGATAGAATTCTTGACATCTTCCGCAGCTACTATGGCGGCCTGATCAGCGTCTGCTGGTCCCCGGACGGCAAGTACATCGTCACCGGCGGCCAGGACGACCTGGTGACAATCTGGTCGTTCCCGGAGCGCAAGATCGTCGCCCGATGCCAGGGCCACAACTCCTGGGTGGCGGCTGTCGCCTTTGATCCCTGGCGGTGTGATAACCGGACGTACCGCTTCGGCAGCGTCGGCGATGACTGCAGGCTGCTCCTTTGGGATTTCAGTGTGGGCATGCTGCATCGACCAAAGGCAGTACGTGACTATCCTATATTATCCTACCTTATCTACTTGAGACGTGGTTAACGATTTCAGCACCACCAGGTCAGCTCGCGTCACCGCAACAGCCTCGTCGGCTCGTACTCGCAGCACACCCGCGTCCGCGCCGATAGCACCGGCAATCGCATGCGGTCCGACTCAGACCGCACCGTCCCGGATGACGAGTTCGACCATATCGTCCGCCACCCCGTTGAACCGAGGGCCCGAACCGCCCTGTTACCTCCTATCATGGTAGGCACAATATCTCTATTATTTGGCCCAGCCCTTAGGATGCAGATATGCGGAGAGCGAGCCCCTACTGACTTTCAATAATGATTAGTCCAAAATTGTCGGTGAAGATCCCATCACCTGGCTCGGCTTCCAGGAAGACTGTATCATGACTTCCTCGCTGGAGGGTATGTTTCCCAGCCTTCTTTTTTTTTCTTTTTTCTCTTTTTTTCTTTCAATGTTCAAAGTTTGCTGACGTGACAGGTCACATCCGCACTTGGGACCGCCCACGCGAAGGCGTCAATGAAGACCACGATGCTGCGTCGACGAAGCTCAGCTCCAGCGCGACAGGGGGGTCTGTCCGGGCGGAATCGTCGTCATAGAACCGTCTGTCCTGAAGTACTAGGTTACTACGCAGTACCTAGTGTTTGAGTAACGGTTCGGAAAGTGTATATAGTCTTGTACAGTGAGTCCGCTTAGCTTAGCTTTTGATTGTTTTTCTTTTGTTTTGTATACCCTGTTAGGTATTGCTGTTGGTTTGAGGTATTTACTTCAGTCGTCTTATCTATTGTCCTATTTATTACCTCTTTTGAATATCAAGCATTTCGTATATGTAGTAGTTATACGGAATACGTAGTACTTGTTTACTTAATGCTAGATAGGTAGATGGTATAATCCAAGCTGCCATCCCTTGCATCTTGTAACAATAGTCTGTTGCAGCAGGATACATGTCTAGTGGCATACTCTACGAGGTAGATGGATTTTAGCGTTATACCCAACCACATGTCTATCGTATTACTGTTTATCAATAACTACCAATTACGTACGTACAACGATCAAATCATCAGAAAGCAATAAGCACAGCACAGGCAGTCAATGCACCGCAGCAAGGGCCAACCAGTTTCCCCCTTCTCGTTCATATCCACAATCCGTCATGTCGCAATCCGGCTCATTGTTATTTACAGAACAAGAGCAAGCAGGCTCAGCAGGGAGCCCGCGGCAGGCACGGCAAGGGCGGCGGCTGCGTTGGCGGTGGACGAGGCGCTCGACGACTCGGTGCTCGAGGCGTTGGCACCAGAGGTGGACGAACCGCTAGTGCTGCTGGCAGTCTTGGTGGAGGTAGAGGTGCCTAGAATCGCAGAGGTCAGCAACCAAGAAAGGAGGGAGGCGGATAAGAGAGAGATGATAAAAAAAGAAAGAAAAGAAAACATTCAAAGGGTGTATCTGCAGCGCCAGGGACTAACCGAGAGTGCTGGAACCGGAGACAGAGACAGTAGAGACGGAGACAGAGGTGGAGGTAGAGATAGGAGCAGAGGCGGAAGAGGAAGTAGCAGCAGTGGACGTGGAGGTACCAGTGCTGGAGCTCTTACCGGATGCAGTGCTCGAGGAAGTCGAGGCAGTGGTCGAAGAGCTCGAGCTGCCGGTGACGTTGAACTGCTCGGACTGGGCGAGGATGCCGCTATTCTCGGAACTGGTCGAGATCAGGTTGATCTGGTAGCCGGATCTGGATGGCAGTCAATAATCATGAGGCTTTTTGGTTTTTTTTATTTTTTCTCTTTTGAAACTATCTCGAGTTTTCTTACCCATCAGCGGCAGAGATGCCCTTCATGGTGTATGAACCGGCAGAAGTGTTAACATCGCTGGCGACGACATCGTCAACGTTCGGGTAGGTGTTCTCATTGACCAGATGGATGGCAAAGGAAGTAGGATCGGAGCTATACCCTCGATATCAGTCTTCAATTTCTCGACGGCCCTGGATTGTATCGCATGCCAGTACTGACCTGACGGAGGTCCATTTGATGGTCACATCCTTGCTGAGATTAATGTCGGCTCCCTCGGTCGGATAGGTGACCTCGAGGGCAGCGACAGAAGCCGCCAAAGTAACGAAGGTAGAGATAGAGTAACGCATTTTGACTCTAATTAATTCAAACTTGTAATTAAATCAACCAACAAGAAAGCAGTAAAATCGAAAGCAGTGTCGAGCGAATGACTTTGTTTCTTCGAGAAAACGAGTGTCCGAATTGCTCCTGGAAATCATCAGCGGATATCCCAGGTGCTTTTATATGACACGACCAGGGTCAGCCTGCCAGAGAAGAACGGGCCTTGTTTCACTCCTGCGATTGAGATGATTTGCTATTATTGAATTCTATTTTGACCCGACGTGACAACAAGCAGGTTCCAGGGTATCAGTGACGCGAGGGGGCTCCACTCCTCTACTATCTTTTTTTGCCCTTTTCAGACCACCTTTCTTACTGAGGGATCTTCAGCAGTGAACACTGACATGATCCATCCAATACGAGATCCAAAAGTGGCTGACGGTCGCTTCTCGGACCCTTTTGGGGGGACGTGATTGGCATCCCGGCAAGTCTCTGATAAGACCATTATTAGAGGATTTATTTTTCCATCGAATGCAGCAGGCAGGGTTGGTGCGCGTCACCGTTGCTGATAAGTTATAACTAGTTACGGAGTATCATTAGAAACCCTGTCCTCAAGCCAGGAATAAAGGGAAATACGCGGAGTGGGATGATTCAAGCCTCCTTCTCTCCTGTCCAGAAGCCCCTATCGTTCACTGCTGGCTTCGCTTAGCAGCCAGTCTTGCACGGTAGGAAGGATACAATTTGCCCTCTGTACCTGAATAGCTTTTATTAATGTCTCGGAGAAGGTAAAAAGCGGTGCCCGAGATAAAAATAACCCGTTGTCCTACCACCTGTATGCTCGGCCAGGACCCGAATGTGAAACAGTTGCATGCGACCCATGGGCAAGCGTCTCTTGGCACTCGACGAGCTTCGAGGGAGCCTGAACTGTGTATGGCGAGACATTCGCTTGGGGCTATCTTTAGGAAGGATGGTGACATCGGTATACGGGGCCCGAAGTATCTGTCTGTGTCAGCTTTCTTCGTTCGTTAACAATAATCGCTGGTGTGTAACCCCAGCATAGAATTAAACAACGCCGTAGTGAAGCCACAGATAACAAACCAAATGGGTCCTCTCTCCAACTATCTTCATGATCGGCTGGTTCCGCCCCACCATCCATGGATCCCAAAGCTCGGCCTGTTGGGATCATTTCGATACCCCGTAAAAGACGATCGGTCGTGGTGTGGAAAGAGGCTTTTGAGGCGTTTTGGCCGAAGGAAAAATGTGGGTGTTGTCTATCCACTCCGCGCTTACCCAAAATGGGGAGTATGTGAGATTTGCTTGAATAATACTTCAGTCTTTGACCTTGGCTTCAAATTTTTTACTCCTGACTAACTATGCTCTATCCTAGATATCAAGGCTATGGCAACAATATGAGACATGCTACGTCAGGACTGCTTTATGAACAAAACCGTTGCTAGTATGATCCTTCCGCCGGATTATGCCAGAATACTTCTCCCGCCATCCATTGTGAACCTCTTGCGGACCTTAAGTCGGATATAGCCAGGACCCAGCTGGATGGCATGCGGCTCGTTGAGCGTCTCCATGCTCTCATTCTCTGGACCGAGCAAGTCTGAGCCGTCGTCCTCTCCCGACTCATCACCAGACCCAACATCAAGGAGAGCAGTCGGGCAAAACACCAAAGCCTCTCCGGTAGCCAGACGGACAATTTTACGAAAGATATCCGAAGATCCAACTCCCGCACCAGCGATGTGGCCTTCAATTGCCTTGAACCATGAGGGCGAGGCGAAGCGATGGACAATAGTCACATTGCACAGGTCGAGCAATTTCGGAGACACAGTTGGTTCTTGGGTAGCAATCATGACCCTGGTGCCTAGATGGCGCTGCTGACGAACGATTGAAAGAAGGGTCTCGGTCAATTCGACCGCTTCGCCGGACGTGGTTTCCAAGAACTGTATACCAGCACCGTATTGTAAGCGTTTCTTCTCACAAAGCCAAGGTCAGTAATCAAAACCAGGAGACCGATATACATACCTTGTGGGCCTCGTCCAACGCAATAATACGCCCCGCATGGCCTCGTCCCTCCAGGAAGAGTGAGACACAGATGTTAAACAATGCACAAGCGTCATCGGGTCCAACAAAAGGACAGCTGAGATCAATGATAGTTAAAGTGCCTCTCTCAAACTTCCATGTATTCGGAGAATACGGTCTCTTCTGGGGTCTCTTCCCGTGAGCTGGCTGGGGCTCCAGAAAAGACTCCAATACCTGCAGGCGCATGTTCAGCGGGAGATTCTGTGTGCCCAAAAATTTCTCCTGCTCAAGCTTTGCTCTGAAGGCACGGTAACTGAACCCCTGTCCGTTCTGCATTTGTTCGGCCATTTCACGCAGGATCTTGGTGACAACCTAGCTCCGAAAGTCAGAAGGGATCAATTCTCGGTTTCACTTCGTATAGCCTTTGCTTTTCTTACCTCCATGTATAGAGGCTGTTCTCCTCCAACGTTCAGTCCCATCAGCTTCTTCATGGTTGTAATATTGAGATGTTTCTCAGAAAGATACATCGGCAAGACTTCCAGCTTCCTACCAGATGCACCTGGCAGCCTGTCATACGCTGCTTTCATTGCAGAGTAGTTTGAAGGAGACACCAGGATCCGGACAGGAATGTTCGAGGTGTACAGGTACGCTGCCTCGCAGAGCTGGGTGCTTGAAAATCCAGTGAACTTGTCGTAATGGAGTACCATTGCGGCGAGAGGCGAGGAGAGTTTTCCGCCAGGCGAAGGCGCAATGAGGGCATTCTCCAGAAGGCAGGACAGCGTGTGACTCTTCCCGCTGCCTTGACTCCCGCAAATGAAGGCAGACCACGGCGCGGAGACATTGGTGTACACCAGATTACCTTCATCTTTGATGTTCGTCCCAGCCTGGAGACGAAGACCGAGCAACCCATACTGAGGCCAGACACTGCTAGCGACACCGGTAGCAGCTTGGGTTGTAGGGTTTTGTCTGTACTCTGGGCTTTCGACTAACTGGCGTGTAATGGCTGAGAAGAGGGGCGCTGCAGACACCTCCTCAGCGAGGTGCTCCCTGGATGTGTTGACAGAAGATTGGTTTGTCTCGACGAACTGAAGATGACGAAGGGCCTCCTGCCTGATAGCAGACATGGGACCCATGATGGCGAGTGACCTAGGAGGATGTACCAGATGAATCAGGATTATTGAGGAGAGAAGAAAATGCTAATATTTTATATGAGGTAGAGAAGGAGAGAGAATGGGTCTTTCATTCTCTTAAGCAATGTTTGCTTCTGTTTTGTGATCGCTTGGTTGCCTAGGGTATATATAAAGCTTCTCTCACTTTTTTATATGCCTACTTTTCTATCAATGAAGAGAGCAGACTGCATAATTAGCGTAGAGAATTATCAGTCTAGGGACTGAAACTTTTTATTTAGATCATTTAACCACTAATCTGAAGGGATATAATCATAGGTAATAGAAGAAGGCACCAGCAAGACAGAAGCAGTCTGACATGACTATTTCATCTCTATTATGTAGCAAAAACTTCTACTCTTTAATATATATACATCTGTTTAAAATCTAGCCAAGGCCAACGTAAATGGTAGACTGGTGGCAAAACTCAATACAGATACTGGGAGACGGTGTCGAAATATAGTAATTCCGCTTTACTAGAGCCGAAGTCCTTTGGAAGTGAGGCTATATGATCTTCAAGACAATACTTCAGGGGGAAATACCAAGAGCTCCAATATAGAATTGCCTACTATAGAAAAAAAAAAACCACTTCAGGCATTCGGTCTTATCCCTTGTAGACCCGAATATAAAGGAATAATATTAAATAGACAGTGACCTCAGCATATCATGTTGCATTTCTGGCGAAGGACAATGCCCTGGGTAACAGCTGTAGTCGACCATATGTACATTTTGAAAATGAAGACTCATTTAGGATTGCCGTGAAGTCTGCCAAGTATATGAGTTATGGAGTAGTTGACTTTACCTGAGGCACTTCCGCTCTCATCCACTATATCGGCAAGTATTATAGCGGCAGATATTGCCCCTGGCATTCGAGGCCAGAAATAGACACTGACCAAGGGCCCCCTATTGGAGGATATTTTGCAACAGGTTTCTCCACCATTTCTTTCTTTTTTTTAAAAAAAAACATGAGATTTCAGGAGACCGGTCCTGAGAATCCCAGCGGAAATGAACCGATTATCAGATGTGTGTTAATGCTGGTCCGCACTTTATCTGCGGGCTGAAGGGGGACAGCCTGCTGAGCCAAGACGGACAGTTCTTATTTCTCCATTCTGAGAAGTAGTCGCCAGTGTATGACATGGAGGAGTAGTTAATCTAGTCGGGTGTGCAAGCTTTAATACCAGCCTAGGCTACTTGAGCGCGGTTCATCAGAATAGATTGACACGCAGTGCCGAGTAGAAGACGTAGAAACTGCCTAATGAACGCCTGGGAGTCAGCGATGGTTGCTAGTTATACTTTGTATCAAGTGAAGATAGTTCCAGAAGTTACACCGGGGATACTGGCCCTGTTTCAAGAGCTCCTTCTCCGGGAGACGCGAGAAGAGCTTCCCAGATTGCTACCGAACGATGGGTAGGTAAATATGGAACTCATCGAAAGAATTAAAATCTTCAGGAATCCAAACTCATCGTCTAGAGTCTAGACCCTACAATTGAGCAGGAAAGAAGAGAAGTCCCCATAAGTAAAATATGGGCAGCTAATTGCCAACTTGCCATATTGCACCCCCGTGGCGGTTGCAGATAAAGACGGGGCCCGGCGAAGTCTGACAGCGGCGTGGTTTACCAGTTAGTTCCCACCACCATAAACCGCCTTCCCTTCTTCATCCCTCCCAGTGGCACGACACGGCTGTCATTTTTCCATTTGCATCCGGAAACTTTGTTGCTATTTGGTGACAAGATTGAACTGCTTGACTATAATCATATCCATTAAGTACCCATCAGGTTGTTAACAGTAGGTCTCGTCCTGACTGGCGCGGGTCGGTCTGGCCGCTGTGACCAGCATCATGAAACATGGCAAGCTGATGTCGCCCCGCCAAGCACAGCTAACTGACGTTCAACTATGTAGTAACCTCGACTCAGGTCGAATCTAGCGTTGCTAGATTGCGAGACTTGCAAAATCGTCTCCATACCCACGGGTGCCGCTATCAATCAGAAACCAACTGCCCCGTCGCTCAGCCGTCTGCAGCACTTGCCGCCCGCGGTATCCCTAGGCGTCCTCCATTTTAACATCTTGGAGGCTCCATCGAATGAGATGACTCAGGTACTGATCTTAAAGAAAAGGAATTCTTTCCGCAGGCGGTGGAACCCCTGGCACGACCGTTGATTCCCTGCGAAACTGGGCGCACAGGCCAGGGCATACGTAAGTGGGCTCCTGTTGATCGCGGGGGTCGAAACAGGACGTGTGCCATCGAAACGACTAGGAACCATCGACCAACCCTATCTTGTGTTTCATTGTACCCTGACTTGTCCAATCGCTCGCAGACTCATCTCCACGTTCGGCCCTTTTTCTCCCCAAGGGTCATATCCTCGACGACCTCCGTTCGATCTGTCTGCTCCATGCTACTACAGTTCGTCTTTAAAAATGGATATAAAGGCGACTTTGACTCTCCGTGGCATCACTTTCTTTTCCTCACCATTCAGTCGACCTGAATTGACCCGTGTCTACCGTTCTTTCTTTCTCTCTTTCTCTCTTTCTGCATTTGTTCCTCACGAGGCCTGGTTGTCTCTGGATTCCTTCGCTGATTTAACTTACCATTCAATCTTTTCAACAAAAATTCGCTATACGCAATCTTATCCAAGATGAAGCCTCAGGCCGCCATTCTCATCCTCTCCTTCTGTGCCTCCGTCTTCGCTGCTCCCGTTCATCACCGTGCCGTTCACCACAAGCGCCAGGTTCACGTCAGAGATGTGAGCTACGCCTCCTCCTATGCCTCTACTGCGACCAGCGCCGTGGCCAACGCTTGCAAGGTCGCCGCCGCCTCCTCCAGCGCCGCTGTTGATTCCTATTCCACCGCTGGCTCTAGCGCTGTCCAAACCAGTGCTCCTTCCACCAGCTCCCAGGCCAGCACGTCAAGCGGAGATGGCGAGGAATCTAGCGGCTCCGATTATGGTGCTACTCCTTCCGGGGCTTCCGCATCTGTAGCCGCCTCTCCCAGCGGTTATTCAAGTAGTAGCTCTAGTAGTGGCTACAGTGGTGGCTCTGGAACATCTAGTGGCTCGGATGCCTCTTCTTCTGGCTACTCCGGGAGCTACGGTGGCTCTGGAACATCCAGTGGCTCGGATGCCTCTTCATCTGGTTACTCCGGAAGCTACGGCGGCTCTGGAACATCTAGCGGCTCGGGTGCCTCTTCTTCTGGCTACTCCGGGAGCTACGGTGGTTCTGGCACCTCTAGCGGCTCGGGTGCCTCCTCTTCAGGATATGCTATGGGCTCTGGATCATCTGGTAGCTACGGTGGTTCCGGAACTTCTAGCGGCAAAGGCGCCTCTTCTTCCGGCTATGCTATGGGCTCTGGTTCATCTGGCAGCTACGGTGGTTCTGGAACTTCTAGCGGCAAGAGTGCCTCTTATTCTGGCTACTCTAAGGGTTCTGGAAGCTACGGTGGTTCTGGAACCTCTACTGGTGATAGCGCCTCTTCTTCTGGCTACGCTATGGGTTCCGGGTCATCTGGAAGCTTCGGTGGTTCTAGCACCTCTAGCGGTCAGGGCGCTTCTTCTTCCGGCTATGCTATGGGCTCTGGATCATCTGGCAGCTATGGTGGCTCCTCAACCTCTAGCGGCGAGGGCGCCTCTTCTTCTGGCTACTCTGGGAGCTACGGTGGCTCCGCAACCTCTAGCGGCGAGGGTGCCTCTTCTTCTGGCTATGCTGATGGATCATCTGGCAGCTACGGCGGTTCCGCAACCTCTAGCGGCGAGGGTGCCTCCTCTTCTGGCTACGCTGATGGATCGTCTGGCAGCTACAGTGGTTCCGCAACCTCTAGCGGCGAGGGTGCCTCTTCTTCTGGATCGGCTAGCAGCTACGGTGGTTCCGCAACCTCTAGCGGCGAGGGCGCCTCTTCTTCTGGATCGGCTAGCAGCTACGGTGGTTCTAGTACCTCTAGCAGCGATGGTGCCTCTTCTTCTGGCTACGCTGAAAGCTCTGGGTCGTCCAGCAGCTCCGGCAGCGAAAGCGAGAGCGGCTCTTCCACCAGCTCGTCCTCAGGCGCTTCTTCCTCTGACAGCGCTGCTGCGGCTGAAGCTTCCAGCGCCTCCGTCACCAGCTTTTAAAGCGCTGCACTGTGTCTTTTGAAGTTTGATCCGTGAGATCAAGCCTATCCAAGCGACAATCCGACAAAACTTCTTGAAATTTTTGTTAAAAACCTTGAATTGGAACGAGGGATACAGGCAATTCATTTCTCACCGACACTCCTTGATGAGAATTACTCATCCGCCTTGGAACAACTGTGTCCTTTCATTCTTTGTCTTTTGAGTGCCAGTTTATCTGCCTGCTGGACAGGATTTATAGACTGACTTTTCTAAAAGATTAGTATTAATAGTTCTCAATACAAGTGTAAGAAGACGGTATAACAGTTCCTGTTGTTAGTTATGTTGATAACCTAGAGTAGTGACATTGTAGTTATGTGTCTCAGCAACCTGCAACTCAAGTCTTGATGAAAACATATAGACCTTTTTAAAACAATTTTTTCCCTGGAGCCTAATAATCAACAAAGATAATACCAGTCCAGTTGCTGATTGTGTCATTTTATCTTCCCGTCCCCGCCAAGTCGGCCGTCTTCCCCCCCCACAAGCAAACGACCAAGTTTTGACCAACTCACTCACCGTCGACAACCACGCTCGACGGCAGTCTCCAGCCTCTATTCAACTATTAATACCCAGAAAGGCATGCACAGAATCGCCCGAAGGAGATTACGGCACACGGCTCGGGAGTTTGAAGATGGGTGAGAACGCCAATGATTTGCTCGCAGTTTGTCACCCTCCATTCCCATCTGGATGATTACAAGTCAGAAGGCTAAAGGATGCCGCTCTTTCTCCCCTGTTATAGGAGCTTGAAAAAAGCTATTGTCCCCCGCTAGACCCTGCGTTGTTCACTGCTATTACCTCCGATTTTGACCTAACGGACCCGGCGCAGGTCAAGCAGCTCCAAGACACACTCGACACCTTGAAATTGTCGGCATGGGAACAAGAAGACCTTCCGTTTGATCCATCTGGGACCAGTGGTACCCAACCACTCAATGGCCTCGAGAACGATGGGGCAATGTCCGAGCCGGGCGCGTCGCAGTATGAGAGTACGCAGTCGTGCGAGACTGATCTCACCAGCCTCGCATCGGACTTTTCATTCTCGCTGAGCGTTGGGGAGAAACAACGCGCGGGGTACAATAATAACAATACTAGTAACAAAAAGCAAGCGTCTGGCCGAGTAGGAGGGAGTCAGGATGACCGGATCGACTATTTGGCGGAAATGTTCCCGTCAATCGACCTCTACACTATCCAACACACACTTAGGAAATGCGACAATGACGTGGATCGCTCGATGGATGTTCTACTCAACATGACTTTCTTCGACGAACAGCAACCGAGCGAGGATGGGGACCAAGTTGCCATACCCAAGGGGATCGACGGGTTTGGTGAGAACGCCGTCGCGGGTGATATTGGTCGCAGAAAGGGTCGAAAACGGAAAACCAAGAACAGCCGTGCTAATTCTCAGTCGCAGCCTTTCCTGGAGGAAGAGAACAGCAATAGTAGTGCAGCTAATAACAAGTGGAGAACTGCGCAGAATGATATCGAGTTTATTCTCGCGCGAACGGCCCCTGTTCTCAAGAAAGAGACCGTCGCATCTACTTACCATGCCCATGGCGCCTCGTTATCCGCTGCTATACGAGCCTTAGCAACGGCCAATAAGCCCCAGGCGGAGCATTGCATTGGCGAGAATCCTGTTCTGGCAGCCCAGGTGGCCGAGCTCGCGCAGGAGTTTTCTTCGGTGCCCCTAACTACCCTCGCGGGGCTGCTAACGATCAGTCGGAATTCGATCTCAGCTGCGAATGAGCTAGCCGCGGCCATGGTCCGTCGCCCAGCCCCTGCTTCCCTGTCTGATATAATCAAGTTTTCAACCCCTTCAGTCACGGCGGAGGTAGATGTTGAGACACCGAGGCCTCCGCGGGCTCGGACGGTGCAGGACTACGAGAGCGTGCGCACAGCTGCCCATTCACACTTTGATGCAAGTTCTACGGCCTTCAATAAGGCTTCGGCCGCTTATCGACGCGGGAAATCCGACCGCCTAATGGGCGCGGCGGCGGCGTATTACTCTTCTGTCGGACGTGAACACCTTGAAAAGGCGAAGCGAAACGCCTCTGCTGCGGCGGATGCGTGGGTCCATGGCCAGTCGACGGCGGACACGTTAGATCTGCACGGGGTGTCGGTGCAGGATGCGGTGCGGATCGCTAGCGAAGGAGTGGCCCTCTGGTGGGAGTCTCTGGGCGACGCCCGGTACATTCGCGGCGGCAACTCTTCGGCTCGTCAAGGGTATCGAATCATCACTGGTGTTGGACGTCACAGCCATGACGGCACGTCACGAATCGGCCCGGCCGTGGGCAAAATGCTCGCACGCGAAGGATGGAAAGTCGAGGTGGGCGAGGGGGTCCTCACAGTGATGGGGGCTCGGCAGTGATAGCATGGATAGTCTGGATATAGGTTGGATTTTTTGCATATCTAGGAAGCCGATGTACTTAATAGTTACTTAGTATCTTATCTATTTGAGATGTGGAAACTGATCTATGGCTGTGTTCTACTACATACGTTGAATTTGATACCTACAAATGTTATTGTTATGATATTGCTCCATACAATTGCTGATGACGTAAAATCCACGCCTCTTGATTGCCTCATACCAACTTCATATTATTGAAGAAAGAAAGGTACTTCTTAATTTATCTCGACTCACCCGCTGCCTATCTTATTTGTCTTACTTGATAAGAATATACTTGTACTGCTCTATGCACTTCTACGCTCTGCGGTCTTTCCGCTCTTTAATCTCCCCCGCCCAGCAGCTGCGGACAATCTTCTTCAGGACCACTATCGCTGCCTCTCGCATCCCCCGCCCAGTTTCTGGCAGCACCATCCTCAAAGCTGCTCCGGCGATTCCATTCTTCGGCTCTCTCTTTGGTTCCAGCGCCAAAGCTGAGGCCCTGACTAATACTACTACCATGTCATATCCTGATAAGCGGAGCGAGGAGGAATGGCGCGCCGTGTTGAGTCCCGGTGAGACACTGAGCACTTATTGGCATTCTAAAACCGTACCCCTCTGATTGTTTTCAAGAGCAATTCCGAATCCTTCGTGAAAAGGGCACCGAACGCCCCTTCACAGGCGCCTACGATGCCCACTACCCAAGTCTTGGAGTGTACACCTGCGCAGGCTGCAACGCCCCGCTGTACAAGGCGAGCCACAAGTTCAAATCTGGCTGCGGTTGGCCCGCGTACTTTGACAGCGTCCCGGGGGCCGTGACGCGACACGTCGACAACTCGTTTGGCATGGAGCGCACGGAGATCGTGTGCAGCAACTGCGGGGGGCATCTGGGCCATGTCTTCAAGGGGGAGGGGTACGATACCCCGACGAATGAGCGGCACTGTGTGAACAGCGTCAGTCTACGGTTTACGGAGGATGAGAATGCAGAAAGTAATGCTAAGGCTTGAGGTCTCTGTTTATCTCCTTCCACCCTTCTACGCCTCTTCAACCATACTATTCTGTATTTATACATACTATCTATGGCCAACTTCTATGAACATACAACCAGTATGACACAGTATCCGAGATACAGCAAGAATAATCATCGGTCTTCAATTCTAGTTGGGTACTGTATAGAATCATGCACATCTCTCCTGTTATCAGATCGTTGCAGGGATCAGCGCAGCGGCATAATTTTACAATGCTCGTACTCGTCTTCCAGTAAAACCACCGCCTACTCATCTAGTATCCAATAGATTTTTCAATGTTTATCCATAATAATCTGCGATTCAATCAGCATACATTCTGCACATAAGGTACGACTCGTCTCCCGCATCGGGCACCGGCCTCGCTGCCTCAGGCGCCCACGCCGTCACCGCACCCGCCACTTTGTCCTGTCCGTCCCATCGTTCTCTCCTCGTGCCCACCCCTCGAGACTAAGTTGACTGCTCAACTCTCCAGATTACTAGAACAATAAAACGATTCGAGAGACCTTTCGACATGTCTCGCCGTGCCACCCCGGACCGGGCGGCGCAGAACCAACAGACGATCAAGACCCTGTTGAAGCTCGAGTCGAATAAGACCTGTGCCGACTGCAAGCGCAACAAGCGTGCGTTACCTTTTCTACCCCCCCCCCCCTTTTTTTATGTTCAAGTCCGTTGGCTGTACAAAATTTGCACACCGTGCTGACTCGTATGTCTACACAGATCCGCGATGGGCGTCATGGAACCTGGGTATCTTCATTTGCATCCGATGCTCGGGCATTCACAGGGGCATGGGCACCCATATCAGCCGGGTCAAATCGGTGGATCTGGACTCATGGACGGATGAACAGCTGCAGAGTGTGGTACGGTGGGGGAACAGTAGGGCCAACAAGTCAGTTTTATGAATACATACTGGGCCGATTTGTGTGATTGATTGAACCCCGCCGCTGACTCGATTGATTGTTGGGATTTAGGTATTGGGAGGCTAAGTTGGCGCCCGGACATGTTCCTTCGGAAGCGTAAGTCAAACCAAAACAGTCCCCGGACTGAGAAAGCTTCATGCGATGATGGCTAAAACGAGATGTTCGGAATACAGGAAGATAGAGAATTTCATTCGCACAAAGTACGAGTCCAAGAGATGGGTGATGGACGGTCCGATGCCCGACCCGGCTACGCTCGACGATGGAGATGATGATGTGGTTGGTTACTCAGATATGCATGGAGATCTATTGAGGATAGTCTGACACCTATCAGCCTCTGGCGGTGGTCCAGGAGAAGGCGAAGATCGAACGTTCGGCATCGCAGCGCGGGGGGGCTTCTGGTTTGCCCGCAGCCCCGCGACGACAAGCCCCGACGATTGATTTCTTCGGCGACACGGAAACAATCTCACCTCCAGTCCGCCCGAGCACGACGGAACCTGCGCCGCGCGCAGTGCCCAAGGAGTCTCAGCCTGCACCCAAGACACATCGACCTGCAGATTCGCTGCTCGGGCTAGACTTCTTCGGCAGCACCCAGCCAGCTGCTCCCAACCGTCCCGCGAGCACCACTCCTACGGGAGTGGCAGGCCTGTCTCGCCCGGACCTCAAGCAGTCGATTCTCTCCCTTTACTCGAAACCCGCTCCGGCCCCGGCGCAGCATGAGCGGACCTCCTCATTCGGAGACCTGACCTCCCCCATGCCGTCATCGGCGCAGCCGCAGTCATCCTCGACACTTGGTGGGATAACCGATGCGTTCAGCGGACTGACTTTCCCGTCGGCCAGTACCACGATGAAACCTGTCGAGAAAGCATCCCCGTTTGCCAGTCTGGCCACCTACACTAGCCCCAAGTCCTCGCTCGCGGCTCCCAAAGTCACTTCACCCTCACCTGGCACCAGCGGCGGTGGGCTGTTTGACAGTCTCACGTCGCCCAACCCCCCGGTTCCCAACCCGCAGGGACGCACGTCTTCGATCTCGTCCAACGGATTTTCGAACGATCTGGGTGGCTTCTCGAGCTTTGTCTCTCCGTCGACAACAGCAACGAAGCCTAACGTGCCTCCTCCTTCCTCCGCTCTCTCCAACGACCTGTTTGGATTCTCTTCTCCGGCTTCTGCGCCTGCTCCTGTCGCAGCAGCTCCCAAGTCACCCAGCATTTCCTTCCCCCAGCAAGAAATCAGGTCTGCTTTCAACCTCTCTGCCCCGGCGCCTGCGCCTGCTCCCAAACCGGCCGTCCCCGCAACTACGTCTGTCTTCTCCTCTGCCGTGATGGATCCCTGGGGCGGAAACGCATGGAACACCCCCGAGCCCGCCGCCCCCGCCGCCCCGGCGCGTTCGATCACCACCACCACCACCGCTACCGCCCCCACCAACCCTTCTTCCATGATGAGGGTTCCTGACACTTTAACAGCCAATGACTTCGGAGCTGGTTGGGGTGCGCCATCTGCTAGCATCAGTAAGCCGGCGGCCACGGTGGCCGAAGACGAGGATTTCGGCGGATGGACCAGCGCCGCGCCGGTAGCCTCGACAACGACGACGACGACGACGAACACTAGTGGCAAAGCGGCTGGCGGGTTCGGCGGATCAGACGACCTGTTTTCCAATGTCTGGGAATGATTATGATGGGTCAATAAATTGTACTTAGATTTGAATAAACGGCTTGTCCTTGAGTACATATAGGAGAACTACGAGAGAACTACTAGTCTGTGTAGTGTATTTTCGGTCTATTCTATCAAATCTATTTACTACGTATACGTATTAGTTAAACATCCCCCTCCACCTCCTCGACCGAAGGCACCCTATCGAGGACGACACCGAAATGGCCCGCGACACGACGCACACAGTCACAGATGATCTGGACGTCCGCCTGGGAGACGCCGATCCTACGGGTCCCGCGGATATGCCAATGGGTCTCCTTGCGGAGGTTCTGGCTCATGATGGCCGGCAGGACGACGAGCTGGGTGTCGAGATCGTCCAGCACCTGGCGGTCGGACAGGTACAAACCGTAGGTGATCTCGTGGGAGATCCAGGCGAAATCCTTATGGGCGGCGAAGAGGTCCATGGTGCCCTCCAGGTTACGCGTGTAGATTTTCCCCAGCCAGTCCGCCCCGCGGTCATGGTTCGCCTGGTCGCACTGCCACCCGGGCCGGGTGGAGGTGTAGTCTTTATCCTCGTCACGTTCGACGGCTCCGATGGCGAGGATGGCCTCGAGCGGCTTGCAGACGCCGACGATGGGGACGCATTTGACGAGGGTCTCGCGCAGGCGGCGGACCAGCGCCTGTCGCGAGCCACTGCTTGTGTACTCTGCTTGTTGGATGAGGTGTAGGTATAGCTGTTGGGCGGTTTCTGGGTCGGGACTCGCCACCAGCGTGGCCATCGCCAGGATGTACCACCGGTGAGGGTCGAGGGTGGTTGACTGGAAACGCGTCTCCAGGTCTGTGAAGAGGGCCGTCAGGGCCGAGGAGGAGGAGGAGGAGGTGGTGGTGGTGGGTTGAGGCGATGGAACACTCATTCTGTAGGTCGTTGACGAGAGAAGCCGTGAGGGCTGCGATGGGAATCGGCAGAGGCAAGATGGACGCGATGCCAAGAGGCAGGAGACGGATCGTTTGAACATGAGGTCTGTCTACTTGGTGAAATAGGCGGGGGAACAGATTGCTCTTGCTGGATCCACTGAGTCGTAGTTACGTGTCAGTGTTTCTTTCGAGTTCTCTATCTTTCAAGATACGATCTCATTGATGTCATTCAGAATCAATATAAAAATAAGATTCCACACCACAATAACAGCAGTCTAGGGTGTTTATTCAAGCAATTGACGGTGTGATAGCTATACTATTCGTTTTGTCTAGATCAAAATATGTCTACATAGTAGTTAACCCCCTGGCAGTGTACTTTGGTATAGAAAAAGATTTAACACGCAGAATTCTCCGGCAAATTCAGTCTTCATCGAGCCAAGCTCAGATCACAAGTCACTACTGTCATCCTCAACTGCTTTGTTCATTAATATAACACCTGTTAGAGCTGCAAATAACCTCAAACTTGCCATGATATCATGGCCCCATTTCCGTGCTGAGTAAGCAGAATGGCCAATCGAGGACCAGATAAATGATGACTAGGAGTGCACTCAAGTTCCTGATGCCTTGGGTAGATATAATCCAGATCAATAATGGCGAATGAGGGCCCTTGGAGTGAGTGACCTGGAGAGCCGTACCTAGAACGTGATGCAAGAGTTTGTGGGACATATCAAAATTAATAGCACTGCCTGGTGTGGTTTGAAAATACGAAGAACACGTTGACCACGAATAACAAAGAGAGAGATTGCGCAAAGCTACAGAGTCTATCGCTTCTAGGGGATTCCTACTCCCCAGTACACCATGGAGAGCGCCTACGGACAGTCTCATGTGTTCTCTGCAACCTCTGAACAACCCAGGCGTTCCTACGCCCCCAAAGTCCGCCTGAGCTGCGAGGCCTGCCATCAACGCAAGGTGAAATGCGATAAGCTCGATCCCTGCACCAACTGCACCAAAATCGGCGCGGTCTGCGTGCCCGTGGAGAGGACGCGCCTCCCTCGAGGTCGCACCCAGAGAGCAGGGAACCAGGCGTCGAGGTCGGAGCTGGAACTGAAAGAGCGCGTGTCGAAGCTGGAGAGACTCCTCCGGGACATGTGCGCGTCTCAGACGACAGGTGCGAGTGTCGACGGATCCCAGGGGAGTCTCACGCCTTCTCGAAACGACACCACCCCTCCTGGCACTGGCGGTTCTTCTACCATCTTCTTGGAAGCGAGGAGGGACATTCCAGCGTCCCTGCCGGAGAAGACTCCACGATTGGAGTCGTACATGGGAGGTTCCTTTTGGGCAGAGCTGATCGAGCAGGTGAGTTTGCTCCGTTCTGGCAGAAGAGGCTATTTCCCTGGCCAGAAGATGGTACTAAGGTTGGCACTCATTGTGCGAAAAAACAAAACAGACCGACGAACCGGAAAACCCTGCTAACCATGATTCTCCGCCGCAAGAATATGTCCCTGGCGACGCCCTCTCGTATGAAACAGTCCTTGTTGGGTTGACCGGTCCAAAAAACCAGCCGAGCCCATCCAATCCGGTGGCGGAGTCGCTCCCTGACGCAAAGATCCGGAAGAGATTGGTTCATATTTTCCTATTCCAGGTCGATCCGGTCCTCAAGATCCTCCATCGGCCTTCGCTCTCTGCCTTTTTGCTCCAGGGGAAGCCGTACCTGGACTATGAGCCAGGCCATCCCGCCCCGACAGCGCTTGCCTGTGCTGTGTATTATGCTGCGAGCTGTGTTCTAACTGAAGAACAGTGTCAGTCTCTCTTTGCCATGAGTAAAGAGTCGTTGACTGCTCGGTATCGGAGAGAAGCAGAAACTGCACTGGTTCAGGCAGACTTCATCGTCTCTGACGAGCTGGTTGTCCTCCAAGCATATGTTTTATCTCTGGTAGGATTTCCACTCTCTTCTTCCTACATACCTAAGCTATATGTTCTTGTCTTATTAATTCGAATGTAGGTCGCTGCTAGATTGTTAGACCAGAGCCGACGAGCGTGGACGATGCTCAGCATGGCCCTTCGGATCGCCCAGGCACTCTTGCTCTACTTGCCAGACCCGCCTTTCCCCGTGTCACCGTTTGAGCGCGAGATGCGCCGGCGGGTATGGAATATTATCGGCTATCTCGATGTTCAGTGCTCGCTAGACCGTGCCACTGAGCCGATGATGCGCGCCAGTTGGCTGCAGTCACACCCCCCGGCCAATGTCAACGACAGCGCCTTTCACTTCGGAACGACGGAGATGATTGAGGATTCGCCCAACGGCTTCACGGATATGTCTCTTACCCTGGTGCTTCTCAAGGCACAGTGCGCAGTGCGGCTGCTCAACTTTACCGACTTTCGTGAGCCGGGTGTCAAGGATATGAACGTACGACTGCAGATCGTCGCCGACTTCCATGCGCAGGCTACCAGCCTCTTCCGCCATTGCCAGCCAGAGACGATTTCATTCCACTGGTTCTCGCAACGCGTCCTCGAGTGCATCCACGCGAGCCTGCAACTGATCGCGCTACGGCCTTTACATCGCACCGTCGGCTTCACCCCGCCGACCATCCGCCACGACGGCCTCCTCCGCCTCGCCGTCGAAGTCATCGAGTCCTCGCAGAAGAGCTCGGCATACCTCCAGGGCCGGCCCTGGGCCTGGTGCGAAAATCTCTTCGTCCCTTGGCACGGCCTCGCCGTCGCCATCGCCGAACTCTGCGTCTGCAACGACCCGGCCCTCATGGAGCGTTACTGGCCTATTGTCGACCAGGCCTTCAGCCGCCTCGGTTCCCTCATCGCGGACCGCAGGCAAGGCATGCTCTGGCGGCCCATGTCCAAACTCATGGACCGTGCGCGTACTCGGCGCCAGAAACTGCAACAGTCTCCTCCACTGCCGCCTCCAGATGTCTCCTTTCCGTCCAACCTCCTTACGGGGCATCCTTTAATTCCATCGTTTCAGGATCCCACTTCCCTTGAGCATGTTGTTCCGGAGGTCCCGGCTCTTCCACTTGATAACACTGTCCCATCGGGCTCCGTATCAATGGATTCTATACCTTTGGGCACCGTCCCGAACCCCGCCCATCCCTTCCACAGTACACCATACTGGCTGAATGTCTGGGACCTGATGGACCTGGAAGACCCGACTGACGCGGCGACTGGGCTCTGCGAAAGCGCATGGACCAACTATGAGACTTTCATCGAAGATGTCTTTGATGCGGGCGGCGATCCCGCGCTTCAAGTTTTTCCAAATTAGGGTGACGTGGGCTTATGGTTATTCATGAATGACTGATAGAACTGTATAATCCTGATATGTGTTGTATGATGATCCTCTGTTTCCTCTCCTCTCTTCTTTCTGTCTCTTTTCTTTGGCTACATACCTCTCCTCTTAGATGATACAATGAGATAACGAGAAACTATCTTCGGTTCGAAGCTTGATAGAGCTGCGTTGACTCTGGAATAGGTCTTGGTAGATTGCCAAGGTATATCCTTGTACATGAAGAGAGTATTCAGAAACGAGGTTTCCTCTGGACCAAGCAGAATACTCTGTATAATCGGTATAGATGCTGAGGTGGTGGCAATGTGGTAAGGACGCAGGGCCGAGTTCAGCTCATTCGACAACAACGCTTTGATTCTTGAACAGTCGAAGATCCATTGTTCAAAAAAGCTTCTTATATTTATAGATCGCGACTATTCGCAGATGTATCATCCATTTAGCTCCCTGTCATACCCTTGCATTCTGAAATCCGCCCGTTTCGCCCTCGATGGCTTTCGGACTCTGGAGTGTCTCCAAACACCGACCGAGATGGACGCTGCGGACAACGCAGACAGCGATGCAACAGTATAAAAGCAGGCTGATTCACCCATTTGTTGCTTCATTCGTTTATTAAAAATTTGACTAGTCATCTTGAGGAAACATCTGATCTTCGTTCCGGGACAAGACAAGCTCATACAAGTATACTAGCACTTGTTATGACTTTCGTATCATCGCGATACTACTTCGCGACCTCAGCAACAGTCGCCGTGGTAGCCAGTGTAGGCATCTACTCTCTCCTATCCCAAACTGCACACGCAGAATCCAGCCAGCCCCCAATGGCCTTCAAGGGTAGATTCGGCTTCACCTCGCTGCGGCTGCACAGCGTCACCAGCGTCAACCACAACACCAAGCGGCTACTATTCGAACTGCCGGACTCGGAGGCACGCAGCGGACTGAGCTTGACCTGTGCGTATATCTTAAGCATCACCTAGATAGGAGATGTCCAGCTAACGAGGGAAACAGCGTCCCTTCTCACCGTCTCTCGACCGCAAGGCAGCTTTTTCCCGGTCTTTCGACCGTACACACCCATCAACAAACTGGGTACGTGAGTGACAAAAGTTACCAATAAATGAAGTGAACTACGGGATTTCTAACTTGCGGTAGATGATCCCGGATTCGTGGAGTTGATGGTAAAGAAATACCCGAACGGCAAGGCCAGCTCGCACCTCCACTCGCTCTCCCCCGGCGACAGGATGACCTTCCTAGGCGCCATCAAGGGCTTCCCCTGGACAGCCAACCAGTTCCCACACATCTACCTGCTCGCCGGTGGCGCGGGGATCACCCCGATCTACCAGCTCATCCAGGGCATCCTCTCCAACCCGCACGACCGTACGCGCATGACCCTCGTCTTCGGCGGGAATACAGAGGAAGACCTCCTCCTCCGTGAAGAGCTGGACGGTTTCAAAAAGCGATTCCCGGACCGTTTTGACGTCATCTACACTGTTTCCTCCTCCTCACCTAATCTGCCATCCTCTTCATCACTTAGAACAGGCCGTATCACGAAAGAGCTACTTGAAGAAGTCATGGGCTCTACCCCCGGCGTCGTCGACCAGCATAACACCAAGGTCTTCGTCTGTGGCCCGCCCGCTATGGAGGAAGCCCTGACAAAGTCCAGGGGGTGTATGCGCACTTCGGGCGGGGAGGAGGGCGTTCTGGCGCAATTGGGGTTTTCGAAGAATCAAATCTACAAGTTCTAGATTCCTTGTATTTCTTGGGAAACGGGTTGATACTCTCTACCTGTCGGTAGAATAGTATACGATGTCAGTTTCTACAGTATTAGTTACCTTCTTTCAAATCAGACATGGGGTCTAGGGTCTATCTGATCCATCGGGATACCACGGTGTAGATATGAAGAATAGATAGATTACGTTTAGTGTACAGACCGTATCTCCATGACTTGCTTTCTTCCTCAAGAGTCGGTAATCACAATGTCAAGTACAGCCTGCCTCTACCACCCGGGACGCCATGAATGGTAAATAAAAGAGAAAAAGAAAGAAAACTGAATACCCTATCCTCCTCCTCGTCCCGGCTCCCGGGTTCACCTACTAAGTAATGATTCCATGATTCCAGGGCTTCCCTGGAATTTAAAAGGGAAGAGAAAAGGAAATAAGAACAAGGGGGAAAGAAAAGATGAAAACCGTCGAACCATAAATCAGGGTATTATTCGTACAAGAAGAGTTTTTAGAGAAGAAAGGAGAAAAAAGGAGGTAGGGAGAGAAAAAGAAGAAGAAAAAAAAGCTTATCACTCGTCTCTCCTTTCTAAAACCATGACCAGCTCCGTCAGTTCCTTACGCAGGGACCGGTTCCGATCCCAGATCTCAATTATCTTCGACCGGTGGCCGGCAAAGACGGCCTTCTTCCACAAGAGCCCGCCGTGTTTGGGCGCCTCCCGGTTCGGCAGGTTCCATGCAATGTTGCGCAGCACCAGCGCGGCCTTGTACGCCACCCCGAACGGCTCGCCGCGGTCATTGATGGGTGTGTCCATGTAGAACCACTTGCGGACAATGCGCTCCTGCAGCACCATCCGTTTCGGCACCGGTGGCTCCGCGTCCGGAGCCCGTTCGTCGGGAAGATGCGACGCCACATGGCCCGCGACCATCGCCGTGTCCGCACTAGGGCCAGACGAGCGGAATTTGGGGCAGTTGTCCCAGAGGCAGGTGTGTGTGGCAGACTCGGCCTTGTCCAGGTTGTAATGGCCCGGTGTATCGGTGGCAGCCAGGTTCATGTGTTCGGAGAAGATGTGATTCCGGAGCTCGGTGGGGGTCGCAAAGGCGCGCTGGCAGATCTTGGCCGGCTTGGTGTTGTCCGCCCACTTGCAGTAGTTGTAAGGGAACCCTGAGAAGGTGTACGCGGTCTCCAGAGGGCGGATACCCTTGATGATGAATTTGGTGGCCGCGCCAGGTCCGTTGATGACTTGTGCTTGGGCGTTGGTGAATGTGTTGCTCACATTCTTGATGAACTCCGCAGCGGGCAGAACCCCGCCACCAGGGACTCGCGGATCGGCGAACCGGTTCTGGTAGGCCTGCCATAAGGCAATCTGGGTGATTTCGCAGTCGGCGTCTTCAACAAAACAGCACCGGAGCCAGCGAGAGCTGCGCTCGGGCTCTGCCAGCTCCATCAGATCCTTCAGCAGCTCGGGTGGAACTCGTGGAATTTCCGTCGGCGGCGGTGCCACCTTCTCCTCCTGGATCACGGTTTCTCTCTTGGATGGCCGCCCCTCGTACATCAAGAGAGCAATCATTCGGGGCACAAACACGGTCGGGAGGTTGAATACATCGATAAGGGTCTCGATGTTGTAAGGGAAAAGCGTATACTGGTACCAAAAGTCTAACGCACCGCTCAAAATGTCCTTATCCAAATCCAGAAGCGAATGGAAATATAATTGCCGAAGGGTCTGTTTCGGTATGCGCTCCATGGCTCGATTGCCTTCGGGCTCGTTGAGCTCGGTAGAGAAGTGTGTCAGCGCCCAGAAAGCTCTGACAATATGTGCGCGATCCGTTGACTCGAGGCATTGCAGTAAGGATATCCAGAGCGGGTCTTCGGAATCAGTCTTCATGAATCGGGTGACCTCTTCCGCAATATCAAGCGCATCATTCTTGAGCTCGTTCAACCGGGGTTGGTTTGGGATATTGATCAAGACGACAAGAAAGTCTCTGAGCAATCCATGAGCATATCGCGCGATATAGTACGCGTTCTCCTTCAACAGAACCATATTGCGTAGCACCAAGGTGGCCTCCTTGATGTTTCGAAGACGATGCGTGAACTCGGTTGTTTCGAGGGTATCATCCGCCAATGTGACTGGGATTTCTCGAATTTTGTCTAGAATACCTCGGGTGCCACGCAAAGAGTTGAGCACGTCGATGCGCTCCGTCGGCTCTCGGATATCATACTGAAGCTCCCACTTGACACCCGTGCAGAGTAGAGTTACTTCCATGGCTTTCTCCATGAGCGTTTCTGCGAGCAGAGGGAACCCTTCGAACTTGAATTTATCCCACCGTTGGTTGGATATTTGTACCAGGTGGTAGAGTGCAAAATCAACTTCATCTGGAATTCCGGACTGGAGACCATAGTGGGCTCGTTTATAGATGTGATCGGCTATACAGGACACGAGTAAGTCAGCTGAAACTTCAACAATTGACTGATCCAGCGTTGTTTTCATCACTTACATTTCGGAACCTCCAAATACCTAAGGGGAAAATAGGGATCGTAAAAGTCCGGTTGCTTCGCGGTTTTTGTTCTGTCATATTGTGCAAAAAGGCCAGGTCTGTTTCCTGGGGTTGCAACCTCACGCGTGGACATCGGGACCTTGACTTGCTCCCTCCCATCCCAGTTCTCGATATCCATATGATTGCTGTGGGTATTATGGAGATGTGCGGATGGTGTAGAAGGGGTATGAGGGGCTCCTGGCGGCTGAGGTGACGTCGTAGAATGGATACTCGAGCGTGTTTGTCTGACAGGCGCGGTATCAGGTATGAACGGCTGATTGGCTTTAGGTGCCTGTCGCAGGCCCTCTTCACAGAAACTAGTGTTAGCATCGAATGCCATTGCAGTGAAAAGGAATTACTAACCTCGCAGAGACGAACGGGGAGTGTTTCCGCTCATCTTCGACTCGATATATCGTCGAGTGGCACTAATTATACCAAAGACAACACCGGAAAAGAACCGTGGCTAATCCGCGCTCTCTATCAGCTCCTACGGCTTGCCAGCTACGGTCGCCAACAGCCTGAAGCTAAACTCTCAAACGGTTCTTGTTCTTCGAAGAGATCTGACAGCTCTGCCAAAGCTGATCTGAGAAGCAGGTAACGCAAGATCTTGCGTCTGAAAGACCTCGATTCGCTTCTGCGCTTGGTGAACTGGTTTTTTTTCGTTCCCTTGTTTCTCTCGGCTTTCTATCTCGATGCCGGGAAACAATCGAAGCGTTCGTTTCGCGACCCAACGGAAGGAAGAAATAATATGTAGCTTATCAGCGTGATCCTGGCGGAATGGGTTTCGCAACCAGGGCTCCAGTGGGCGAGACAGCGGCCTGCGAAACGGGAGGGCGTCGAAGAAAACAGGCGTTTCTCCCAGGCCGTCTCTTGTAGAAAATACGGCAGGCTTGTGCGCGTGTAAAAGCGATTCTACGCGCCAAAAAATGAGTGTGGATAAGCCTCAATGCCTTGGTTGGGGCCCTGGGGGGGCTCTGTGAGCGCGAAGTGGTGCTGCGATCCGGTCTGAGATCCCAGTCCGCGCATCAGCAAGCTTGCTTCAGATCGGGAGAGGCAGAGCGCGTCGAGGCCGGAACAGAGATTCTCCGGTCCGACATTTTTTCTTGCTGAGTCATGCAGGCACTGACGACACTCCATAGAGTCTATACAGACTCCGAACACTCCATGATATACGACACGCTTAATATGGGTTTCTTTTTATTTAATGGAGTTACTCATGATTTAAATATTTTCTTGAATAGTATATATACACATCTTCTACGCAGAACCCACATCTACAAGCTGTGTTATCCAACATGGATCATTGGACTCGTTGAACCAAATGCTTTGAAAAGCAAGTAGAGTAAGGATCTTCAGCTATCTATTCTAGGGGAACAGTTCAAATAAAAGCGTACTCAAAGGTTCGATCATTTGCGAGAGAATCAACTCCCTAATTCCTAAGAGTAGGCCCTTTGGACCATTATTCTGTCAGTTGGTCTCGCTCCAGTTTGAGAATCTCAATGCCTCATTTCAACCATCGATATTGCCATTAGAATTATTGACTATTGGGTAGGAGGGGGGGATGAGAACTGACGATAATTCTATGGTCTCTAAACTCAGGCATATTGCTGACAGGGACGGCCCGTTATTCTTATGATTGATCACTCAATACTGGGGAGGGGGGGATAGAAGGTTGATGAACTGGTTAGCGGTGCTCAATTGGTACAGAAAATAGGATATCAGCTATCTTTATTAAAGAGGAGACCAGTAAATCTCTCTATGAGGGTTTCTAATGATATTGTTCCCCTGAAGTAATGTGACCTCCAGGGAGGACCTAGAATGGCTAGCATCGCTCGCCCTTAACCTCCTCTCTCTTTCTCCCCAACCACCAAACACCAGCCAGAAAGAACGCCATGTATTCGCATTCCCAGCGCGCTAGCAATACGCAAGAGCTGGCACGTCTTCTGCTTGCCAAATTTTCGCACACAACGACCCCAATCGAGTATAATAGCCCTCTGAGCTGGACTCATATCGTCGGCTACGGGGACATTGTGGCTATCTTTGAGAAAAACCAGGAGCCGGCGTCAGCATTGCCAAAGATTTTATTACGGATTATCAAGGACCAGAGTATATTGGTAAATTGTCTCTTTTACGCAGGTCTCTTTTCTATACCATATGCAGATGCTAACATCTTCCCTCGGATTGCTGCACAGGAAGAAGTTGATCTAGCTCACTTCGCAAGAGAAGCAGGAAGTCTTATACACTCCACTCCGAATGGTGGTACAAAGGCTCTATTTACTGTGATTGTCAAGTCACCATGTCTAGCAGTGAAATATCCATGTGACGGCACCCATGTATGGACCATAGCAGAGACCTAAGATGCTAAGCCCTCGATACTGACATCTAAAAAAGACGCGCCGTTTCCAGCTCAAATTCTCGTCTGACCGGGATTACTATACCGCTCTGGCCATACTGAGCGAGATTAGCTGTCCCTTTACGGAATCGACAGCAGCGCAGCCGTCGAAGAGACTGTTGACATCGTCCTCCTGGAATTTCAACAGACCTTCTACCGCGCCACCCTTGCGAGAGACGCTATCTGCGGTTGCCCCAGGGGCACCTGCGTTTTCAAATCCAAGTTGCTCCATGGTTCCGTCAATTGGGTTGGCAGCACCCGGCTCACAGAGACCATTATCGCAACATCCAGGTACATCTTTTCTCTAATCTACAGCCTCCATTGAAAGCTAACGAAGCGGATCCTAACAGGATACCAAGTCCCCTCGTCTACAGGCGCTATCTATAATTCCACGGCCTCGGATCGATATTCAATCCGCAATGTATTGCAAGCCACGGACACAGATCAACATCATGAAGCCACCAGATCAGAGACAATCTGTCAACCCCAGAACACATCCACAACCGCATCGAGACCCCTGACTTCAAATGCGTGCCATGACATGCAGGCTCTTAATGACCTCCTTCCTCCAAAAAGAGATCTACCGTTCGTCAAGCCGACTCTCAAGAAGCCGACACCGGCAGCAGAACAGCCCAAACAGACTCACCCCGCCAGACAGAGCTCTATACAGCCAGACACCAGAGCCAATATCCAGAGCAGAGGAATGCAAAGGGGTAAGACTTCAGCAGCTGATCCGGAAGGTAGCGGCAGCCTTCTTGCTCTCCAACCCCCACCACTCACGCCTGTATCAACCGTACCAGAAAACCAGCCGCGGGGGTCACCCTTTATTTCGAGGGGAACGATGAAAACGTCCATTGGACGCGACACAACCACACCCACAACAATAGCGAGACCGACGCCAGCAGATTTCTCATCATACCTCTCTCTCCCGGATGCAGAGCGGGCCGCCTCGGTCGAAAGCTGGATCTGCCAGCAGCTAGAGGACGATGCGTTTATCCAACTCTGTCGGGATGTCGAGGGGGTATGGCAGCGGATTGCCTTTGGGAGGTAGACGAACATTAGTTATTACTCGGGTGGGACTTGATAATCAGAGGGTATGGAAGTATAAAGAAAACAGATAACTATATGCATGAATCATTACACAGTTTCAAATGGTATGCTTAGGAGGGTTGAATTAAGCAGAATTAAAATAAGTTCCAGCCATTACAAATACATAGTGAAGAATTCCAACAGATGAGTGAAGAGAGAGAGACCTGGTACCATTAACCCATGAGAGAGAGATAACACTTGCTTCATTTTTACCCCCCCCCCCCCAAAAAAAATAAACTAGCGACGACGATAGACAAGGCCTGCAAAGACATTCAGATAGCCCTCATGCGTGAGAACAGTAAAGTCAACAACCACCCGGCCAAGGATATGGGGCATCACCGAGGAGATGTGCGGAGATGTCGTGGCATTCAGATCTGACGTGTCCATGGCCATATTGTCGGCGGGCGGTGGGGTGGATGGACCGCCTCCGGCGGCGGCGGTGACGGAGCCTTCAGCTCCGACGGCAAGATCAGCGAGGTGCTGCAGGGAGCGCTGTTCGCTGGGCCCAACGATGGGTGGTGCAGAGGAGCCCGAGGCGTTACCCTTGCTCAGGGCGGGATCCTGAAGTTGACTCTCCTGAGACTTGGAGCGTCGCCAGTCGATGAAGACGCGCAATTTTTCGTCCCACAGCGGAGTGGTGAAGATGCCCTGGAACTCGCCCGGCTCGGCGCTCTTGCTGGCGCGGCGATCGAGGATCTCTTCGACACGCTTGATATACTCCCAGCATTCGGAGGTCAACTCGGGGATAACCGATGCTTCCAGAAGGGTCATCGTGGCCAGTGCAAGGCTATGGAGGTCGAATGGGCTCACCAGGCGTGTGCCGACGGTGGTCTGTTTGTGCATTTCGAGCACGAGCTCCACGGCCGCGTGGAAGACTTCGTATGGGCTGTACACGTAGATGTGGCGCTTGATAAGCAGTCGGATTGTCCAGTACATCTGCGGCTCGAGGTAGTCGAGAGAGAAGGGAGCGCTGGCGTCGTCGGGGACTTCGTGAGGCTTGCGAAAACGCTCGATATCCGCCAGGCGCTCCAGGGATGCCTTCAAGTTGGCCGCAACCATGCGAGCCATACCAGTGTTACTCTGGCAAACATTGGGCTCGGTCAGGGCCATTGTGAGAATTTCAGGAAGAAACGACGAATAAGCTGTTAGGGGAGGCAGGTTAGATAACCAAATAACTTTCTGTTTGGAGGCGTCGGGTGATCCACTTACAGCCCATCTGGACTAAGGTCGTGGATGAGATTTTCTCGTCCTCCAGTCCACCAATTTCAAAGGTGCCGAGAACACTGGGGTCCGCGACGCTGATGGCGTACCAGCGTTCGAGGATGTTCAAGGAAATCCAATTACGCCGCGTCAGGTTGGCATGCCCATCGACATCAGGGTTGGCCGGTCGCTTAGCCCTCAGCTGGTCGAATACCTTCGCCTGAGTGCATGCGAGCTTGTTCGCAGATTGAATCAAGGCCTGCTTGGAAAGACCATTCTTTGCCGTCAAATTCTCCGGTCCACGAGCATCACAGTCGAGAATCATGAGCAGCAGGGCTTGAAGTAGGATGGTATTGAAGGCGTTGGGGCGTCCAATTGCGGGTTGCCGACCGTAGAAGACAGCGATCTCTTGCGCGCTCTCAAACGACTCTATTTTCTCGAAGGTCGTCGCCACACGGCCCATGTTGGTTCGGACGACGGTGTAGAGAGCGTATAGAAAGACCTCTTGGATCTCACGGGTGCATTGATGCAAGATCTCTACCAAGCGTTCCTTTGAATGAGGTAGGATCGGCATGAAAGCATGGATATTCAAGTAGTAACTGCACAATATTAGCCCCTACAATCGACGTATTAATAGAAAAGAAGTCAATGCGTACGCATTCAGTGCCCCGTCATCCACATCCAACGGAGTCATGTCGTCTTCAATAGCTTGTTTAGCCATATCTGCCACGTCCAGAGCGCCTTGAGGAATTTCGCCTTCATTGTCAGGCGACCAGAACAGATTTCCAGGTTTGGGTGCGGTGGCATTTATGGCCGTAGGATTTTCAGGGTCTGTAGGTGCATCTCCAGTATCTGTGATGGTCAGAAAATGTATACCCAGGACTTGTTCAAACAGTGTATGTGTACGGACCATACGCATGCTGGGAAGCCCGAGGGTTGAACTGAGGCTGCGCAAACGAAGTATTCGGAAGTCCTTCAAACACAGAATACGTTCTCTTCCGACCCATGCCAGGGTCCATAGATGGAGAGAACTCGTGATAACCGCGTGGCGACGAGACCTCATTCATCGGCGGGTACTGCATGTCCGGGTGAACCATGGCGGGCTGCATCTGACTTTCCAGCGTGTGCAGTCTCTCTGCGAGCTCCTTGATGTATCTGTTTTTTTTGTGAAGAGAAAACCCCTAGTCAGATCGGTGTGCTATAGTGAAGAGGTGGCCGCTCAGTGCTTACCCTTTGCTTGGACCGCGTTTCATGGGGACGCGACTGAATTGGCAGACCACCCCCAAACGGCGGCAGTTCGAGCATGTCTCGACACCAGACTCTGAGCTAGCATCACAGCGGACCTATCCATGATAAAAAGAGAAGGCCTTGGTCAGTCCCTGTCGTGAGTCGCGTTGAGTAACAGTCGCGTGACAAAAATACCTTCTTGCGCCTGCACTCATCGCATGCCCGTGAGATTTTGGAGCGCTTCCGACGCGCACTTTGGTCTCCGTAACTCAGATCATGGTTCGGATCGACCCCAACCTGTTGGCTGGGTGTGAACTGCAGCATGTGTTGTTGTTGGTGGTCGGCAGACGGGGGGCGACCCATGTCCGGACCGCCAGGATTCGAGGAGCCCAACACCATCGACTGACCGTGGTGTACACCGTTCGCAGAGCCATCGGCAAGGTTGGCGCCCGAGGTTTCCCGCGAAAGCTCTGCAGATAACAGCTCGTCGGCGGTCAGCTGGCGGTTGTAGTACATGGCTCCTTGGCTCATCTGAGCGGCGTTGGGCGACGGGTACGACGGCGCCGGAGGCATGTCGGAATGCTCGCGAGAATTCATGATGACGAAAACGACGCGACACGCAGCGGCGAGAAGGGGTTGCTGGTGGGCTCAGGAGCGAGACACCAGACACGGGGGGATGGGGGG